CACGTGCACACACATGCATTACCGTATTCGCCGTAGTAAGCCCTCTGCTCCAATACTCGACCTTGACAAACTTCTGGATCAATCTTCAAGTGTGCCCATTAAGACCGAAAGTTTACATGATAGTCCATATTTTCTATTGTGTATTTTTTTTAGTAACTTTTATCGAAAAAAGTAGTTTCATCGACGTTTTAACTAAGTTTGTTCATTACCGCCCAATCTCTATGTAATGTCTTAACACACACACACACACACACACACACACACACACACACACACGGTTAATGCGGTATGTGTGTTTGTAGGAAAATAGTACACCATGTGCTCTGTTTCTTCCAATGTAGAGATGGACACGTTAGTTTATGTTGATGTTCATAGTTCATGGGAGCAAGTGTTGGTATTTTCACATTATTCGTTATCCCGCGCCATAACTGATATCTAGAATACCTAGTAGGCAAGGTGTAGCTAATTCGAATTAGCAGACTGAACATGATTTTTAAGGTTTTATTCGTAAAACCTATTCCCCCCATCCCTTCCCCCATCTGTGTGTGTGTGTGTGTGTGTGTGTGTGTCTGTCTGTCTCTCTCTCTCTAATCGTAAAGCCAATGTGACGTTGGCTGAACATAGCCTCCCCCTCTCTCTGTCTCTCTCTGTCTCTCTCTCTCTCCAATTAATGTTCTGGGATATATTCAGGCTGAAATGCTCTCTCGTCGTCGTCGGCACGTCATTAATTCTACACATTAATATAGCTTGACGCAATATAAATAGCTGGGTTAAGGTGAAATTCTATTTTGAGAATCCAGAAATATCAAATAATTATCATTGTAAATGATTCAAAGTATATTACCTCTATTTCCCCGTAGCCAGAAATTCTATATTTTGGCTGTCATAACAATATAAAAAAACGGTCTTCGGAATACTGTCAACGACATGAGAAAATAGTGTACACCTTGAAGTTCATAGAACTACGTTATATTGGCGTCCCAAACCCCACTCGTGACGTTACCCTCGAACCTTATCTGTTTGGTGCTTCCTGAGCTACACGTCCATGACATCACTTCCGGTTCTGATGACGTCATTTCTGGTGGCTTCGACATAAGTCCTTCTGCTGATCTCCGAGTGTGAAACTAGCCGTCTACCTATGACCTGTCCTACATCTTGTAGACAGTATGGTTTTCAAAAGGTTACCCTACCTTCCATGGTTACTCCCGCCCAGCCACCACCTTCACCACAAGGACGGGAAAACTGCTGTGTCACAATCGATTGTGTTGCCACCACTTGTCTGAGACTATGAAGCCCATGTCTGTCTGATTGTATGTCTCGTCAGTAAAACCCTGTGAACGTGTTTCGGAATCTCAATTAGTAGCTGTAAGCCACGTGTTCCACTGAATTCCAGGACACCAGGCTTTCAGACAGATCTCTGATTTCGGGAGCTATAAATGACAGTTCGGCGTGCTGATAACTGTCTCAGATCGTAGTTTGAGCCCACCGGCTACCGTGGCTAAAGTAATGTCTTAATCTGAGGATGTCTTACACCAGAATAAAAGATGTTTCCCGTGCCTCCTGTGGCTGTGTCGCTGTCAGGTTTTGCCGGAGCACACAGACAGAAGAGAGATGAAGATCTGGTGGTTCTATGCCTTTGCTGAGTACTGGGACCCTGTAATGTCTGTATGTCTGTGTCCCAACCTTCCCAGAGACGTGGATTGGTTCATGGCAACAACCTCTGGTAGGTTTCAGATGGTTATGGCACTCCAATCTTCTGAGTGCGTGAGACTTGAGAAGTCGAGAGCCTGGAGATTCTGGCTGGTCTGTCTTCCTGGTCTTTTTGCATCAAAGCAGCATGCGCCAGAGGTTTGTACGACTCTTCCTGACAATAAGACAAGTCAATTGATAGGTTCGATTTAAGGAATGTACGTGGCATCTTGACATCCCCTAAACGAAACGATAAGTTTGTTGAGGACGGGATAACTTCTAAACAATGGGTTTACCAGGCAATTCCTTCTCTAGGTTTGCCTTCTCTGTGGCCGCCTTCTGCTCAAACTGGCGACTGCTCTCCCGTGCTACCGTGAGGGTGCATGAGCGTGAAGTCCTGTTTTTTCAGTTGTGAGGCTCGTCTTGAAGGAGTCATGAAAGGAAGGATCCTTGGGAGAATCCCTCGGCTTCTTTGACTGGTATGCCAAACTATGAGTGCTGGCTGCCAGATTAATATGGTAGAATAATGGAATCTATCTGCGGTGACATGGCGCACCTTGTTAAGTGTGTCGTTGATGGGTTGAGTCATCATAAAACTTTCCCAGTCTACTCAGAAAAAGCCTACGTGCGTACTTGGGAAAGGAGATGCTGCCTCTGCAACCAAGTGAACATCCACATCTGGGAGAGTTCTTCTTGCATCATGATGATGCTATCAGGAAGACCGACTTCGTCCGTTTCGGATGGAGACTGGTAAATCTCCTGAGACTCCTTCATAAGATTCATTATAGAGGTGGTGTGATGTGACGTCCTCCTGCTACAACCTATTTAATGTAAGCCCCGATATCCATCGCATGTCTGTTGATGGAATCCAACTACTGACGTCTGGACAGATAAGATATCGGCTAAGATACTTTAGTATTTGAAGACTTGTGTAGCTTAAATAAGTCTTCATCAATACTTGGAGGGCCTGGTAAACGGCAGTTTGTGAAAGTGGTAGCTTGTCCTCACTTCTCAAGTTCTTAATGCTAGATCCGTACCTCGGCTGGTGTAGTGTGTAACGTGTATGCTCTGAGATGGAAGGTCCATGGCAATCTGCATATTCTACAATCTGTAGTCGAGCTTGTGACTGTCGCATTAACAGGATGCTTCTTAATTCCCAAATCTACCGTTCTGAAACCCGACTACTTCGATGACTTGATGACTTTCTTCAATGGGACTGACGACTGCTGACCTACCTTGGCCACCACCATCAAGTCCCTATCCAAGCCAGAGGAAACGAATGCTTCAATATAGTATCCCTGCTCTCTGTCAACTGACACCAAATCTTCCTGTCGTCCTTGTGGCCACTTGACCAGGGAAATAATCTGGGCCTTTTGCAGGGTTGACGGCTCCTTACTCTTGATCGAAGCCATCTCTGCAGATACAGCTGTGAAGTGTTTGTCCATCATGGACAGCACCAGGGAGACGTTCATAGAGAGCATAGGTGTAGCGTCTGCCTGTGCTGGAGTCTGAGGCTCCGAGTAAGGTGTTGGATTCTTCTCTGGCAGCTGGGAACAAAATCTTATGAGACAGCTGAAAGCGAGGACAATGTCTTCTTAGCAGCCTCTCTCCTCTTTGCTTTCTTCCATGAATCTGCCGGGCGGTCGGGTAGCCCAGTGGTTAAAGTGTTCGCTCGTCACGCCGAAGACCTGGGTTTGATTCCCGACATGGGTACAATGTGTGAAGCCCATTTCTGGTGTCCCCCGCCGTGATATAGCTGGACCCCACTCACTCCACTCCATGAGTCTGCCACCTTGATGAACACCTCCAGTGAAAGAGAAGAACACTGAGGACATCTGGATTTCTCAGAGCTTCTTCTAGGTCTACTATTCCAGCAAGACATGCATGGATCAACGTCAATATCGAAATGACCACACTTCTTACAGGACTACATGTTTCTACATTAAACTAAAAAATAATCTTCTTCAGCTGGATCGCACGTTACTATTACTTTTGTTTGTTGTTTAACGCAGCACTCAGCAATATTTCAGCTTTATGACGGCGGTCTGTAAATATCGAGTCTGGACCAGACAATCCAGTGATTGACATCATGAGCATCGATCTACGCAATTGGGATACGATGACATGCATCAACCAAGTCAGCGAGCCTAACCAGCCGATCCCGTTAGTCGCTTTTGGGGGCAAGAATGGGTTGCTGAAGACCTATTCTACCCCGGATCTTCATGTTCCGATACTATTACTAGTAACACTAATCAACATTATACTGAAGATAAAATTGATGTGACAAAAAGATTTCTTTGATGACAATAGCACACATGAGGCATATGAGGTGCAGATAGCAAGATACTATTACTTGCACAACTTCTTATGGATAGTTGACAGTGAAGAAGACTTCTGTTGAATATATGAAGAGTTCATAGGGTGATGACAGCCAAAATACAGGATTGATGGTTATGATGTAATACAGGCTTTGTATTTGTAAGAATTGTCAGAGTTTTATTTGGCCCCATCGGCATGAAGTATTTTATGGTGCTGAGGTGAAATGATGTTCAGGATTATTGCATATATCAAACTGCGTGTGTGTGTGTTTGTGCACACTGAGATACCATTCTGCAGTTTAACATGGATACCCCAATCAGACACAGTATACCCACTCGAAACCAACCAGTCCTTGTTTTGTTGCCTAAATGCAGTTAACAGCATTTATACCTTATAGCAAATGATATATGGATTGTCTTGTTGAATTCCAACAAAGAAGGTGCATTTTCAGTCTCAGTGACTTATGTTATTGTGTGTCATCGTACCACCATTGCTTTCAATATCAATCACTGGATTGTCTGATCCAGACTTGATTATTTACAGGCTGCCATCGTATACATGGTATAGCTGGAGTGCACCCTTGAACAACAAACAATGGTGAGGGCAGTGCTGGGGAGGGTGGGTGGGGAGGGCAATGCTGGGGAGGGCAGTGCTTGAGCTAGTATAACTGGGGTCTCCACTGGGGCCTCATCTTCCTGAGGCAAGAGTGTCCACTAGTCTTTTTATCAAAGTCTTGTTTCCACAGGCTAGTGGACACGGTTGCCTCGGAAAGATGCTGGGGACCCCATTAAAACATTACAACACAATAGGTGTCCTGCTTACAACAAGGGGCAAAGGTATTAACCTGCATTTAGAAGTTACAAGTTGGCGATTGTGCTCTCAAGATGTATGTGTTTGTAATTTGTCGTCTCTATTCACAAAGTATCTTGTGTCTTTACCTGCCACTGCTTATCCATTCATGTCCATTGATGAAAGAATAAGGGACAAAAATGTACATTTAGTGTTTTATTCTATAAAAATATCTTTCATACATGTATATATAAAAACCTTATAAAACATTTGATAGATTTTCTGTTTTCAGTACAACTTTGAAAACTCTTTAATCAAATCCACAGGGCATCCCTGTAGGTGCAGCCCAGCTAAATAACATGGGAAGCAAAATAGCACATGTCAAGATACTGAACTTGTTTGTGTATTTAACCATACTGCAATGCAAGTTTGAAATCTTTAGACAATTGTAGCATAATAAGATGTTGTTACACCACTTCCTTGAACGAAATAAAATAAATCATAAAAAGAAAATATGTTTTGATTTGTATTGAAGTCAGATGAATAGGAGACTTGAATTTGATTATGTAAAAAAATGACTGAAAATAAATGCCATAAACGAAGACTCAATTGGCCATAATTTCAACATTAATATTTCACCATATATCACAGATTAAATACAGTATTTGTACAGCTGGGAATGTTACTCTCTATGTAAATTAAATACACATTGGTATAACATACAGATAATTGGGTCGATGTCAGAAGAGAAAATTTAAAACAAAACCAATTACAAAGCAAATTATGGAAAATAATTTAATAAAGTCAACCAGTATAACCAACAACATGAAACAAACTTTTACATGTTCCTTTGTTGTCCCATGTATCCCTTGTGGTACCGATATTTTTAACAAATTGGCCTTCTTCACAGTTCCTATGTCATAATCTTTGATGACTGTGTGCATTTTATTGTTTGGAGACTTGGTGACCATCCATATAATACATTATGTACATAGGCTATAAACAATGGCGAACTTTACCATGCTACTAGTAATACCTGCTAAGCATGTGGTATGACGCACTGGTGAGGTTCTGTACAATGGCAGGGTAACATCCTGTTGGGAGATAACTGACCCGCTCCGAGGACTAACGTTTACATCATGGCAGTGGCCATGTTGTCCTCATCCTGCTGCTGCAGGGAAGGCGGAGAGCTGTGCTTCAGACTGGAGGAGGGGCTGGAGGGGGGGCTGGGGGGAGGGCTATAGCGGGGGGTAGTTGGTGGTATGTCATCGGAAAATTGAACCACTATTTCCTCACTGCCTTCCTCGGGATATACTTCAGGGATGGGCTGGTAGGATGTTGGAGGCTCTGGGCTAGGAATGTACACAGTTTCGTATGGCTCGGGGTCGGGTATGTATGTGTCCTGAGGCTCAGGGTCAGGGATGTAGACAGCTTGGGGTTCCAGGTCAGGAATGTAGACAGCTTGGGGTTCCTGGTCAGGAATGTAGACAGTTTGGGGTTCCGGGTCTGGTTCCTGGATGATGATTTGAGGCTCTGGAGCAGGGACATATATGACTTGAGGTTCAGGGTCGGGATAGTACTCAGTTACAATAACAGGCTCAGGTTCGTAGGACTGCTGGACAGGTGGTTCGTCCTCGACCACTGTGGTCTCTATGACGGGCACTGGGCCTTCGTAGCTGGGTTGTGCTGGTGCAGTGTAAGATTGAGACATCACTACCGGGGCAGCTACTATTGGGACTTCATCACTTGGAGGTCGTTTTTTCTGCACCACTGCATAATCATCGCTGGGGTTAGGTACAGGCATGGGTGCCCGGACGGGTTCTTCTTCTCTATAGAAGGCTCGGTTGTCATACACTGGACTCACAATCTTCACCGGCTGTGACAAACATAGAAATGGGTGGTTTTCAAAGATGAATTAATCATCAGCAACTGCAAATCCATGGATTATCAACATCCCACAGAATACAGGTATCACAGTATCCCTCGAAACCAATAAAATGATGTTATGTCATTCCTGCATTAGGGAGTGTCACTGCACTTAAAGTTTTGATGCTTACAAGAGTGTCATTCAAATATTGTATGTCAGCAGGAGGAATACTTAACACTTATTTAAGTTTACAGTTTAGTCCTTACTTAACAACCTATTGACCAATGACTGTCAACCTATTGACCAATGACTGTCAACCATTTATAAACTAACTGGCTTATGTAAAATCAACCATACAGAAACTAACTGGCTTATGTAATAGCAACCATTTAGAAACTGGCTTAAGTAATATCAACCAATTAGAAACTATCTAGTTTATGTAATAGCAACCATTTAGAAACTGGCTTATGTAATATCAACCATTTAGAAACTGGCTTAAGTAATATCAACCAATTAGAAACTAACTGGATGATGTTATAGCAACCATTTAGAAACTGGCTTATGTTACATCACCCATTTAGAAACTGGCTTATGTTACATCACCCATTTAGAAACTGGCTTATGTTACATCACCCATTTAGAAACTGGCTTATGTTACATCACCCATTTAGAAACTGGCTTATGTTACATCACCCATTTAGAAACTGGCTTATGTTACATCACCCATTTAGAAACTGGCTTATGTTACATCACCCATTTAGAAACTGGCTTATGTAATAGCAACCATTTAGAAACTGGTTTATGAAACATCAACCATATCAGTCTGCGTAACTCACCTCCTGTGTCACCACTGTGAAACGTCCTGGAATGAAAGTAATATACATAAAGTTAAAGTGTAACTGACGTTGAACTACATCATCTAAAAATGAGATGTCAAACAACAGCCAATGTTGCAATTTGCTGGTACTTTGCAGTAGGATAGCAATATTTTCTGTGGTTTCTTTAGAATTGAACTGTTGTTTGGATAGCACGGCATGAAAGACACCTCAGGAATTTGAAACATGAAAAGGATTGTAATAATGTGATATTTATCTCTGTGTCTAAGTGGTGATATTCATTAATCACTGATTGCCATCTTCTGAGGGTGACAGAAACAGGGAAATGTATGACTTACGAGCTTCTGTCTTTCGCAGTTTTTTGTTCTTCCTAAAATTAAAAAGGAAAGAGAAGATGAAACATGGCACCTCTGTTCTGTAGTTTTCTGCTGGGTATCATGTCATGGATTGTTTTGCTAAACTACTAAAGGCAGGATGCAATACAAGGAAACTGTGTTCAAGGTTTGTTTGAGGTCCGTTTCCTCAAACAACTCTTGAAATAAAAGTTAAAACTAAGGCTTAAAAAAATAAAAGAATTGGTTCTCAGGCAATGGCTTTTGAAAATAGAGTGTGGGTGGGCGGTGGTTTCTTTTGGTTCTTTTGTTGTTGTTCAAACTAGTATTAAACCAAATAAACAGTCCCAATAAACCTGGGAAAGGGCCTCCCTACATAAATGTATTTCTTCATGAGTAAAATACTGGAATACAGTATTTGACTTCCATTGGACTTGGAATATTTACTGATTTTTTAAATTATTTTTTTAAAATGGAAATAAAAATGAAACATGCGGGAGACTTAATGATGATGCGGGGGGTGCCTGAGAACCAAGACTTATTTTATTTAGCCTAACACGGGCAAATACATGCATATTTTCAATAAAATAGTTTCTTAAAGTCTGAATTTCTCAACCAATCCACACATTAATAGAAGATATCTGCATATGAAGCAATTTAGCTTGGAATCTTTGTCAACAGAACCATGAAGATGAATAGGATTTCCCTTATGGAACTAATGGCACAGGTTGATTAATGTAGCGACAGCAGGGAAGGATGGACTTACGAGTCCGAGATGCAGTAGCACGCCAGGCACAGCAGGATGATGGCCATGATGACGAGCAGGATGACGATGATCAGCACTGCCAGAACTGGGGTGTACTCTGTCAAATCCTCCTCCTCTGTCCTTCTCTGCAGGCAAGATTAGGAGGGATATTAGGTTGATGGATTCTATCTATGCCTTTCCAGCAATTTGAATGGCTATTGAGGAAAAACACGTCTACAACTGACACCGGTCTCCTTTATGTACAGTGATGTCTTCTAGTACTTAAACCGGTCACAGTTACGTACATTGATGTCTTCTAGTACTTAAACCGGTCACAGTTACGTACATTGATGTCTTCTGGTACTTACACCGGTCCCTGTTATGTACAGGCCGTCATAGCTGCTACTGATGTTGGAACTCCGGGCTTCTTTGATGATGGTCAGTAGTCCCTGAGTGTTGTAGACTTTGTAGGTGTTCTCTCCTCCATACACCGCTGTTACAAACACATCAGTCCTGAAGGAAACATCCTTTGTCATTAATTGCATCAGCCATTGATGATTTGTGTTATATAACATCATGCAACCATAGCATACCAAGGTCTCGTGTTCTTCATTATCAGATTATTCTTAATTTATACGTAGAGGTACATGTTGTGGTGCCGCAGAAATGTGCCTAGAGTTGTCTGCCCTTAGTGTGTTGAGAAATCAGGGAAGATGGGGATGAAAATGGAAAGGAACAAGACCTTTATTGTTCTGAACAGTTAGTGGTATTTTACTGTTTAACAGTTTTGAACACTTTTTCCATGTTATAAACTTGTATTTAGAGGTCGCATTTCAATGCGACATTCATTTATAACATATGTGTTATGTTATAAAAGGATGTCATGGAATGGGATAAAAATGAAATGTGAATTGTATTTCTAGAGTCATTGTTATGTTTAATTGACCCAAGTTTACTCAATGAGTTTCCATTGCATTTCCGAACACTGCTTTTGTTGATGGCATATGGATCGTTTACATGAGCATTGCCAGGTGCCATGTTTGCTATTGTGAGAGATAAGTATCAAGGCTGTTTTTACATACTTTGTGCTGTCAATACGTCCTGCAGCTGTCACGTGATCACTGATCTCTGTAACACACACGTACTGGATGCCCTTGTCTTGTTGTATCAACCTGCACACAAATCACACATCCAGTAAATAATCATAGAAAGACAATTGCAAGACACAGTGAAACCAAGTTCCTCAAGACCTTGTTAATCAGGAATCCCTGCTTTTTCATTTCAGGAAGCCTTCATATATACTAGTGAGTGAGTGAGTTTGATATTACACCGCTTTTAGCAATATTCCAGCAATATCACGGCGGGGGACACCAGAAATGGTCTTCACACATAGTACCCTTGTCGGGAATCGAACCCGGGTCTTCGGTGTGACGAGCGAATGCTTTAACCACTAGGCTACCCAACTGAACCTCATATATACGAAGAACATTATTCCATACCGTTGATTTGTTAATCCTGGCAGTTTTAAAATCCACAGAAACCTTATTTACAGTCCATAGTATTATAGCAACCTTATTTACAATACACAGAATATAGCAACCTTATATACAATCCACAGTTACACAGCAACCCTATTTACAATCCACAGTTACACAGCAACCCTATTTACAATCCACAGTTACACAGCAACCCTATTTACAATCCACAGTTACACAGCAACCCTATTTACAATCCACAGTTACACAGCAACCCTATTTACAATCCACAGTTACACAGCAACCCTATTTACAATCCACAGTAACACAGCGGCCATATTTACAATCCACAGTAACATAGCAACCCTTTTTACAATCCAAGTGGGATATAACACCATATCAACATGTGACAAGGTGACACTTCACAGCACAAGCAGTAGTAGTAACCGGTGGGGACAACATGACACATTCAGGTGTCAGAAGTGTAACTGTACCTTCTCAGCTGCTGAATGAACAGGCGCACTTCAGATGACTTCTGATTGATCACAATCTTTGCCTCATCCTCACGTGATACAACAAAGATCTGAAAATATATATGCAACAACATCTGAGAAAGTGGAAGCCATCACTATACTCCACATACATTTACACCCATATACCCTTCTGAAAGAGCAATAAGCAAAGGCACTGCTTACCTGAATGTAAACAGGTACCGCATTCGACATAATAAGGTGAGGTGAGGTGAAATGGGGTTTAACGTCGCGTCCAAGATAATTGCACTTATATAGCAACGTGCATGTACGTGTGTGTGTTTGTGTGGCTGCTTGTACTAGTCAGGACTGATGCCGATTTATAGTGCTAGCTCACTGAGATACCATGCCACAGTTTAACATGAATACCCCACTCAGACACAGTATACTGACTCCGAGCCGACCAGTCCTTGTTTTAGCCCCTTAATGCCGAGCGCCGGACAGGGTAACAACAAGTACCATCTTTTAACGTCTTTGGTATGACGCATTAGGGGATCGAACGGGGCTCTTATTAGAATATTATTTTGGGGAAAAAAAAACAGAGTGAAAGATTGTAAATTTTGTGGTTTATGCTGACAGCCTGAAATGTTTATATACGACATATATTTTTCCAGTATTTAATTGCCCATAATTAAGGGTGCATATAACACGTGAGTGCGTATTATACACGAATAAATTAGTCTTGTGTACATTGATCAATCGGAAGGGGTGCTAATTGGGATTGTTCACTAGCCAATATATTAGCAAATATCGTCGTGGGCGCTTATTAGAGTGGGGCGCTTATTACATGGAATATGGTATTACAAATATGTTTGATGGGGAATGTCTGCCTTAAATGGTCTTTATCATTATTTGTCTTATGAATCGAGCATTACCATATACAGTGTTGTTTATTAAGCTGTTAAATTTACAGACTAATGGTTTGTTTGTTGTTTAACACCGCACTATTCCAGCCATATGACAGCCGTCTGTAAATAAGTCTGGACCAGAAAATCCAGTGATTGATATTATGAGCATCGATCAATGCAATTGAGATACGATGACATACATATGTTAGTTGTGTCCTACGACAGGCATAGTCGGTTTTACGGAAAGCCTGGTTGCTGAAAAACCTATTGTTCCCCGGATCTTCACGGGTCAAGACTAATGGATCATGGGTATGTACATAAATGTAGATACATCTCAGGGCTTATCACCTGCTCAGAGTCCAATATTGGCCCCAAGTCTGCAACAAATGTCATTAAAAATTCCCAAAATGGAATTAAACGTCTCATAATTTACGTCTATAACTAATAACTAATATTAGGGGTTCGTAGACATAACCTGTACTTTACTGACAACAGGACGAACAAATAGGAAGTAGGTATAATGCTTAGTTATATATTATCGCATTGATTGGAACCCCGAATACAATGTCAATGGGCCTACCTCTGAATTAAAAACAAGAAGAACTTAAAAATCCCAACTATTGTTTCCCAAATTGCATGCCAGGGGCACGTTGTTTAAACTCCTGGATAAGTCCCTGCATTTTGAAGGCAGGGTTTTCTGGATGGACAGAATCGGGGTTTCACTGTAGGGGAGGCCCAGCATCTAATTTCCCACCTTGACAGGGGCGTTCCTGGTCAGGTTGCCCTTGTCAGTTGCTGTGGCGGTGAGGTAGAAGTCCTTGGTGCTGATGCTGCCCAAGAGATTTTGGTTGCTTATGAGGCCTGTTACTTGGTCGATGGCAAAGATGTCCCCCGTGTTACCCGAGGTGAGGGAGAAGGAGATACCTTGCCGACCAGCAGAGTCAGCGTCGGTGGCCGCAACCTCTACCACACTCTTACCAAACGGCGCCGTGGAGCTTATACCTGGAATAGATTGAAGGAGTGAGTCACATACTACACCTCTTTCAGCAATATCATGACTGCGGGCAAATTTCAAACAAAGATGCCTTTGCAGACAATAAATCCAAAGACCTCCACACCTTATAGAGACCCAGGCCTCAAAGTTTAATTTCGTCCTAAAGAGCCATTGTCTCCAAACAATTGTTTTTAGGATAAGGAAGCCAAAGAGAAATTCAAGAAGCCTGGTGAAAAAATAATAAAGAGCCAAAGTTCAACATTATAGTCAGTAATATACAATACAGTTTAAGCATATCTAATCTGCCAAACTGCAGGAAAACCGATTCTTACGTTTGGTGTAAAAAGCTTTATTGTTATATACGTTGTTGTAAATACTTCACAAGATTATCGATTAATATTTACCATGTTGATTTTTAAATTTTTTAAATTGAAGTTTAGTTTACTCGATCAGTATTTATTAATCAGTGTTAATGTATTGTATTTTTTGCACTAGTTAGTAATATAAGATTTTTCCAATTAGACAAGTGGCAACTGCTTAAATAAAATTGGTCGCAAAGTGGACATTTCAATCGCCATGGCAACCAAATTATTTGCAACTTTGAGGCCTGAGACCTAAAGGGTGAGTAGGCTCTGCTCCATTGGCTCCTAGTTTGATTCAAAACACCCTGTATGCTGCACACCAGACTCACAGTTAATGAACACATCATCACAGTGGAACTGCTTCAGTTTCATACATGGAGCTAATTACAACCTTTTCACCTGGACTGGCGATGCGCTGCAGTTGTAGAGCACGATCCTGCTTTCACACATTTCAACTTAAACTGTTTCAAAATAATTTCCAGCCTTCATTTCATGATACTGATGCGGCTTAAAGCAACATTTATTCACTCACTTATTTCACGAAAGCTTTGCCCTCTTGGGAAGTAGGATGCAATGATGACAGAATAATGATGTTTCTTTATAAAACTAGACCCGTGAAGATCCGGGGCGACTATGCTGGTCGTAAGAGGCAACTAAGGGATCGGGTGGTCAGGCTCACTGACTTGGTTGATGCATGTCATTGTATGCCAATTGCGTGGATTGATGCTCATGATGTCAATCACTTGATTGTCTGGTCCAGACTCGATTATTTACAGACCGCCATCGTATAGCTGGAATATTGCTGAGTGCGGTGTTGAACAACAAACAAACAACACTTAATAATACTTCCTGGATTCATGACATTGTACTATCATATATATGTTGAAATACAATACCCAACCCAAATACTCACATCCATAATATTCCTTGGCACCGTTAGGTCCATTGAATGAAGTGAACACAGGCGCCTCATCCTCCACATCAAGGATATCAACACGCACTGTAACAATGCTGGGATTTGTTGATCGTTTTCGACGTGTGACCACGCTGTAGTCGCTGATGTTGTTGCTGGCAATGATGTCCAGAGTGTAGGAGGAGACTTGTTCACGATCAACATCTTTCTTCAGGTAGATCGTTCCATTGCTGTCAATACCGAATGTGTCCGTATCGCCAGCTGAAGCCACACAATAACCTTATTGCCAATATCTATCACATATCTCCTTCACATGTACTCAGTGCCTAGCTCACAGAGAAATCTTCATGCAATGACTATTTTAAGTTTATGGGCATAAAAAAATATAGTTGACCAGTTTTCTTAATACAGTAACATTGTACAATATGTAACTGTTGACTTCTCAAGCCCTTCTCAAGTCTGTACGTATCAGATATGTGATGGAATATCCATCTTTGAGATGCTGGACATGATAGAGCTAGATCTCCTCTGCAAACCATTCTAATGCAGTTCACTGTTTTAAGTGCATGTGTACTGGTAAGCCATGCAGCTGTGGGCATGGACACAGTCGACTCTGGTACTCTCTATAAACCAGCACCTCACTACTCTGGTACTCTCTATAAACCAGGACCTCACTACTCTGGTACTCTCTATAAACCAGCACCTCGCTACTCTGGGATTCTTTATAAACCAGCATCTCGCTACTCTGGGATTCTCTATAAACCAGCACCTCACTACTCTGGGATTCTCTAAAAACCAGCACCTCAGTTCTCTGGGATTCTCCATAAACAAGCATTTAAAGTGTTAAAACATTATTTAAACTCTCAGTACTGCAGCATCTGTCTGTTCCCGATATTGGCACTGAGTATTAGTCTTTAACTCCAAAATGTCCTCTATATACTGGCATTTTTCTGTCAATAGCTGTTGGCAAACACTTGAACATTGACTAGTGTGTGTCCAATGTTTGTGTTTATGTAGCAAGCCAATTATCACTTTTAACAAGGATGCAGCAAGTATTTAAATGACTGTCATGTGAAATAGCATTCATGTCCAAATGGCACGATCTGCCAAGTGAGAGAAAATTGAAAAATTCAGGTAGGATTGTTCGTAATACTGGAAAATACATTTCCTGACTGGCATTAGATATTTCATGTTATGTTCTTACCAAGAATAGCGTAATACACTGTGTCAATGGTGTCTATATCTGTGGCGTTGACAGTGCCAACTGTGGCCCCTTGTCCTGTGTTCTCTGGGACAGTGAATACATAGGGGATTGTCTTCCCATCCTGAAATACAAGGAATGTATACATTACAAGCTTTATACATGTATTACATATATATACATATACGTATATTACATTTATTTTACGTGTATTACACATATAAGTATATAACAATTATTATATCATGTATTACACATATACATATATTACAATTATTATATCATATATTATATACATTACGAGTTCTCCTCACATAATATTAATTAACATGCAGCTTTAATGTTTCTGAAACTAGAGTTTGATGTTCACATGAGCTTGTCATATGACAGTTCATCTTTTATCATGGTTATACTCTTTCTCCAAACCAAGTATGGTTTATTTCATCTTATATACTGTTATCCTGATGACAAGAGTGTCAATAACATTTGAATCCCACATATTAATCTTTACTGTGTAAAAGAAATGACCAAAGACTACTAAACTGCGCTGAGGACAAGAAAAAGTCCAGTAGCACTTGAGGGCTATAATTCTGTTTGTATGTTGTTTAACGCCGCACTCAGCAATATTTCAGCTATATGACAGCGGTCTGTAAATAATCAAGTCTGGACCAGACAATCCAGTGATTGATATCATGAGCATCGACCCACGCAATTGGGATAATAATGCTTCAATGTTGCTACAAATCGGAACTGAATAAAACTGACAGAAATTTTAAACATAGACAACATTTTGTCTTGTTCAAGTGGGACTGGCTACAGACTCTGAGGTTTTGTCCTCTGGACTAGTTTGAAAAAGACCCCTGTATCTCTAAGGTTGGAAAATACTCACGCTCATAGGGAACTTGGGCACATTGTCATTGACATCCATGATTATTACAGTCAGGAAGCGGGTGGCCTCCAGAGCCGGATCTCCACGATCTTTGGCCGACAGCAACAACTGAAATATGATGCCATTGAAACATAATACAACTGTTGTTTGAACAGAAAAATAAGGTAGCAAAGAACAAAGTGTGGTTTATTTCACGATAAAACATTCTTCTATCATGAGTGAGTGAGTGAGTGAGTGAGTGAGTGAGTGAGTATGGTTTTACGCCGCCTTTAGCAATATTCCAGCAATATCATTGCAGGGGACACCAGAAATAGGCTTCACACATTGTACCCATGTCGGGAATCGAACCCGGGTCTTCAGCGTGATGAGCGAACGCTTTAACCACTAGGCTACCCGATCGCCCCTTCTATCATGACATCATTTCTGGTGATTAAAAAATGTGCATGCACCTTGATGACGTCATATACTGGACGACATTATTTTTGAGAGGGAAGTGTCTGGTGAGTTGTTCCCCCAAGATGTAGCTGGTGTATGCAGAAATAAAATGGCCAAATGATCGCATCCGTAGTGGGAAAGACATGTCTATTGGTATTAGGAGAAAAGGTACAGATTATTGCCGTGAGGATTGTGAGAATATGCAGGAAATACCAAACTTAATCCATCTGCTCATTAAATGGACTTGTCCGACATTACCGAGGTGGGATTCTATCCAAGGAGTCATCATCATTAAGATTAAGGCAACTATTTTTAAAGCTTGCACATTTTATCAACATCCCCAAAGAAGCTGTACATAATGTTGATATCTCACATAAGAAATAAACAACTGTTGGTCGATGTTTATTGTACAACAAAACACTGCAGGGAGAATAAACTACTCCGGACTGCGCCCCTCATGGTTTATTCACCCTTCAGTGTTTCATTGTATGATAAAGAACTCCACTCATCGTTTATTTCTTAATCACATAAATCATTGAACATGAGAGTAAAATTATCAACTTTTGAGTGTTTTATCTAAATGATTCACATACATAAAACACATCAAATGATATATTGAATGTATACTGCTCAAAAGAAGTTAAAGAGCACCCAATTCTTTCATGGAATGACAGATTAACAATAGTAATATGAAAGAATTGGGTGTTCTTTAACTTCTTTTGAGTAGTATATGATTGTAGACATAAATAATTTGATGATTATGAAATCTATCTTTATCATTATTTTAAAAACATCTTGAATACTATGCTACACAATTAGCATATCCCATTAACAATGTTGTAATTTACTCCATCAACAGATCAGTAGATAACATTACAAGCTACGAACCACATATCGCGGCACAGCCTCCCTGTCGTACACAATCTCAGCCTTGATCACCCCAGTCACTGGGTTAATGCTGAACTCAGGGGTCTTGATGGTGTAGTTGCCAAGGTAGTAGAAACCGTAGTCAACAATGCCGCTGTTGCTGTTGTCGCTGTCCACTGCTTCCACGTCATAGACCAGCATGCCCAAGTACTGACTCTGCAGATTATACATTATAATCATATATATAATATTATTTCATTACAACATTTTTCATGTGGGATATACCGTATTTTCTTAAATATAGTGCAAACTTTTTTTAAAAACCCACACAGCTGTGTAGAAGGGGGTGCGCATTATACACGCCATAATGAGTTTTGATGTTTTTTTCCCCCACCTAAAGACACTACCGTGATCATGTAACACCGTTAATTCCATGTCAACAAATCCATACTGAGGTACGCAAATTAATCATGTAATTACACTGGTTATAAGAAGTTTTCATTGTATATCTGAACTTATGTTTGTAACTTATTTAATTAATTTTGTTCCATGTGAAAAAAAAATAACTGGCAATAGTGATCAGCTGCGTAGTCAAGTTCAGAGGTCACTTCCAGTACACTCGAATGTAAATACACCACACAATGTGGTTAGGACTGACATGTTATCAATTGGAAACTAGACGTACCTCGAGGACCTCGATGGAATAGTTTTGTCTGGGTGGTATGACCCATACAGGAGGGGAGTTGGTGGCCTCCAGGACAATGATGGTCACCTTGGCGGTGTCATTCAGGCCTGCCGCCTCCCCGTTCAGGTCCTTCCCCATCACGTAGAACACATAGGTTCCTGCCTTGTCTCGCAGACTCTGGTTGACAGTGATTCGACCCGATGTTGTTCCCACGTCAAAGTACCCTGTATCAGTAACATGAACCTTGCTTTATAAGCTAATGGAGTGTTGGTTCAGGCTTGTGGTCTCAGCTTTCATTTGTCATGTTGAATATTCAGTTACAACCCTGTTTTGGACTCCCACTGGCATTTGTAAGACGTAGGATCAATTTATTTCCTCCATTTTTGTAATTAGAAAGATACTAAATCAAGTTAGCTAAATCAAGCTTCTATCCATATCTATATCAGCCACATACTTTCAGTGTCCAGGGCCCACTTGCACAAGGCGATCTTAGCGCTAAGATGATCGTAACTCCCATACTGTAACATAGGCTTAACATAGCGCTAAGATGGCCTTGTGCAAGTGGGCCCTAGAAGTCCTACAGAAGAAGATATAGCTGTGTTCCTGCTTTCTTCACTTTATGGAATACAGCATATGCATAGTTCAACCAGACATTGATGAATCATGAATGAATGTCAACACAGATGCCTTGAAAAGTTTGTTAAAAAATAATAATAAAATATTAAACATAAAAAGACGTTTTAATATTGAGAATATTTTACCCATTGAATCTCCCATGCCTGGAACAATGGAGAAGGCAATGGCGGCATTAGTTCCGACATCCAGATCCGTGGCAAACACCTGTAGGACCTGTGCCCCTAAGTCGATCGTCTCAATGATGGATTGCTTATACTCGGTGGGCCCAAACACGGGCGAGTTGTCGTTGATGTCATCCAGATACACGTACACCTGCAACAAACACTCCTTCCGTGAGAGAACGTGATGTTAAACCCCATTTCTCCTCAGTGAGTGAGTTGGGTTTTACGCCGCTTTTAACAGTATTCCAGTTTTATCACGGCATGTCAGCCTTATGTCGGAGGAAAGCCCGAAGTGATGCAGGTCTCAGACATTTAACACTTTGGTGAAACCCACACCAGGTATGGTGCTGACAATCCTAGAAACAGTTGGGGCGAACTGGGATTCGGACCCACAATCATAGGTTTCTGGCGTGCCCAAGGGACGCAACAGCGCCTTAGACGACTGGGCCGCCCGTGCCCCCGAACACGATGTTAAACCCAATTTCTCCTCACTACAACTTCTGTGAGAGGATGAGATGTTAAACCCGATTTCTTCTCACATCTGCCGTGAGACAACATGACATTAAACCCATCTTCTCCTCACCTTAACTTCTGCAGACTAACAGCAAGTGAGAGAAGTACCCTTATATGAAATAAGGATGAGGCCACCTGATGTCTTTAGCGATATCAAGAGGTGTTGGCATGGGAAAATGTGTCTGTAGTTATGTCATAATCCATAATGGGAATATGTAGGTAGTGATGTAGGCATTTCTGAGGTGTCGGTGTGGGAATATGTGTCATTAGCGATGTCATGATCTCTGCGGTGTTGGCATGGGAAAATGTGTCTTTAGCAATGTCATGTTCCCTGAGGTGTCGGCGTGGGAAAATGTGTCTTTAGCGATATCATGATCCCTGAGGTGTAGGCATGGGAAAATGTGTCGTTAGCAATGTCATGATCCCTGAGGTGTAGGCATGGGAAAATGTGTCGTTAGCAATGTCATGATCCCTGAGGTGTCAGCATGGGAAAATGTGTCGTTAGTGATGTCATGATCCCTGAGGTGTCAGCATGGGAAAATGTGTCTGTAGCAATGTCATGATCCCTGAGGTGTCAGCATGGGAAAATGTGTCTGTAGCAATGTCATGATCCCTGAGGTGTTGGCATGGGAAAATGTGTCTTTAGTGATGTCATGATCCCTGAGGTGTCAGCATGGGAAAATGTGTCTTTAGTAATGTTATGATCCCTGAGGTGTCGGCATGTGTCTTTATCGACGTAGGAATCGAATATCATAAAGTTACACTCAAAAGCACTGATGTAGCCATTAGTCAGGCATAATGCACCCAGTTCTTATCTAAGTCACAGTAACCACTCCTCCACTCACAGCCCCTGAACCAGGTACGTACCGGCACAGTGTAGAATCGCCGAACTGTCGAGTCCTTTGGACTGTCGTATGCTGTCACTTGTATGGCAATAGTTGACTGCTTCTCACGGTCTAGATCTGCTGATATCTGGATCAGTCCCTGTACATGATCATGATAGATTTGTTAATATCACAATACTGTGGCAAGAACAGGTGAGTCAACAGTGTCTCTTTTCCATGTTCACAAAGCTTCTAAACAACCACTTGCAATAACACAACATTATACAACCCCATGCAATATCACAACATTATACAACCCTTTGCAATATCACAACATTATACAACCCCTTGCAATATCACAACATTATACAACCCCTTGCAATATCACAACATTATACAACCCCATGCAATATCACACCATAATACAACCCCATGCAATAACACAACATTATACAACCCCTTGCAATATCACATCATTATACAACCCCATGCAATAACACAACATTATACAACCCCATGCAATATCACAACATAATACAACCCCATGCAATAACACAACATTATACAACCCCTTGCAATAACACAACATTATACAACCCCATGCAATATCACAACATAATACAACCCCATGCAATAACACAACATTATACAATCCCATGCAATATCACAACATTATACAACCCCATGCAATAACACAACATTATACAACCCCTTGCAATACCACAACATTACACAACTCCATGCATTATCCCATAAAGGGGTTTTACCAACTGTATTCATTTGGAGAACCTGTGATCGCACCAGGCTACCCTATGTACACACTTTTCAGTGTATTCCTACTGTTCATGAGCAACAGAAAACTCACTGATTCCTCGTTGATGATCAAGCGAGTCTCATTGGAGTCTATTCTGTATCGGACCACGCCATAGTCCTCGAGGTCACGATCAATAGCTGTGACTGTGAGGACAGAGGTGCCAAGGGGTGAATGCTCCTTAATGTGTTTGGTGTAGTCACCCTGCAACAAAGCCAACACTTAACAGTAATTAGTGCTCGACAATGGGCAACCATTTTGACATCCATAAATTCTCTTCCTTAATCAACTGTTTGATCAATCTTATTACAAAGACATCAAGATTAAGAAAATAATAAAAATAATGCCTAAGCAGCTGAACATGAAACATTTTAATTAGATAAAATTATTTTAACTGGAAATTGTCTTAAAGCAGAAATTCATATGCATTATTTTTACAATTTATACCATTTAGTTTTCTCTGCTGCAAGAGATTATTTTATTTATTTAATAAGATGAACAGTATTTTTTAATATAAATTTTATGGCCATTTGTTTGTTTCCAAACATTAAGACAACTGTCTACGGACCTGTGTGAAGATGGGGCTGTTGTCGTTGATGTTTCGGATGTTGACATGGACCACGGTAGTGTTGGACAGACGAGGTATACCGTTGTCTGTAGCTCTCGCCCTGAATTCAGTCTGCTGAACCTTCTCATAATCAATGTTGTTCTTCACAGTCAGGACACCTACAAACAAAGCATACTACAGTCTACAAAATAGTCACACCAATGTCAAAATCTGATGATGGCGTTCAAGGGCAAGTCACATGTACCGTAAACGGCTTCCAAAACAAAACTATTCGGGGTTGTGGCCTAAAACTATCGGCACAGTGGTGCATGACAAATGTTTTCATTGGTTATGTAGACTTATCCATATTGTGATTCTTAGCCAATATACATAAACTGCTGCTCTTATTTCTGTTCATCCTACCAAAATATAAAATATTAATAACATAGCTGAATGTGAGAAACAACCAATGATCTTTACATTGGCAATAACTAAAAGAAAGATTACCAATCTGAAACTAGGTTTTCATGACTAGCATCACCTCAATACACCACCAGCTCCCTTGGTCTTATTCCACACAAGGAATGACTGTCAGGGATGTATCCCCTGCCAACTGAGTAGACTGCTGAAGGCATCTCCGATGTTGTTACGAATCAAGCATAAGTTGATGAGAGTTGACAGTAATCGAATGGATGAGCGAGCAGACAGAAAAAGGCTGTAATGAGCCTAAAATAAAAAATCTGAGGCCGAAGCAGGTAGACTGGTTGTTGAAACTGCACAGTGTCAAACACCAGGAACCCGTTTTAACCCCAGTGAGTGGAATCTCCCCGGTGGTGAATATTTTTTTTCGCTTGGGGGATGATTTCGCCTGTCAATTTTTATCATCTGTTTACTCTATTTCTGTTTTTCTAATTAAATTTTGGACAAGCATTAGTAAACAAGTATGCCCTGAAGTAGTAAAAATTGCAAAGTTGCTACGTTGAGTTTACTTGGACCCTAAAACTCAGGATGTTGCTGATGATAGTAGTGTTGATGACATTCACATAAACAAACTTTGCTGATGATATAAGTGTTGATGACATTCATATTAACAACGTTTCTGATTATATAAGTGTTGATGACATTCACATTAACGTTTCTGATGATATAAGTGTTGATGACATTCACATTAACAACGTTTCTGATGATAGTAGTGTTAATAACATTCATATTAACAACGTTGCTGATGATAGTAGTGTTGATGACATTCACATTAACATTTCTGGTGATAATAGTGTTGATGACATTCACATTAATAACGTTGCTGATGATAGTAGTGTTGATGACATTCACATTAACAACGTTTCTGATGATATAAGTGTTGATGACATTCACATTAACAACGTTGCTGATGATAGTAGTGTTGATGACATTCATATTAACAACCTTTTTGATGATATAAGTGTTGATGACATTCACATTAATAACGTTGCTGATTTTGTTTACAATATTGTTTAAAAACGTTGCTGATCTATGGAATGATGGTGCTCGTGATTTTTACAAATGGTGAAGCTTTGTTTCCACAACTCCAAAGTAACTCAACAGCCTCACCTGTACTAGCAGCTATAGAGAAGTAGTTCCCTCTGTCATCAAAGATCTCGTACTGGTCAATCTCATCATCATCATCACGAGCAATGAGGGTCATGATAAATGCACCGATTGGCTGCTCCTCATCAATAGTGATGTTATAGAAGGGCAGCTGGAAGTAAGGACTCTGGTCGTTGTACTCCAAGATGTTGATGATGAGGGTCCCTGCATATCAGAAAAGATCAAAATAAATACTTATAAAAGATACCAAAAAGGCTAAAAAAATAAAAGAATTGGTTCTCAGGCAATGGCTTTTGAAAATACAGTGCGGTTGAGTGGTGGTCTTTTTTTTTTTTTTTTCGTTGTTCAAACTAGCATGTAACCAAATAAAAAGTTGTGTACAATCAACCTGTGAAAGGGCTTCCTACATAAATGTATTCCTTGATGAGTAAAATACCGAAATACAGTATTTGACTGGAATATTAGTATTTTTTTATTTCAAATTTATATAATGGAAATAAAAATGAAACGTGCGGCCAACTTTATGATGATGCAGGCTGTGGCTGAGAACCAAGACTACTATTTTTTTGCCTAATACATGCTTAATTACGTAGCTCCACATCCATGCCCTAGAGTATGCTCATGACACAACACAATTATTCCTGTCAATGCATCAAAGCATACACACAACTCCCTGATGGATAAACAATCCAATCTGCCACTCAGACACTTCAGGGCCCCGTTCCACAAAGCGATCTTAGCGCTAAGTCTGTCGTAAGTCTATGTTAAAGTATGGGAGTTACGATCATCTTAGCGCTTTGATCGCTTTGTGCAACGGGGCCCTGGTTTAGATGTCATTCATTCATCTCGTCTTGTCAGTCAGCCTGACACTGCCAGCATGTTTCATGTGTTCCAGTGTTTGAAAGGCTGACACCAACAAAACTCTCAAATCCATTGAAGTACTCTCTGCTTCCAGTGTTGTTGAACCTCACCTGATTTGTTACCTGTGAGCCATGCATGATGCAACTACCGTTTAAATTTGTAAATACATGTATGTATAATTTCCCAATGATTCATCCCCGCAACCAGCATAACGAGATTAATCACATAATTTGAAGAATTGGCATTTTGTTTCACGAGCTGTTGCCATGACGTCCAGTATATACCTGTGCCTGTCTGTCTGGGGTTAGCTGAGGTATCAACTACATTGACAGTGTAGGTGATCACTGATGTTCGGTCTCGGTCCAGGTTGCTTCTGGTTCGGACTCTGCCATTTTCTTCCACGACTTCAAATAGATCCTGTATAGAATTTACGAACAGGTTTAAAAACTGGATAAACTGACATGGAGGTATTCAGCATAAACTGTGGGATTCAGGATAAATTGACAGTGTTGGATTGAGCAAAAACTGATAGTGTGGGATTCAGGATAAATTGACAGTGTTGGATTGAGCAAAAACTGATAGTGTGGGATTCAGGATAAATTGACTAAACTGACAGTGTCCGATTGAGCAAAAGCTAACAGTGTGGGATTCAGGATGAATTGACTAAACTGACAGTGTCGGATTGAGCAAAAGCTAACAGTGTAGGATCTAGGACAAACTGACAGTGTTGGATTGAGCAAAAACTAACAGTGTGGGATTCAGGATACATTGACTAAACTGACAGTGTCCGATTGAGCAAAAACTAACAGTGTGGGATTCAGGATAAATTGACTAAACTGACAGTGTCGGATTGAGCAAAAGCTAACAGTGTAGGATCTAGGACAAACTGACAGTTTTGGATTGAGCAAAAACTAACAGTGTGGGATTCAGGATAAATTGACTAAACTGACAGAGTCCGATTGAGCAAAAACTAACAGTGTGGGATCCAGGACAAACTGACAGTGTTTGATTGAGCAAAAACTAACAGTGTGGGATTCAGGATGAATTGACTAAACTGACAGTGTCGGATTGAGCAAAAGCTAACAGTGTAGGATCTAGGACAAACTGACAGTGTTGGATTGAGCAAAAACTAACAGTGTGGGATTCAGGATAAATTGACTAAACTGACAGTGTCCGATTGAGCAAAAACTAACAGTGTGGGATCCAGGACAAACTGACAGTGTTGGATTGAGCAAAAACTGACAGTGTGGGATCCAGGACAAACTGACAGTGTTGGATTGAGCAAAAACTGACTGTTGGATTCAGGATAAATTGACAGTGTCGGATTGAGCAAAAACTGACTGTGTGGGATTCAGTATAAATTGACATTGTGGGATTCAGGACAAACTGACAATGGAATTCGGCATAAACTGACTGTGGGATTCAGGCTAAACTGACTGCAGGATTCAGGATCAACTGGCTCTTTGGAGATACGTGCCAGGATAAAATGGTTTGCAATACCCAAACCTTTAGAAAATTGCACGTAAGTTGTGCATGATAACACAGCATTGATAAACCCACCAGCATAGAGTTATCTTACCTTGAAGTTGTAGGAGGCACTTTGGACCTCGATGCCATCTGGAGTTATGGCACTGATTGGTTCCACAAAGTAATAGTTGAGGGCTGCGTTAGCGTCAGGATCAATGGCTTGTAGATTGATCACCGACGTTCCAATGACAGCATCTGGCACATTCACACACACATGAATCTTCGGGCACATAAATATTCAACACAAAGTTCCCTTTCTGGAACTCGTCCAATAATATTAAAATAAATCTTTCTAATAAGAATAAATTGTAGATCATAGATGCATGAATAGACATTTAAAAAATATTGTAAATAATATTTCATTACAGAAACCATGTAAAGAATGTCTTGTGCTGCAGGAAGTGCTCAGAGAATGTTTGTTTGTTTGTTTGTTGTTTAACATTACAGTTGGCCGTATTCCAGCTATATGACAGCAACCTGTAAATAATCAAGTCCTGACCAGACAAACTAGTGATTGACGTTTAGACAACATCCTATGCTGTCCAGGGCATTGTCAACCATTGTTATATTTTCTTACATAGTGTGGGGGCACAGGTGGCCCAGTCCTCTAAGGCGCCGTGATTCGCTGTGCAGAGTTGCGTCCCTTAGGCAAGCCAGAAACCTATGATTGTGGGTTCGAATCCCGGTTCGCCCCGATAATGTTTCTAGGTTTGTCAGCACCATACCCGTGCTCGTGGGTTTCACCGAAGTGGTAAACGTTTGATGGTAAATGCAGTCACTTCAGGCTTTCCTCCCACATTAAGCTGACACGCCGTGATATGACTGGAATACTGTTAAAAGCGGCGTTAAACCCAACTCACTCACTCACTCACTCTTACATAGTGTTATACTGTCAATATTGTTAATTAATCAATCAAACAATGTCCTCATGGTTTTAAACAGACCATTACAAACAGTGTACAGTTTGTTTGGAAGACCTTTGCTGCAATTATTTCAAATAATGTAACTTTGTATAGAATAGTTATGTTTGGTTTGAGAGGCTGTCTATGGGACACTATCTCTTACTTTCATAGACATCGGCCCTGCGTGTGGTGGGCAGGAAGTAGGGGTCCTTGTTGTTGGCGTCGCGGATGTTGACAGTGACGCTGGCTGTTCCTGTCTTCTGGGGGTTGCCTCCATCTCGGGCCAGTACCTTTGTACAGTTTGTTACATTTGAGTACAGTGACATGAGATCAGAAAGGTTTGTTTGTTGTTTAACGCCGCACTCAGCAATATTCCAGCTATATGATGGCGGTCTGAGAATAATCAAGTCTGGACCAGACAATCCAGTGATTGACATCATGAGCATCGATCCACGCAATTGGGATCAATAACATGCATCAACCAAGTCAGCGAGCCTGACCACCTGATCCCGTCAGTCGTCTCTTACGACAAGTATAGTCGCCTTTTACGGCAAGTATGGGTTGCTGAAGACCTATTCTACCCCGAATCTTCTCGGGTCCCTTTGTACAGACATTGTCATATCAGCCAATAACAATCACAGGATATTAATAGAAGGAAGAACACATGAAACATAGCTGCAGATCAGACAAAGCGATATCTCCAGTGCAGGTCAGTTTTGGAGTGAGTGAGTTTGGTTTTACTCCACTGTTAGCAATATTCCAGCAATATTCCAGCAATATCACATCAGGGAACACAAGAAATGGACTTCACACATTGTACCTATGTTGAGCCGGTTTGATAAATAATGCTGCTTTAAACAGTATTTCACTTCTCATGGCATGTCAGCTTCTAATGCCCTGAGTGAGGAAGATTGTAGAGTTGCCAATTTTACAAAAACCCAAAGCACAGGTTTGGTGGTGACAAATCAATGATCAGGACCATTCCCATATTGAGAAAAGTGAGGAGGGAATTGCATCAAGCTGTCAATGTTGGTTCCTCCACTGATTGTTATAGTTATACTCTTTTCTCTTTCTTTGTTGTTTTATGCTGCACTCAGCATTATTCCAGCTATATGACGACAGTCTGTAAATAATTTGGACTAGACAATTCAGTGATTGACATCACGAGCATCCCAATTGGGATAGGATGACATGCATCAACCAAGTCAGTGAGCCTGACCACCCGATCCCGTTAGTTGCCTGTTACGGCAAGCATGGGTTGCTGAAAACCTATTCTACCCCGGATCTTCACGGGTCACTGATTGTTATAGCTTACCTGCATAACATACTGTCTCTGTACATCGTAGTCAAAGGTTGCATCGGAGGCTGTAGAGATAGCACCACTCTGCCCATCAATGACAAACTTGCCCTGAGCTCCATTCTCAATGCCGTACTCAATCCTGCCATTGTCAGTTGTGGCCGAGTCCAGGTCTGTGGCAGTTACAGTCAGCACAGGGTAGTCTGAAACACACGGGTAAACATCCCATCAGCTGACGCTCACCACAAACATGGGAAGAGGGAAGTATGTGCACCCATACATGCAACAATATTACCTGTAGGTATTAATACTAGGGTATTGTACAGAAGTACAGTTTCACCTGTACTGGTGTAAGAGGAAATATTATCCTACCCTATTTTTTATCCCGCGGATGAAATTCTCTAGTTAGGATGATTCTCCCTGGTAAATTTGAACCCATACCGCTGTGTTTAATCCTTTCTTATACTCTAGAGGGGGCACGGATGGCCCGGTCGTCTAAGGTGCCGCGATTCGCTGTGCAGAGTTGCGTCCCTTAGACACGCCAGAAACCTGTGATTGTGGGTTCGAATCCCAGTTCGCCCCGATTATGTTTCTAGGTTTGTCAGCACCATACCCGTGCTCGTGGGTTTTACCGAAGTGGTAAACGTCTGAGACCTGCATCACTTCAGGCTTTCCTCCCACATTAAGCTGACACGCCGTGATATGACTGGAATACTGTTAAAAGCGGCGTTAAACCCTACTCACTCACTCACTCTTATACTCTAGAGTAAAACTTCCCCTAGGATAATATTTAGGTAGGATATAATCCTTGCTTACACTAGCAGCTACAGAGAAGTAGTTCCCTCTATCATCAAATATCTCATACTGGTCAATCTCATCATCAGCATCACGGGCAATGAGAGTCATGATAAATGCACCGATTGGCTGCTCCTCATCAATAGTGATGTTGTAAAGGGCAGCTTCACGGAAGAAAATTATTGATGCTTCATGCTGAATAGCTCTAATTCCTGCCTGTTATTAAGCATTTTTATGCCTCAAAATGAGATTGACCATTAAGAGAGCAGAACTACCGACCCCACATGAGCCCGTATACTGTCAGTAAAAAACTAAGATGTTTGTTACTGACCTAATATGAGACCATATACTGTCAGTAACAGCCATTTTGGATTTTCCAACACCCACCTCACATATTTTTTACTTGAAAATTCTGGTACAGAAATTTCTTATTCGACACTGTTTTGTGTTTTAATATCATTAATTTTGATGTGCAAAGACAATATTTTTTTAAGATCACATTCGTGACTTTATTGAAAGAGATTATACTTAACATGCTTAAAATTATCAACAAGGTTTGGCCACTAAGGTTTGAAGAGTAATCTCCCTTAACATCAAGGGTTGTAAGTGTCAAGTTTTCTTTTTTACATGACAAGTGCAATATGGATACCAGATAGTGTAAACTTTTCAGCATAATACATTTGTTGAAGCTGACGCCTCGCCCAATATTTTTCTGCTAACCTAATATGACACTGTATACGACAATTAAAGACACCATAACTAATAATATCCACTGTCGCTCATCATCATGACATCAGTACATTGTTGCTTATAATGGAAAATGACCTCACCTCTTGTTCCATTTGATGATATGGATAGATCACAAAGATAAGTCTTATTGTGATAAACATTATAAGTTTTACAGCATCCACTTACAAGAGGCCATAGGTAATAAAAGAACAATCTAGAAACTCGAAAACATGGATCATCTCCTGCTTGTGAATAGTTTATATATCTCACCAAACTTAACTGAGCCAGATGATCCATATTTCCAAACCTACTCCTATGAAAATCGCAGAAACTCTAAAACATGGATCATCTACTGCTTGTGAATAGTTTATATATCTCACCAAACTTATTGAGCCAGATAATCAATATTTCCATACCTACTCCTATGAAAATCTCAAAAAGTATGTGAAAATTAAGTAATCGAATACACCCTGCCTTAACTCTTCCACCACATAGCTGTCCTGCTGACAGCAGGCTCATGTCACAGCCTATTAGAGAGCAAGTCAACTATGACCAGTTGTAGATTTTTCAGGAGAATACAATATGCTTGTGATGTAAACTTAGTTCTTCTTATATAATGGCAAGGCGGCAGGGCCACATTATACAAAGTGATCTTAGCACTAAGGTGATCGTAACTCCCATACTTTAACATAGGTTCACGATAGTCGTAGCCCTAACACCGCTTTGTGCAATGGGGTCCAGGTTTGTTTACTTATAGTTATCTCCCTTGTGTCAAGCTCATTAAGGGGTGAGGAACTCTGGACTGTCTACTGACCACACGTTACTGACCTGCTGAGAGTTTTATTGCAAAGGCTAAAATACTGAATTCCAGTATTTTACTCATAAAGGAATACATTTATATAGGGAGGCCCTTTCCCAGGTTGATTTTACACAATTACTTATTGATTACACAACTGTTTATTGGTTACATATTAGTTTGAACAACTCAACAACAACAAAAAGACACCGCCCCCCCGCACTATATTTTCAAAAACCATTGCCTGAGAACCAATTTTTAATTTTTTTTAAGCCAAATCAAGAGACTTCTAGATGGGGACATTTTTCTGCAAATGGCACATATTTTATTCTGTAACTGTATCAGAATATAACCACCACCTACTTGATGTTGTGGATTCGTCGATGGTTTCAACATATCTGTCTGGCATGAAGACTGGAGAGTTGTCGTTAGTGTCCTACAACATCAACATCCATCATCAGATGATAGGAGCAGTTCTCAACATCACAACTAATACAGGGATGATACACCGATGCATCGGTGGGTCCCGACATATCGATCATAGTCACACACTTAGTAAACAATATGGATCGTTACCTTAAACGTTTGCTTATAACTGTGACACCAAAGAAAAATTCATTGTGAATATTAGCGGTGAAAATGTAAACATTATCATCCATAGCACCATACTTGACACTGCCAACTGTAAATCGTGTGCCAGGTATTTGGCCATCTTGACTATCAGAGCTCCAGATAAGCTTTTGGTGTTGTGAGTATTTTACCCATGCATTTTAAAATCATTGGGTATCAGTAATTCTATCTGGGTATACAAATTTCTGTTACCCACTAGTTTTTACACATGTGGGTATTTAAGTTAAATATTTAAAAACACTATTCATCAAGTCCCTGCAAACTGGTGTCGTGTGGGTTCGAGAGCTTTATAGGACTCAAATATACCACGATACTTCCACAAAAAAGTGTGATGGCAAATGATCATGATGTAACTGTCATGGTGGAGTTTGGCAAGGTTGACAGAATGCCCGGTTATAATTTAAAAATAAGTTGCTGATTTGCTAGTCGAATATGCAGGGTTACTTCACAATATTTTGATGATATGCACAAGTTTTATTTTTGTAGCGTATCTGTAATGTTCGTTGCGTATTTGATACGCTTGGATTTTATTTTACTGCGTATTTCTGCATGTCTGATGCGTATTTCACGCAGATACGCAGCTTATCTGGAGCTCTGAAGTATTGGGATACGTATTGGATCACACAGTTAGTGTATCGTCCCAGCCTTAATCCCTACATGGGAGAGTATTACACACTTGCCAAGAGCAAGGACCATGTGAATGGTCTCCTTCAGAAGAAACGTCTGTATCGTGTACGTTTTCCGTACATTACAATTAAACAAGGGTGCCATGACACTGTTACTCATATTACATATGACATTACATTATTTAATTCAACAGATATGTTCTTACAATGACAAATATCTTCACATCCACTGTGACGTTGAACTTTTGGTCAGATGCTATAACAGTCAGGTCAAAGCTGGAACATAAAGACACATGTTGGATTGTGAGATCAACTAACACAATAACCTTCATAACTTTTTAAATCATATTTTATCAAGTTAGATAAAAACATATATAATCAAGATCATTAAAAATAATCAACAGTATTAAATATTCATATATATGAATAATGTTTGTATGACACTCAACAAAAACATCTCTGGTCACTCATGTGCCTCTGAAAAAAGGCAGTTTCCAGTGATTATCTACATATCTTATGCTTAGTCTCTGTGGGCTTTCTGTGGGAGACAGAACCACTAAGAACTTTATGCTTGTCGTGAGAGCTGACCAAAGTTGGGATCAACAGGTTTCACTGAGTGACCTTTCTGATCTAACCCGTGAAGATCCGGGGTAGTATAGGTCTCCAGCAGCCATGCTTGCCGTAAAAGGCGACTATGCTAGTCGTAAAGGGCAACTAACGGGATCGGGTGGTCAGGCCTGCTGACTTGGTTGATGCATGTCATCATATTCCAATTTCATGGATTGATGCTCATGATATCAATCAGTGGACTGTCTGGTCCAGACTCAATTAATTACACACTGCCATCATATAGCTTGAATATTGCTGAGTTAGGCATTAAACAACAAACAAACAAACCTTTCTGATCTCATGTCACTGTACTCAAATGGAGTGGATAGATGCTCATGCCATCAACCACTTGTTTGCCTGTTTCTGACTTGTGTGTTTCGGACTGCTGCAAATAACCAACACTCACTCACTCATTTGTAGAGAGGAAGTTACCGTGCAGTTGCCTCCCCTAGCTGCGGCCAACCAACGTGGAGGTGTCTATGACATGCCACTTTATGCAGACACACAGATCTAAGATACAGATCAAAGCAGTGGTACACCCTCCTCCCTCACTCATCACACACACTGTACATCCTCAATACTACTGTACAATATCCAAAAATAATACAATACAAACTTACAAGCCCTGGTCATTGGGCGTGTCTTCATACTTGATGGGCCTTCTGGCTGTGATATTGGCTGTTTCATCGTTGATCTGCCACAGGCTGGACCCTGGACTGCCCTGAGAAATACTGTACCGGATTGGGCCTCCTACAGTGTCCCGATCTGTAGCCTGGAAACAATACATTCAGCACAACGGCTTTTAACATACACAACTCTTTCTTGCATTTTTCTTTTGAAAAAATGAAATGCAGATATATCTCAATTATCATATAATGGGTAGGTTTCTCGGCAGCATAAAGACACACAGCATCCTACATGGATTAACATGCAAATATGAAAGGTCAGGTAGGTACTACTTTCAGTGTTTACACACAAACATTGGGTCCTTGTCAATCGGCCTTCGAATCAGAATTAACCATCAGGAGTCTGAAGTAACCATAGTAACTACAGTCAAGTCTCGTTAATCCGACATCGTTGGTTGCACATGATTGTGTCGGATTAACGAGTATGTCGGATTAGGAAATTAAGTGATTTGTGATCGAAAATCGGACGTCTTCACGATAGATAATAACCGTGTGTACCTTGTAATAAAATCATTAAAAACGAAATATTAATATTATGTTGTTTATTCATTCATTCCTTAATTTATAATTAATGACTGTGCAAAAATAATAATAATTTTCCCATTTATACATAACAATAGAGACATTACTCACTGAATTTATCACATGATCAACGACACACGTTTCCTCGTGTAAATGCAAGTGCTACTGTCTTAACAACTTGCTACATCTACTTAAAATAGTCTGTCAGTGTTTTCTGTTTCTAACATTTTGAAGGCACATTTCTCAAAGTCCCCTGCTCGCTTGACGTCTAGGGCTTGTGGTTCTTCAGCATCAACATTGTCGAGGTGTAATTTCATTTGCTGTTTCTTATAATAAAGCTTGAAATTCTTTATGATCCCGGCATCTAGTGGCTGAATGTGCGATGTGGTGTTTGGTGGCAAAAAGTGACATTTCACATTAGTTATGTCGACAGTAGCATGGGATGGGGCGTTGTCCAACAGCAATACCACGTGGCGTTGCTCCAATCGCATTTGCCGATCCAAGATCAGTAGCCAGGCTTTGAATATTAATGAAGTCATCCATGCTTTCTTGTTTACATACCAGTCGACCATGGTGAGTCGACTATGTTTTATATACCTGTTTGTATTTTAAACTGGCTTCATGCACATTTATCTGGCTTCAATTTGTAAACTACATTTGTATAGCTTTGTACATACAGGTTTGAATAGCTTTTCCTGTTAATTGTTAAGTTAATCTCTGCAGCCAGTGCGTGTCAAAACACGGGGTTGTGTACTCGCGGTCATATGACCACGGAGTACGCTGATCACTGTGTCGGATTAACGAGACTGATTAATGAGTGATTTTGGCAATTCGTTGCAAATTAGGTGTGTCGGAGTCGGAGTGCGAGAATGTCGGATTAACGGGACTAAATAGCACTGAATCAATCGGTTCCCATCATTTGTGTCGGATAAAGCCGAGTGTCGGATTAACGAGTGTCGGATTAACGAGACTTGACTGTACTGGGATAACTGTTATCATTATCAAAACAATAGTCTAAGATACGGAAAATCACTAGGATGTAGGTGAGGCATGTTACAAGTTTGGGCAATTTTGGAGACATAAATTGCAAAACAATTTAAGTGAGGAATCAGTTTCCAAATCTGTGCTTGTAGACTTTAGCGGCTTGGGGTCTTTTCCCCAAACTTAAAACAGCTGGTTTGGGCAGAATTTTTTTTATATTCGAATTGTTTTATGTTGTTAAATTTTGCCGCCGTGTGTACATCTGAGTCTGGACCTTGTAACTTTATGACAGGATATATAATATAATTTCAGAAACCATGTATGAATACAGAGTTGGAGACCCAATTATCATATAGTGCCAAATGATTTGCAGCTTTGTTTGTGAACAGAATCAGTCAAACAGTTAGAAACCCCTATCAAGACTTATTAGGAGCTTTAATCAATATTAGTAGTTTATTGAGCAAGCAGACATTGCATTGATATATAGAGCTTGAAAGTAGTTCCTGCTAGGTTGCCTCATTTGCATATTTATCGGATCATGATACAGAGTTGATAAGAATGGTTTGCCGCTCAATAACATCATCCATTATATACTAAATGAAGTTTAGGACCACCTGATTCTTACATATTACTATTGTTCATCTGTCATGGCATGATTAGCTAAAGTAATACGAAAGAATCGATTGGTCCTTAACTTCTTTTGTGTAATCAGACTCCAGCCCAGTGGTGACTCAGCATAACACCACTGCCACAGGCTAATTTGCATATCACATGACCGGACTTTTCTCTTGTTTGTAAACAAACAAGCTTTTCTACGTATTAGGATACTTTCTTAATGAACCGTAACCATTCTTTGACATTTGTTGATGAAAATGTGTAGACTTGTCAAACATGAAACGGATGAAAAGCATATGCAACATCTTGAATGGACTGTGAAAGATGTGACAAATCGTCACATGGCGCTGGCCTGTGGCAGAGGTACTATGCTGGCTGGCTGCCAGTCTTGTGTAGTATCTAATAAATAGCAATAATTGTCCTCCAAATACTGATTCCTGAACGACATACCCTGGCAAGGAGAGGATCGTTGGTAATTGTTTGCCCTTCAAATATGCTTCTGGCATACTCCGACTCCACGAAGGCAGGGGGGTTGTCGTTAATGTCCAGAATGTCAATCGTCAGCCTTGCAGTTCTGGATAAACCTCGACCTAAATAATCTGTGGCAGTGACTGTCAGCTCATACGTCCTAGTCGTTTCATAGTCTATACATGTATCCACCCCTGGCCTCGGGGAACATGGTGCTATAGTAACACTTCCTGTACGGTTGTTGATCCGGAATCTGAAAGTTTAAAAAAAAATGTTTATTCTCAACTACTCCATTAATTGTCATTTGTTGGAACGAGACAATGAGAACTTCGATTCAATCATTTAGGAGTGAGTGAGTGAGTATGGTTTTACGCCACATTTAGCAATATTCCAGCAATATCACGGCGGGGGACACCAGAATTGGGCTTCACACATTGTACCCATGTCGGGATTCGAACCCGGATCTTCGGCGTGATGAGCGAAGGCTTTAACCACTAGGCTACCCGACTGCCCCTAATCATTTAGGAATATTCATGCTTAGTTTTCTCCTTCAACTACTGTTCTGAAGCTTGAATCTATTAAATGTTGTGTCAAAATAACATACCTAGACAATAATAATAGTCCATACGCAATGTGTGCCCAAAGCGCTGCATTATTATCATCCCCGTCAGTGGATCAGTGTGCACATGCTCATCTCATCCTACCGGGTACCCATTCACTGATGGGTGAACAGAGGCATATTTCTACCCAAGTTACAAGCCCAAAGTGACATCATATATGTTACATGTACTTCCGTAATCATAGCACACATGTCGAAAACAAGTCACGTAGAAATAATCCAAGCATCAATTATGAAGAAATTTTGAAAACTGTAGTAACTGCAAGAACTGGTCCAATCATGACATGAACTCTTTCTTAAAGTTAACCTTTTGGCCGCAATTTTATTATTTTCAGTTCACAGAATCAACAACATAAACATTTTTGTCTAGTTCAAGCAGGACTAGATACAATCTCTGAGGACTAGTGGAATAACTCGTGGAATTTCTAAGGCCTTGATACAAAAATGACAAAAAATAGAATCTTGCTAGTTCCCTGATTACAAGACTCAGCATATATTAATTTGAGAAAAAGTGTCATCATTGTGAGAAACATGCTTGTCAAAATTAAGCTACATTGTTTCTTGAAGATCACTTGAATATTTGCCAAGTCCTCTTTTACTGTCGACTATAATGGCGATACATAGAATCAATAAAATCATCTTGGGTTGACTTACTTTTCTGCTCCATTCCCCACCAGAGCATAAACGACACCAGCAACACCAAAGTCATTGGAATCAGGATCCGAAACCTGGAGCAGATTATTTAACCAGATCAGACGGAGCCTCTGATATGCGTTCATTACTTCAGTAAATTGTTAACAATACTCTAAATAATGGTACTTTTGCTGAACACATAGAAAGAACTTGTGGATAAAAGTGACTGCTTACCGATATATCCACAACGCTGGACCCAATGTTCGCTGTTTCTGGTATTTGTTGAGAAAATCCTGCTTGCGTAAATAATGGGATGTTGTCATTCACATCCAGCACATTGACTGTTACTGTTGCCGACCCTGTCAGTCGGCTCGGCTGGTTCAGTAGGACTTCTCGAGCTTCAACCTGGTAAAAGTCATAGAGTTAGGGTCAAGTATATCATTGTGGCACCACGCTCCACAGTTGGTGCCTGCATTCAGTATAGGTCAATAGTGAGTGAGTATGGTTTTACGCCGCTTTTAGCAATATTCCAGCAATATCACGGTGGAGGACACCAGAAATGGGCTTCACACATTGTACCCATGTTGGGAATCGAACCTGGGTCTACGGTGTGACAAGCAAACGCTTTAAAAACTAGGCCCCGACCGCCCCTGTTTAGGTCAAGAAGTTATTTGTGTCTCTTGTGAAGAGAAACTGATACTAGTACTTGAACTGCTTTAATCCAATTTGCCACTCTGCCAAATTGACTGAACCTCAGCAACTGTAATGTCACTGTGAACAGCACATCAAGTCATGGCAGTGTAGCAGGGCGTGGAGCGAATCTATCGTGCTTATCCTGGATAAGGGACACAACTCTGCATAGTGAATTGCCAATGATCAATGAATCTTAATCCGATTGCTATAACATTACCTTGCATTATTTGAAATAGTCAGAAAAACAACAAGAGTTTGCCACTAACGTGGCTATATCCCCCGCCCCTGTTGCAGAATTTATGACATAATTAAATCTAAACAAACCCTAACCTTTTTTAACCGAGGTGGAACTTGTCATGGAAATTGTAAAAAAAAGAAGAGTTTGGAACCTAAGTCCATCTTGTTGCCATGGAAACGTAAAAAATAAAAATTTCTAAAATTTCTAAATAGCAAAAGGTACCAGTTTAGCATGTACTTAACAGACCTGCAAAGTTTCATGAAAAAATATTGAACGGTTTATGAGTTTTGCTCTGGAAACAAACCCTACCCTCACAGAACCTAAGTCCATCTTGTTGCCATGGAAAAGTAAAAAATAAAAATTTCTAAATTTTCAAAATAGCAAAAGGCACCAGTTTAGCATGTACTGGACAGACCTGCAAAGTTTCATGAAAAAATATTGAACAGTTTGTGAGTTATGCTCTGGAAACGAAACGTGACGTACGGACGGAGCCCGTTTCTATATCCCCTGCCAACTTTGTTTGGCAGGGGATAACAATGTACAAAACTTACTTACAATATGTATGGTAAAATTAAGGCTGACCAATGAAGGTGGACTCATTTGATCAATTATTACACAAATGACAAGGTCGTGTGTGTTATCATCACAATCGAGTTCACAATTTCGTTCCATAATTCATAATGGTTATAATCTCACCCTCAGTATGTAGGACTTGGGTCCATTCTCATAGTCGATCTTCGATGTGTCGATGACTTTAATACTGGCAGTTGTCTGCCCTTGTCCACTATCAGGAAACACAGCAAATACGTCGGTGTTGTCCAACAAGACGAAATTATAGGAGTTAGCTGTGCCCTGTTAACAACAGACAAGAAGCTAAAGTGAGTGAATGTTGTTTGGTGCTGCAGTATTCCGGCTATAAAATGGTGGCCTGTGAAATAACGAAAGATGGACAAAAGGATGAAGGCATTAGCTCTGATTAGCCAAGTCACAGACTTACCGTATTCGACGTAATAAGCATCCAGGGAGCTCTCAAAGTTAGAAATTGGGGGCTCTTATTAGAATATTATTTTGGTGGAAAAAACAGAGTTGAAATATAAATTTCGTGGTTTATGCTGACGGCCTGACTGTTTATATATACGACAGATATATTTTTCCAGAATTTAATTGCCCATAATTAAGGGTGCATATAACACACGAGTGAGTATTATACACGAATAAATAAGTCTTGTGTACATTGATCAATCGGAAGGGGTGCTAATTGGGATTGTTCACTTGCCAATATATTAGCAAATATCGCCGTGGGCGCTTATTAGAGTGGGGCGCTTATAACGTCGAATACGGGAAGTTTAGCATCCAGTACTGGGGACACATTCTGAACCAGAATATCCACAGCGTGAGTTTACAGACTAAGTTTCATTTATCATCACAAACTAAACATTTATTTTAAAACGACTTACATGTCTGAACAGTCATCTCACACAAATCATGAATCATGCTGTTGGTTTGTTATTACACACAACGAGCCAAGTCATTGTAACGGCTCGATCCTCAACCTAATTGGATCTCCTGACAAGTAGGTACACAGGGATCATCATGCCCCTAAAGCCTATCAGATGACTAGGATTTGTTTGTTTGTTTGTTTGTTGTTTAACGCCTCACTCAGCAATATTCCAGCTATATGACAGCGGTCTGTAAATAATCAAATCTGGACCAGACAATCCAGTGATTGACATCATGAGCATCGTTCTACGCAATTGGGATACAATGATATGTATCAGCAAGCCTGACCACCTGATCCCGATAGTCGCCTCTTTTACAAGTTTGGGTTGTTGCAATAACATGTGTATCATCATGATGAATATGTTGAAGTACATGCGTAGTATTGGTGCTTTTCACATTGATAACAGTAACTGACATTCCAAAGATTGTTGGTACTACATGCACAATGTACTCACACTGTCCAAGTCGGTGACGGTCATGATGAGTCCTGGCAGAGCAGATTCATTAGGAATGTCCTCGTAGATGTTGACAGTGAAGTCGGATTGATGGAATGTTGGTGCATTATCATTTTGATCTCGGACGTTGATTCGGATAGTTGCTGTTGCTGTTGTTGAGGTGTCGTTCCCTAAAATCTCTGGTGTCACGCTGATGATTTCCCTGGCCTGACAACAGGAGAACATGGTGTAAGTGAGTGGAGGTGGGAATCGTTCGTTCGTTCGTGAGTGAGTGAGTGCCGCTTTTAGCAATATAGCAGGGGACAGCAGAAATGGGCTTCACATATTGTACCCATGTGGGGAATTGTACCTGGGTCTTTGCGTGACAGGCAAACGCTTCACCCACTGCCTCTTGCAATAAAAGTAAAAAAGAAATGCAATACTTTGAACAGTCCCAAACAACCATGTCTGACATCCATTTCACAAAGAATTCATAGTCTTACATGAGTTGTAGGGATAGGATTGGTTTATGTATGTTATTTAACGCCGCACTCAGCAATATTCCATCTATGAAGGCAGTCTGTAAACAATCAAATCTGAACCAGACAATCAAGTGATTGATATTATGAGCATCGATCTGTGCAATTTGGATATATAACATGCATCCACCAAGTAAGCGAGCCCAACCACCCGATCCTGTTAGTTGCCTCTTACGACAAGCATAGTCGCCTTCTACGGCAAGCACAGTCGCCTCTTACGACAAGTATAGTCGCCTCTTATGAAAAGCATAGTGCCTCTTACGACAAGCATAGTCGCCTTTTACGGCAAGCAAAGTCGCCTCTTACAAGTATAGTGCCCCTTACGACAAGCATAGTCGCCTCTTATGACAAGCATAGTCGCCTCTTACGAAAAGCATAGTCGCCTCTTACGACAAGCATAGTCGCCTCTTACGACAAACATAGTCGCCTCTTACGACAAACACAGTCGCCTCTTACGACAAACTTTGGCTCCTGAATACCAGTTCTACCCGGATCTTGATGGGGGTCACTGTGTCAAACCGGGACCCCTAAGAGCAAACAAATGTTTCAAGCCAAGCACATGTCATGTAACTCAATCACGTTATCAACCAAAAATGAATCAACATTTCAACTCTTACTTATCTGACCAAATACCATATTAACTTTACAATTAAACGACAAACTGATGGGGGAAAAAATAAGAACATTCCCTTTCTACCTGAACACATTCTGAATTTGTCTTACGTTATGCTTGATTTGTCAAATACATTTGTAACACCAGGGACTTGTCTAGGATTTCCAACTGAGCCCCCTTGGCAGGCAATTGGTGAAAACAATCACCATCTTGTTCAAAACTTGCATTTTACTTTCTGAAACTTGGGTGTATTAACATTGCAAATATGATTTTCTCAAAACATTGTGCTCACCTTAACACACAGATCGATGTAACCCTGGCTTAGCTCAACACTCTCTCGGTCCAGAAGACGAGTGTTGATGATTACGCCTGTGACCTTGTCAATGGCAAAAAGATTGATCCCAACTCCAGTTGCTGCAAGGAAGGCAAATCTAATTACAAACTTCCCTGTGGAGGCAACGCCACCTTGGTCAGGATCCCAGAACCTTTTAAGGATCTCTGCTTATTTTTTACATTGTGTTCACTGAACAACTCAAACTGTCACATTCGTTAATTGTTTGGGGGTCTGAAAACAACATATTTTAAGTTATTGTCAAAATGAAGCAATACAGCTAAGAATCATAGACTAAAAGTCATATTGTCAAAAGTACAGTTTTATAGGTCTTTGAAAGGCATTTAGAAGTGATACACATAAGGAAGAGAATATATGAATGTCAACTTCTTGATTGAGGAACACAACGTTTTGGAGTATATGACTTCACCTGATGAAGGAGTAAGTATATACTCCGAAACGTTTTGTTCCTCATAATAAAGAAGATGACATCCATATATTCTCTTCCTTACAGTTTTATATATCAAACAAATAGTGACTGATTATCATTTTAGGACAGTGCTTATAGCAAAAGAGACTGAATGTATTGTCTCAGTGTTCTCTACCGCCTCTGCAATGTGACCTTGACTCATGACATAGCACTTGATGACCTCATCAATGGATTCTCTGCATGTTAGAAGTTGAGGAAACTACGTAAATGTGCACATATTTAACATTTGCTCAACAACTAGTACACTAACATTTAGTATGTTTAGAAATCAGGTCTTCTTACAGAATGTTTATCAATATGCGCTAAAATATGAAAAAGTTTAATACTATTAAATATACTTTTATGCAAAATTGTTAACACCGTGAGTGATGTCTCCCTCAGCCTCCAGTCAAGTCACCAAATGGGAATCCAGCAAAGTAGTAAAAAGTCTGTCTGTCGCAATGATCCTTGTATTGTGTCTGAGAGTGTTGGGATGCACATACTCCATCAACATTCCATTAGATTTAAAGTTACATTTAATTACATTACATTACAAGTGGTAAACATGCAATGACTGTTTGACTTACTGCAGTTAAGCTCATATCGGATTGGGTGAGGATCATTCAGATCACCATCCACTGCTGTCACGTAGGAGATGTTCGAATTCTGGAAGACAACTCAGCAGTTAATACCTCAAAGAAAAGATTAGAAGAGAAATCCAAATCTACTAATCTACTGCAATTGATAACAAAGATAACAAGATGAAACAATAATCTGTAACCAAGGTAACATGAACAGAAAATTGAAATGTTTTCCGTGGCTTCAAAATGTTCTGTATGACAATTCAATATCTTACTCATACTACCAAAATGATTTTGGTAAACAAAAATTCAAATCACATCAAATAACAACTATTAAGATGGTTACTTACGATAGGTAAACTCTCGTTGACGGTGGCTGGAGTTACGTAGGTAAAGACCGGAGGACTGTCGTTGATATCCTCCAATGTTATCTCAAAACTCTGGAGAAAACGATTCTTGCCATCCTGAGAATAGAGAGAGTTTATCAGCGAATAATATGTGGCATTGTACAACATTACAGCTGGGGACAAGTGAGTGACTGTGAGTGAATGGTTGTATAAATGACGCACTCAGCAAGATTCCTGCTGTCATTTTGACCAGTACATAGTATTATCACACCTCTATGTCAGAATGACGAGATCTGATTGGCCCACGTGATCTTGATGACATACTGTGTGACCCACCTTGAATAAATTTTTCAGCGGGGCAATAAATCTCTTATACCCCACCACGAGCAACACACATGGATTTCTGAGAGGCAGAATAAATCCCTTATACCCCGCTTCCAAGCAAAAGAGCATGCTTTTTCAGAGTCATTGGAAGTCACTTAACATAGCACAAGGTAACCTCCTTACTCAATCGAACAAGTGTTTCCTATCTATTTTGAATTTGTTTGAATTTTTCTAAAATGTTTTTTACAAGATAAATGCATCGTAGCAGGATCTGGTGATGTCAGGGCCAAGGAAGTAAATTTTGTTGGTATAATACTGCACTCAGCAATATTTAAGCTATATTTTGCCCTGTAAATGGGTATATAGTCACATCAGGGCCAAGGAAATCAGTGGTTTATAGCAATGGCCCCATCTGGAAATCAACAATCAGCCAGATCCATCTACGTGATTATACTCATCCCTTAGTCTGCCCTGACATTCCTACAGGGAATATGGAATTGAATGTGAGTCAAACATCAAGCAGCTCAATGAAATATTTGACGTAATATCATTCTTGAAACAATCTAACACACTAAATAACAATGACATCAAGTTTGATCTGAATGTTATGAAAACTTACAAAGGTCTGTAATGGCAGCTGATAGGTAGATCTTGTCTCATAATCCACTGGAGTTATCAGTTGAAGGTCTCCTATCCATTGTTTATTGTTGGAACTTTTTTGGATAAGTCGGAACGTGTTACATGCTTCTTGATACTGAAAACAATCGGATCATCATACATATCTTTTCTAAAAAGACATTGGCAATATTTATCTGATCCATATGTAGCGGCCATAAAATTTCCGAGTCCCGTGATGGGATTCGAACCACGGACCTTCTGATCCGAGGTCGGACGCCTTGTCCACATGACCAAAGAGGTTAACCCCGTCAGCAAGCTGACAAGGTAAGGATGTCATCTGTGGGATGACTCCACGCCCTGCTACATACTCCCCCGTCAACAGAAGGCACGTCCCGGGCCGCATAGTAGGGTACTGAGGCTTATTTTGCTCAAATTTAATATGAACGTGCTCAGCCCCACGTTGGGCGCCAATGTAGCGGCCATTAAATTTCCGAGTCCCGTGATGGGATTCGAACCACGGACCTTCTGATCCGAGGTCGGACGCCTTGTCCACATGACCAAAGAGGTTAACCCCGCCAGCAAACTGACAAGGTAAGGATGTCATCTGTGGGATGACTCCACGCCCTGCTACACATACATGTGTCTATCTTAATTGTTTGTGAAGTTGAAGGTCTGTAAGTGTTAAATTACTTTGTGAAATTATTACATTTTATTACATAGAAATTTTCCAGTAACTAATGGGAGATAACTCTGTCACTCACCAAAGAGTTCTCACCAGTGACTGCACTGGCGTTACACGTCACTTCAATTGCCTGGTTCACAAAGTCAATATCAGAAACAGTCAAGTTACTTTGAAGGATGTAACCAGGGCTAGCTGTCTGTAAAGAAACAAAAAGATACCTAAATAACACAAGTATATAACATTATCAACGAAATCACTAAACTCATATCTGAACCCCCCCCTCAAATGTAGTGTGATGAAATCTTACAACGCACTGGGATCCTCGACTTCTTTGAATAGTATATATGTTGTATATTCTGAGTCACAGTATCATGTATAGTTCAGTTTGTACACAAATACCATCATGTATTCTATATCTACCAACACCAGAAATTTCTTTAGTTTTTAAAAGTGCCAATAATTTGCTTCCAGTTTAAAGAATGTGTGAATTATCATGTTATTTCTTTCTATTTGAGAATAGGGGTAAGGATGAAAAGGGCAAGAAAGGGTAAGTAAAGGTAAGAAGGGTAAGGGGTTAGGAGGGTAAGGGTTAGGGTGAGGGGGTAAGGGTTGTAAGGAGGGTGAGGGGGTAAGGAGGGTAAGGAGGGTTAGGGTAAGGAGTGTAAGGGGTTAAGGAGGGTTAGGGTTAGGAGGGTAAGGGTGTAAGGAGTGTAAGGAGGTAAGGAGGGTTAGGGTAAGGAGGGTAAGGAATGTAAAGAGGTAAGGAGGGTTAGGGTTAGGAGGGTAAGGGGGTAAGGAGTGTAAGAGTAAGGAGGGTAAGGGGGTAAGGAGGGTTAGGGTAAGGAGTGTAAGGGGTTAAGGAGGGTAAGGGTGTAAGGAGTGTAAGGGGGTAAGGAGGGTTAGGGTAAGGAGGGTAAGGAATGTAAGGGGGTAAGGAGGGTTAGGGTAAGGAGGGTAAGGGGGTAAGGAGGGTTAGGGTAAGGAGGGTTAGGGTAAGGAGGGTAATGGGATAAGGAGGGTAAGGGGTAAAGGGTAAGGGGGTAAGGAGGGTGAGGGTAAGGAGGGTAAGGGGGTAAGGAGGGTAAGGGGGTAAGGCATGAGACGCTAGAAAGTAACTTTTATTTGCACTAGTCCGCAAACATTATCTGCTACACAGATGCCATCTACCTAATGGTATAATTGGTATAACAAGGAAATTTTGCCAATCCTTCCTGAATTTTACAAGTCTTGGACTAGAATACTTAATGTTGATATCAAACCCTGATAACTGTAAGGGTAAGGGTAAGGGTAAGGGTAAGGGCTATGATAAGAACCAATGGCATGGAGAGTAAGGAGGGTAACCATAAGATCTAAAAGAACTAATTTTAGGTCCAATAAGACAGTAAATCAATTTCACCACTTCAGTCAACACAAGCATGGTGAAGGGACAATAACAGAAAGTCACTGCCACATATTCCACAGGTAGACAGGTAGATTTTTAGTAGGATTTATGCTATCCGTTACCACTAATTTCTAGCCCTGCAACAATATTGTTTTACACTTACCTCAGGCATACGAATGGAGTATATCTGATTTAAAAACAAAGCTGGGTTGTCATTGGCATCGACGACATTGACAGTGGACTGGGTACTGGTCTGGAATTATAAAAATAGTAGCACCTGGTTATGTAGTCAACAAAAGAGATGTCAGCATTGCTCTTCAAATAGGTTCTGCACAAAGACTAAAAACACTCAAATCTGATGATTTGAACAAAAGATAATGTCATCATAAGGAGAAACATATGAGCTAGAGTTCAGCTAATTCAGTCTGGTAATTTTTCTGAGAATGTTACAATGCCAAATATGTATTTTGACAAGGTCAAAATATAAACTATTTTAAAAAGCACAACATAGGTGTTGAGTCCCACAATTAATCAAACAAATACTGAAATTTGTTACATTTTGGACAAATTGTGGTAAGACAATGGCCAACAATTTTCAATATGGTTGCTGATGAGGCCATATTGAAAATCATATATTAATCTGAGGTGTTATCACTGGCACAGATATGTGAAGCTAACAGCTTCATCAGTCAAGTTGTTTCTGGAGAAATGATGTTAGCCTTGCAAGGGACTGCACTGGAGATAGTTTGGGAGCATGGTCAAATTGCAAAGATCAAATAAAGGTCATGTATAAAACATATTGTGAAAAACGAAACATATGCCTTGAGCCCCACTATTAACGACATGTGCACCAAATTTAATTCCATTTTTTAACAAAAACGGCTGAGTAATGACAACCTTATTGAAAATCGGAAATGATGAACAAATTGGTGGTCATCATTGGTGGGAACAAGCATGTTTCAGTTTCAGCTTCATTGGTCAAGTGTTTCGGAGGGGAAGATGTTTAATAATAATAATAATAATAGGCTATTTATATTGCACTTATTTCCATACAACTTAGGGACATGCTCAAAGCTCTATTATTACCCCGGTCACTGGATCATTGTGCACTTTTAAGAATCATTCTCAGCTCCCTGGGGAGTATACAACCCAAGCTTCCTGTTAGGCACTAGAAGGTTTACAACCACATTGCCATCTCTTCCTACCGGATACCCATTCACTGCTGGGTGAACACAGGTACATTTCGAACAAAGTCACTTGCCCAAGGAGACGCAACATTTGTTATATGTGCTTCAGTGTGGGGCAGGACCGAAGCCCTAGAAACTCTCAGGAGCCAGCTGTCGAAACGCAGTCACCCATCCAAGGACTCTTCGCAACCGATGTTGCTTAACCTCGCCTGATTTGTGACCTGTAGGCTGTGCACATACAATGGACAACGGATGGACAAACAGGCCATGACATATACTCACTTGACATTGAGTCAGGTGGGCCAAACAGAACATCCCAATGGTTGACAAGTTAACTGATGAGCAGCATGTGGCATGTTAAAAGTAGAAACTAAAGCCTCACAATCCTTTAAACAATAAAAATCTCCATCCATTAATTATACAGACTTGTACATTCCTTGCAAACTGTGATGATAACATGGAGGTGAAACTGGCCTAATTGAAATTAGCACAATGAGTGAGTGAGTGAGTTAATATTTAACGTCACATCGGCAGTATTTTAGCCATATCGTGTCTAGCACAATGAGAGATGCTGAGTTAACATTATATTCATATTTTTACCCCAGGATAATTTTTTAATGCAATAATAATTTTCTTTCAGTTCAGCACACATATTATTCAGTTTTGAAGATGCTGAGTAAACATTATACAGCGTTAGAAATTGGCACTAGTAGTCCTAGCCAAACTGCCCAATGGTTAACTAAGGTATCATAAGGACTAGTAGAAATTTGCCCTTTTTAAGGGTTTTGCTATATGTTATCATTATAAGGACTAGTGGACAAAATCTATTAGTTTCTACCGCTGTTATATTCATATTTTCACCCCAGGATAATTTTTTTAATGCAATAATAGTTTTCTTTCAGTTCAGAAAACATTAATCAGTTTTGAAAATGACATGTCCTTCAGTATTCATCCATGTGAACCGTGTCCAGACCAGAAACTTACTGTCTCAGATCAAGTATACCTGTCCACCACAAGTAGAAGTGAATATCCATACTCTACCATTTTATAAGGATTCTGTTTACTGAAAATGACACACCACCAGCTGGGGGAACTTACACTAAGTCCTTCCTGGTCAAAACAAAACACCATGACTCTCAGAACTTTCAGCTGAAAAAGAAATATGCAAATGTACATGGCTATTAGGGTGGATCAGTTATGAAGACATGTGAAAACGACAATGGTCACAAACTAACAGCAATGTAAACTTGATGCATCTTTATCTCCAGGAAAGTTGAAACTGTCCGGTAGTAGTGAAAGAAAAGCACCCTACTGTGTACTGGCCATATATTTACGAATGTCGGTTTAATGGTCATGTGACCACACAATGGAAACTGTCCAAAGGAAAGGCTGTATATCAGGTGAATTTGACATTAAACAATATCAGAGTATAAACCAGTGTTCCCGATTACCAGTAATTACCAGCATTTTACCGGTAAAATTAGGCTTGGACCGGTGATTCATGTAACTGCCAAGTAGCTTATAAATCTTTGTTGTTGAGCAAAACATTGGCAATATTCATATAATTCCCCTCGTCTATTTTTAGTGCAAGTAAATAACATTTCGCTTTGCTTCAAGGTTAAATACATATTTGTAGTGACGTAGTCTCGAAATATTCCAAACAAAAAGAGAAAAATGTGACTGAACTTTGGGTCAATAAGGTGCAGATCTGACTAAGTTACTTCAGAGATGACATCATTCCATTGAACATGATGTTGAAAGAATAAAAACCAGGTAATTTTCATACGTTTTTTTTATTTCAAGAAAGTTGGGACTGAAAAGTATAGGGGAGAACTGGTAATGTATAGAGTTGCCTGTCCACCAAGACTAGCAGTTTCAAAAGCCAGCGGGAACACTGATAAAGTAGAGAAAATAACATGCTTATCATTTAACATGATATAACAGTGAACTCATAGCAGAAATATACTGACATAGTATTTCCAGATGGCAATATTTCTACTTGCAATAACCCATTTCAATCTCCATTGCATAACAATGAAAATATTTCGGTATTTGAAATGAAGCATAAAGTCCAGGGCCCTGTTCCCCAAAGCGATCTTAGTGCTAAGGTGATCGTAAGTCTCATTCTTAAACATAGGCTTATGATCATCCTAGCGCTAAGATCGCTTTGAGGAGCGGGGCCAAGGAGTCCTTGTCATTGCCCTTACTTAAAAGTTGAAGATTTAGGGTTTCCTAGATGCAAATACTAAAAGGAGCAAAACCTGTTGACTTCAGGAACCCATTAACTTAAAACACTAATAATGCACTTGGCAATGTTTAAATCCCGAGCATCCTTATACATACCTCACTCTCATAGTTAAGTGGTAGAATAAGTTTCACTTTTCCAGTGGTTGCATCCACTTCAAACTTGTCAGCTTGTATACCATACGTGACAGGCCCACCATTCGGGTCCACAGCTTCCAGGGTGTATACAATTGAACCTGAAGTAGATAAGTTTATTGTTGAGTGAGTAACTGAGTATAGTTTTACGCCGCTTTTAGCAATATTCCAGCAATATCATGGCGGAGGACACCAGAAATGGGCTTCACACATTGTACCCATGTCGGGAATCGAACCCAGGTCTTCGGCGTGACGAGCGAACGCTTTAACCACTAGGCTACCCGACCGCCCCGATTATTGTTGAAGTAACATCAACTTAACTAAAGTAGAGACCCGTGAAGATCCAGGGATAGAATTGGTCTTCAGCAACCCATGCTTGCTGCAAGAGGAGACTATGCTTGTCATAATAGGCAACTAACAGGATTGGGTGGTCAGGCTCGCTGACTTGGTTGATGCATGTCCTTGTATCCCAATGTGCGTAGACGGATGCTTATGATGTCAATGACTGGATTGTCTGGTCCAGGATGGATTATTTACAGACCGTTGACATATAGCTGGAATATTGTTGAGTGCGACATTAAACAACAAACTAACAATCAAAAACATAATCGGGGCAATCAATCTTTATTGTCAACATTATCCATTAGCAGGGAAAATTTAAAATTCCAATCTGACATTTGCATTTAGGCCACGCCCCCTTCAAATAGTGTATTTTTGCATATGACGGTTTCCGGACCCCTGTCCATTAGCATTTTAGTGTCCTATTTGTGCATTGATGTTCTTCAGTACACATTGTTCTTTCTTTAGATATGATGTCTTTTGTTTGCAAGTTGTGTATAGGTATCGTTTGGTATTTTGAATTCATTATTTGTTTGTTAACAATGACTTTTATTTGTATCATTCGACCTTTGTCCGCAACATTTGACTATTATTGCGTGTTTTTGTCCTCAATTTCAACGTTGTATATTTTGGCCGAATGTCCCCCCATATTCCCAGTGTGGTTGGTGGCAGCAACAAAACAATGTTTGAAATGGTAGTGACATTTTCATGAGTGGGAAACTTACCAACAGGTGTTGTTTCATCAATTCTTGCTAAATTCATATTTTTTGTGAAATATGGAGCATCTTGAGCGTTGACAACCACTGCAAAAAAATTAATAATATTTTACACAAAATGAAATACTGTCCTCTGTTCTGATGAGTAATTTGAAGCATTGTATCTCTGCACTTGGAATGAGTTTGAAAGTATTATCATGATATTTCTTGGTGCAACATACTGATGATAACTAGTAAGTGAATATGAGTGAGTGAGTATGGTTTTACGCCGCTTTTAGCAATATTCCAGCAATATCACGGCGGGGGACACCAGAAATGGGCTTCACACATTGTACCCATGTCGGGAATCGAACCTGGGTCTTTGGCGTGACGAACGAAGGCTTTAACCACGAGGCTACCCAACCGCCCCTTCAGTGAATATGAAGATAATGGAACACTGGAACAGAATACTATTTACACCTGTGTTCAATAAACATGCTTGAACAAACTAAATAACAGGGTGAAATGTTAACTTTCTGGTATGTTCACAAGGCATTGCAAAAATATTATGTCAGGCCCACTAACTAATACTTAGATATTCACACAATGTTTTATTAAATGTGAAGCATTTCAGTTTAGTTCATTGCATGTGGGACATATCTTCTTATAATTAGGTACCGACTCCCTGGTCTAGTGGTACAGCATCCGCCCGGAGAGCGGAAGGTCTGGGGTTCGATCCCCGACTGCATCATACCAAAAGACGTTAAAAGATGGTACTTGTTGTTACCCTGTCTGGCATTCGGCATTAAGTGGCTAAAACAAGGACTGGTCAGCTAGGAGTCAGTATACTGTGTCTGAGTGGGGCATTCATGTTAAACTGCAGCATGGTATCTCAGTGAGTGAGCACTATAAATCAGCATCAGTCCAGACAAGTACAAGCAGACAGACAGACAGACAGACAGACAGACAGACAGACAGACAGACAGACAGACAGACAGACAGACAGACAGACAGACAGACAGACAGACAGACAGACACACACACACACACACACACACACACACACACACACACACACACACACGTACGTGCATGCATGTCGCTATATAAGTGCAATAATCTTGGACACGATGTTAAACCCCTATTCACCTCACCTTATAATAGGGTGACAAGTTAGTTCAAAGGATCCACTTACCACAGCCACATGGGAAACTATAAATGATCTCAAAAGGAACATTTATTTATATCCTTGTGTCTTACCATGAATAGGCCATGCTGACAGTGATGGGGCTCTTACTTAAACACTTACCTATTGCTATCAGCAAGAGGCAGGCAATGCTTCTAACACCCATCTTGCAACTCCACACCTGGGAAGCTAGCTGTGGGACTAGCGTTCTTCTGAAAGAAGGGGATAAAACATAAACATATGTATAACCTATAGTTACATAAGACACATGCATGATTTCAAAAAAGAAAAACATAGAACATATATTCACATGTCAAAACAAAAAGTAAAATCCATTATTTGACATGGGTTCTGTTGACAACTCTTTGAACATGCAGATTAAACCAAAAGAATCAAGCAATTTTGTGAAATAAGCTTATTATCATAGTAAAATAGAAACAATATCAATGAAAACATATACCATAGTATTTTGATGTGATCAAGTTATTGTGTCATGTCCTATATGAGTTTGAGTTGTACATGTTGGTTTGATTAAATTACTATTTAGATCTCCAGTACTTGGGGGGGGGGGCGGTCGGTCGGGCAGCCTAGTGGTTAAAGCGTTCGCGCGTCACACCGAAGACCCGGGTTCGATTCCCGACATGGGTACAATGTGTGAAGCCCATTTCTGGTGTCCCCGGCCGTGATATTGCTGGAATATTGCTAAAAGCGGCGTAAAATCAAACTCACTCACACTCACACTCCAGTACTTGGGATTGGATTAGTCTTGATGGCTGTATTTAGTCTTGCTACCTGAGTTACCCAGTCATACATGGACATGTTAGGAGCACTCTCTAGTACAGCTGACCATGTAACAACATCATAGGTATGTCATTGTATATATTGGTATCGTTATAGATCTAGTAAAGTTATGAATATCAATACAAAATTAAAAATTCATTGCCACAGAAACATTTACATTTCTTAAGATTACCACGGTTAAGATCGACAAAGAGAAGGCAGAACATCTAATGCATCAGCCTAATATAAAATTGCAAGTCTACATAGGTAATATTATACATATACTAGTAAAATATATTTAATCCTATTATTAGTCAATGTATATATATCAATTATCATGATACTTTTGAGTCGATATATGACACTAAAATGTCTAATCAATGACACCCCTAAAACAACAATTATGACAAAATCCAATGACCATGTTATAATATTACTGTAGATATGAGGACATCTACCAATTAGGCTTATTACCATGATGACAGGTAGAAATATTGCTAGCTATCCTAAAAATCCATTATTTCTATGATGCTATGTATAATCGACGTATTAATATTGGCTAATCAAAGTGTACAATTTGAGAATGTTTTAATTTTGAGCCAACCATCAAAGACTTACACTTTAACTATTATAAAATTTGCCTCCCGTTGGAGCATTAGGCTTATCATACACAAACAATGCCAAACATAAAGTTAGAGTTTTTATATCGAAAAAAACCCGTTTTACTCCTAGATTCTGTTAAATAACTGGAACTGTCAGAATACTCAAGCAAATTGATTATCAGGCAATTCAATCATTACGGTTTACGTTGCTAGATCTAATGTCTTTGGACCCTAATAGATACCTTAAATTATAAAGAACGTTTAAAACAATCAACCAGTCAATAACATAATTGTAAAAACTAATAGATTTGTTCAAATTCTGGTAAACGATCTGTACTCACGGTTCCCACTTGCTTATATCCACACGCCCTGGTAAGATCGCGAAAACCTATCAGCCAGGTTGTGCAGCATGTATCACTATTGTGGTTGCTATTCATAGACACAGGACGGCAGAACCGGTTCTGCCACTCACTCTGGGCCGGCTGTCGATTTGCATTCGCCGCCATTTTTACTCTGTGAGTGGAATAACGGGATTCATGGAACCTGAAACGGAATATGATTTTACGTAAAATTGCGTAATGTGAATGCAAAGTTCCAAATTTCTTTTGATATAAAGAGTCTCTGAGGGTATTCTTAACTAAACATTTTCACATTAAAACAAATGTATTTCAATATTTAATTTAAAATCATAGTTTACTATCTAAAATGTTTGTAAACGTGGTTTGTTTAAATCATTCTTGTTTGGATGCATTTATGGGGTATATGGATGGGGGGGGGGGGGGGGGGGCTTGTTGTGTGATACTGGGAATGGGTGTACCTCGCTATTTCCACTGTGTCTGAATCTGTCAGTTTCTACCTACTACTACTACTACTACTACTACTACCACTACTACTACTACTACATACAGTTAGAATGAACTTAGCTTCAGGCAACAGACAATGCACCTTGCTCTCTAATAACGAAGGTGTTAATTAGACGCCTTGTTGCCGCGCTCCAAGCAATAGAGACCAGTGACATTGTAACAAGACAATGCTCCTGTCATTATCAATGAACCGTGGCACGTAATCCGGTTTGTACTTCTTTTGTCTGATGTTGTTAATTACACCACAAAGTACTTGTACTGCTAACCAAAAAAGAGATACTTTCACTCTGTTTTTTTTCATTGAAATCGGACAAACTAAAGAGTAGACGTCAAGAGTGAGTGAGTCGGGTTTTAACGCCGCTTTAACAGTATTACAGTTATATCGCGGCGTGTCAGCTTAAAGTGGGAGGAAAGCCCGAAGTGATGCAGGTCTCAGATGTTTACCACTTAAGTGAACGGGTATGGTGCTGACAAACCTAGAAACATAATCGGGGCGAACCGGGATTCGAACCCACAATCATAGGTTATTGGCGTGCCCAAGGGACGCAACTCTGCACAGCGAATCGCGGTGCCTTAGACGACTGGGCCACCCGTGCCCCCCTAGACATATTATAGAAACTGTCACCATTGTCGTAATTACATTCAAGAAAGTATATTATCAAAATATTTAGCAGCATTGTTTTAAAGAGCTTTAATACAACAACACAGTATCCCCTTATCGGACAATACAATTTATAAAATAAAATCAACCCAATTTTTTTGTTGATCATTTAAAAATAAGTTCTTTAAGTGGCATTTAGAAATTGGAATGATGTACAAGGGATATGGTTCTTTGGATATACAACTTCTTTAAGTCTTTGAAAGACATTTATTGATACACATAAGGAAGAGAATTTATGGATGTCAACTTCTACATTGAGGAACACAACGTTCTTTATTACAATGAATGCGACATGTCGATGTAGATGCTAACACCGTGATTGGCTTGATGACGTTGTTAGTGTCGACACTGAAAGGTCGCATATCCATCAAACTATCTCCCTAGTTAATTTAAATAAATAAACAAAAATACACCCTGACGAACATACAAGTTTGACATCTGTATACTGGAGTAATATAGGAATCAGTTTTACTGCACTTATCACAAAAAGCCCCCCCAAATTACTTACAGACAAAGTATGAATCAGAGACCACATAATAGATATATCTATTATATGGTCTATGTATGAATTAAGATGTCATTTTAAGCAGATTCAAACCGTTGCTTATTCAAGTTGTAACCACAACAGTTCTTTACCTTAATTGTCATCATCCCACACACTATTTACACCTACTAATGTTTAGCTGAGTTTAACAAATCACCCATGTATCATGACAAATTGCCCTGGTCCGCAGAAACATGTTTTATTACGGTCTGTAAATAATCGAGTCTGGGCCAGACAATCCAGGGATTGACATCATGAGCATCGTTCCACGCAATTCGGATACAATGACATGCATCAACCAAGTCAGCGAGCCTGACCACCCGATCCCTTTAGTCGCCTCTTACGACAAGCATAATCTTGATGTGAATGTATTACTCCGTGGACGCTGATTCCCGTTGTTTGTTGTGTAGGTTGTTTATTTGATTACTGGTATTTTGGGTACGTACGGAATTTTGTACGAAACCCCACACTACACACAGCTGAAGGACTTTTAATAATTTTACCGTTTACATTCATTGTAAACCTTTTACGACAACATAAAACCACTCAATCTTTTATACATTAGTATTTTTCACATCCTTTTCCGCTCCGCAATTTATATTTCTCGCACCTGTAATGCGTACTGAGTGGGAGGAGCCAGGAATTGATTGTCAACATACTGTGGCTATTTTTGTACTCACCAAACCGGTCGCTTGTAGACTGGCATGAATGCTTACCTGAAAGTAGGAGTAGCTGAGGGTGTGCAAGGGAGCGGTGGAATCATATCGTAATACTGTCTATGGATAAGACTTATTTCGTGAAATAACAACTTTCGAGGGAAAAGGTAGGGATACATGACTTTGTGGACGTTAGTATAGTATAACATGTAAAAAGGACTTAAAGATTTTCAATCGATCTTGTTAGTATTTCAGATGTGATTATAAATATTGAGTAGGACCTTATGGTTTAGGTATTGATACATTTCTGCACAGTTTGTTTAATGTTTATAATAGTTATGTTATATGTACCACGATAGATCATATGACTATAACCCATGTCATCTGTCTATCGATGCTTGATTGATGAAAATGGGAATAATGGTTGCCTGAGTGTTTTCAGTTATGTGATCTATTCTCATGTTTACCATAATTGTAAGAATGCCATCATAATATGATTTTTGTCAACTTTTGACTGCTTATTTTCTCTTTTATGAGTTGCAATACATGGTAATTTAGGAAATATTATATTGAAGTACATTTATTTGTCGTGATATTTTCAACAGAATGATGAATGTACCTATAGATTGTATACACCCTGACAAGACCTCATTCAGATTTCCCATTATTCTTTTCTAAATAGTGTGTATTTAACAATAAAAGGCTTGTCAAGGGAATGAATATAATAAGTATGTAATATATATGTTATTGGTGTCATTGTGCTTAAAATGTTGACAGAATATATAGCTATGTACATGGTGTATGCCTACTGTACAAGTGTCATGGAGTTAAGTTCTCTAACAGTCAATACAATAAGTACAATGATGGTAATTAGTAAACTGACAAGGTGCATATTATGGTGTTATGAAAACACCCTGGTTACAGCTGATGTGTTTTGAAATGAAATTGCTTGTTAGTCCACTTTTGTCATGGGCACTGAATGGTAATTTGGGTTCTGAAATTAATTTTGGGTTGCTATGATCTTTTTACATGAAATACTGTTGAAACCCAAAGGAGATGTTTTTTTATTAGTAAACCCAAACCTTTAATCCTACACTTCCTGATGACAAACTTAATAAAATGCATTGATGTGATAATTTTTAGTTGTATTTGATCCACATTGCTAAATCGTTTTTTCACTCTCCTCCTTCCAGACTTTAACTGTTGGCCCTCGACATGACGGGGTCGGCGTGGCTGCTGTTGTCAGCGTTATTTGCAGGTAAGGGAACAGAATACTTGTTGTCATCCTCAAACATTTTTATGCTATGACTGTATCATGTGTATGATCTCTCAAAAATTGTTGCAATGAGGTGAGGTGAAATGGATTTTAACGTTGCATCCAAGATTATTGCACTTATATATATTGACGTACATGCATGTGTGTGTGGCTGCTTGTATATATAGCCTGGACTAATATTAATGCCGATTTATAGTGCTATCTAACTGAGATACCATGCCACAGTTTAGCATGAATACCCCACTCAGTCACAGTATACTGACTCCAAGCCGACCAGTCCTTGTTTTAGACCCTTAATGCCGAGCGCAAGACAGGGTAACAACAAGTACTCTCTTTAACGTCTTTTGGTATGAGGTGGCCAGGGATCGAACGCCAGACCTTTCGCTCATCGGGCGGACGTTGTACCACTAGACCACGGAGACGGTCTTGTTGCAATGATAGTGGAGTGTAATTGCTGACTAAATCTGTCTGACTATATCTATGTGACAGGAATACAGTAGCTAATAAATTCACTGTTTGTGTTTTTGTTTTTAGGCTTGATTGCCTCCAGTTATCAACAAGGTAAGTGTCGGAAACATGACGCAGCTATAAACATGATCCAACATTTATATGCTGAAAGTCATCCCAAAAAACTTCATGAACATATTTCAACCAAGGTCCGGATTTATCTACAATGTCACACTAAGTGCCTGTGGCTGGCAAATTTGGAAAAGTAATTATTTCGTAAAAAAATTGGATTTTTAAAAAAGTTTTTACTTTCTTAAATTCAGAGATATTTTAACATTGCATTCAATATAATCATGTAAAACTAAGCATTGACATGGTTAAAGCCTCTTCAACATACAAAACACCTTACAAAGCCATCCGTGAGGCTAAAATGAAATAAAAGTCTTGGTTCTCAGGCACAGCCTGCATCATCAAAAAGTCAGCTGCACGTTTCATTTTTATTTCCTTTTTCAAAAATTTAAAATTACAACTAACAATGTGATCCAAAATAGCACGCAGTTACTTCCCTTTACATTAGCACTGCTTTACTGCGCATCTCGTGTTATGGTCATGGCGGCAATAGGAGTTTGTTTATGTAGGGAGGCCCTTTCCCAGGTTGATGGTACACAACTGTTTATTTGGTTACATATTAGTTTTGAACAAGCAACAACAAAAAAACACTGTCCGCCCGCACTATATTTTCAAAAGTCATTGCCTGAGAACCAATTCTTTTATCTTATTAAGCCTATCAGTTTACAATGCTAACATGAATTGGGACGTTTTATTTTCCATTTAGAGATTTTTGCTGACATTTATGGGCCGAAAATCGGGCTCTGAGAAGGTCTAATAATTCCTTTCAATTAATGTTTTCAATGATAATGCATAGTGAAACGTGTCAATGTCAATCAGGAGACATATTATGCATTTGTGGCAGGTCAATTCTTCTTTTCATGGCCATTAAATTCCTATTCCTGATCCATGTAGTGTACAAGCAGGTTAATGCTAACACCCAAACATTCTGGGAAGGTTATCTATTTGTAATGTTCTTGTAACCATGGTAACAAGTGAAGTGCAGTATCAGTGTGACCAAACCTCGTTTATCCTGTGGATGAATCTCATTCAAATGACATGACATTGTGAACATAGCAGTCCAATCAGATTTCACCCATGAGTAACGAAATTTTGTGCAAAAGCATGATGCTACCACCAGTAGTCCTTGAGACGAGGCATGGAGTCGTCCCATGTTACAGCCTTGTTGTCGTCACTAGTTCTTCGGACAAGGCATGAAGTCGTCCCACTTCTGACACCTTGTTACAGCGTTGTTGTCACTTGTCTTTGGGATGAGGCATGAAGTCGTCCCACATCTGACACCTTGTTACAGTGTTGTCGTCACTAGTCCCTGGGACGAGGCATGGAGTCGTCCCACATCTTATGCCCATAGTTCAAATCCCATGAAAATACCCCAGGAATTATTTATTTTATCACAGTAACATAACCTGGGGCCTGTTCCACAAAGTGATTGTAGCGCTATGACACTTCTAAGTCTATGTATGGGAGTTACGATTGTCTGAGCACAACAGTCGCATTGTGGACAGGGCCCTGTTTTGTGTGTGGTGACTATCCCCTGTGCAGGGCTTAACGCGAAAATGTTGAGATTGGACGCAGAAAAGGAATATACTTCGTCCCAAGGGACTCACAATAATATTCATTGCACCTATAGTGCATCAAGAGCAGTATGCGTGTCAATCATGTCATCCATCAATCATGACCACTGTCCACATGATCATTGATTCATTCCAGGCTCTAAAGTAATTATCTAAACATATAGTACACGACATCATTTCATTACTTAACAGGACCCTCATGTTGCCTGCAAGGACCCTTAAAATAATTTATGATTGATTATTGGAGGTCCTCTGGACCCCACTTTTGTAAGTCAAGGTAATACACTCCCCGCTGTTATTTTATGATAAACAAAAGAGAATTTTATTTCACTTGCTGCATATATTCCCCGCTGTTATTTTATGATAAACAAAAGAGAATTTGATTTCACTTGCTGCATATACTCCCCGCTGTTATTTTATGATAAACAAAAGAGAATTTGATTTCACTTGCTGCATATACTCCCCGCTGTTATTTTATGATAAACAAAAGAGAATTTTATTTCACTTGCTGCATATATTCCCCGCTGTTATTTTATGATAAACAAAAGAGAATTTGATTTCACTTGCTGCATATACTCCCCGCTGTTATTTTATGATAAACAAAAGAGAATTTTATTTCACTTGCTGCATATATTCCCCGCTGTTATTTTATGATAAACAAAAGAGAATTTGATTTCACTTGCTGCATATACTCCCCGCTGTTATTTTATGATAAACAAAAGAGAATTTTATTTCACTTGCCGCATATATTCCCCGCTGTTATGTTATGATAAACAAAAGAGAATTTTATTTCACTTGCCGCATATATTCCCCGCTGTTATTTTATGATAAACAAAAGAGAATTTTATTTCACTTGCCGCATATATTCCCCGCTGTTATTTTATGATAAACAAAAGAGAATTTTATTTCACTTGCTGCATATATTCCCCGCTGTTATTTTATGATAAACAAAAGAGAATTTTATTTCACTTGCTGCATATACTCCCCGCTGTTATGTTATGATAACCAAAAGAGAATTTTATTTCACTTGCTGCATATATATTTATGTGTGTGTGTGCTTGTATGTATTGTGAATCTGTTTGCATAACTGCATTTGTGTTGCAGCCAACGATGCTCCCTTCTTCCTCACACTGCAAGGTGGCTCAGGTATAGACGGTAACCTCCTGGACCGTCTCACTAGACAGGGTATCCTGGAAAATACACAGATAGGTAAGCTATTTTAATATCTGTTGACATGTGTATTTTGTTAAGGGGTGTAATGACTCACCTAGACTAACATTTAGTCTCTGAAATCTTATATTACACAATATCCTTCTTGACTCTAAAAATAAAATAAAAACTCACTATGCTGATTTGTGGAATAGAGCTAGCTTGAGCTGGCTAGACTTGCTTTTGTATGCATTTCTAGATTATGTTTTTTTCATAAAATAAATATATTCCACGGTCATGGTGCAGGACTACGACTCACCTAAAGTGCTGGTCTGTGTGATGATACGAATATTGAATCGTTATGTTATATAACGATACAAACAATATATTCAAGGTGTATGAATAGTTTGAATGTTCATAGTATTTACTGCTTGAATTTACAAGAGACCTCAAACAACTAGATGGCTAGATGCTAGTTTTCATGTATTGTTCACTGTATTTTGATATTAAGTTATGCATTGTATCACATCAAAGTGTATCGTTACAGCCCTAGCCAATAATATTTTATAGACCCGTTAACAGGTTAAGATCCGGGTTAGAATAGGTCTTCAACATCCCATGCTTGTTGTAAGAGGCGACTAACAGGATCGGGCGGTCAGGCTCACTGACTTGGTTGATTCATGTCATTGTATCCCAATTGCGTGTGTAGCGGCCATAAAATTTCCGAGTCCCGTGATGGGATTCGAACCACGAACCTTCTGATCAGAGGTCGGACGCCTTGTCCACATGACCAAAGAGGTTAACCCCGTCAGCAAGCTGACAAGGTAAGGATGTCATCTGTGGGATGACTCCACGCCCTGCTACATACTCCCCCGTCAACAGAAGGCACGTCCCGGGCCGCATAGTAGGGTACTGAGGCTTATTTTGCTCAAATTTAATATGAACGTGCTCAGCCCCACGTTGGGCGCCAATGTAGCGGCCATAAAATTTCCGAGTCCCGTGATGGGATTCGAACCACGAACCTTCTGATCAGAGGTCGGACGCCTTGTCCACATGACCAAAGAGGTTAACCCCGTCAGCAAGCTGACAAGGTAAGGATGTCATCTGTGGGATGACTCCACGCCCTGCTACACGTGGATCGATGGTCATGATGTCAATCACTGGATTGTCTGGTTTATTATTTACAGACCGCCATCATATAGCTGGAATATTGCTGAGTGCTGAGTTAAACAACAAATAAAAAATAAAAAATGTTTTGTATAAAATGTGGATTTCATTCGTCAAAACTATGTGCACTTCCTATATACCATGTATTTCTGTATTGGATGAGAAATGAACACAGAAATGTAAGGTACATGTAAATTTCTATTAGTTTCTTGACTTGATGTTGATGGGTTATAGCTAACATCATCCGGAGGCAAGTGTGGTAACTCACTATAAAAGTCCAGTATCCACCCTTGCCAAAGTAGGCTGGAATTATGGAGTTATATTTTGGCTGGACTAACGAGTCTATGCATAGTCCAATCAAAAGACCCGTTTTATTACAATATAGATCTTGATCATTGACCAGATCGTCTTCACTGGGCAACGCCATTATATTTTGCAAATGCAAGTAATATGAGAGGGGGAATCTGATTGGTTAAATGGAGGGACATAGAAGGGACATAACTCATAATAGCCACTGGTGGCCCTACGATCGAGCCCCGAAATTCCAGCATTGTTCGGCAAATGTGGAAAAAGGACTTTTAAAGTCAGTATGGAAGTGTGTCTTCACGGACAAGAATTGTGGGATGACACAGATGTAGGGAATTACATCTGTCATCCCAAGTTAACTTACATGAGGCAATGGCTAGTTGTCAGGTGAATAGTTTATGTCATTTTTCTCGTTAAGACCTAGGTAAAATATTCAGCAGGAATAGTTAGGTTAAACATGAATACCCCAGTATTAAAGTAGTTTTGATTAACACTATATTTTGTTTTAGGTACAAGTGTGGGAGTGCTGTCCTGCCAGGATCCTGACCCCACAGACTTTATTGCTGGCTACGGGGTACAGAGTCAGACCCTGGAGGTGGATGAGAGTACCGGCGAGGTCACCGTTAACCGACAATTAGACAGAGAGGTAGGACACGTTGACCCATTTATTGCGGGGCCAGTGAAGGAGTTTCTGGTGGATTAATGTCGCTAACAGTATTTCCGTCATGTCACAGCGTACAAGGAGTGATGGAGAAATCATAGTGTGACTCAGGGTATGGGGATAGCACACTAGCACCCAAATCTATAACGTGAGCCATAACCACTGTACAAGCTCCTTCCCAGCGCGTGACACCTTCTTTACACTATCAGTAACATCGCTGCCAGCACCCAAATCTATAACGTGAGCCATAACCACTGGATTCTGGTACAAGCTCCTTCCCAGCGCGTGACACCTTCGTTACACTGTCAGTAACATCGCTGCCAGCACCCAAATCTATAACGTGAGCCATAACCACTGGATTCTGGTACAAGCTCCTTCCCAGCGCGTGACACCTTCGTTACACTATCAGTAACATCGCTGCCAGCACCCAAATCTATAACGTGAGCCATAACCACTGGATTCTGGTACAAGCTCCTTCCCAGCGCGTGACACCTTCGTTACACTATCAGTAACATCGCTGCCAGCACCCAAATCTATAACGTGAGCCATAACCACTGGATTCTGGTACAAGCTCCTTCCCAGCGCGTGACACCTTCGTTACACTATCAGTAACATCGCTGCCAGCACCCAAATCTATAACGTGAGCCATAACCACTGGATTCTGGTACAAGCTCCTTCCCAGCGCGTGACACCTTCGTTACACTATCAGTAACATCGCTGCCAGCACCCAAATCTATAACGTGAGCCATAACCACTGGATTCTGGTACAAGCTCCTTCCCAGCGCGTGACACCTTCGTTACACTATCAGTAACATCGCTGCCACCGGTGTGGGCGCGGCCATTACAAGAATCTTGAAATTTGGCCTCTCCCAAATGTAGTAACGTTCATACTTTTGTTTATTTCTTTGGGAATGCCATCATAGTTCATTTTGAAAAGGTTGACGGCGGTCCATGTTTTCCAGATGAATTTATTTTGTTGTCTGTATAATCAGATTGGGTCGAGATTGCAGACTAACGGAAAATCAACCAACTTCTCCCTTACATTCTTACTATATCAATTACATGATAGTTTTAATGAAATTGAAATTGACAAATAAGGAATTTATTTAGCAGGGGTAAGTGTATTCGGCGTCACAACAGTCATCACTTGTTTTTAAACATAACAGTCATTCGGTTGCGAGTTCAACTCCAAGCATGGTTGTGGCCACCAATCAAAGTGGGGAGTTTTGACTGGTGGCAGCGATAGTATAGAGAGCTCCGCGACAGTCAGTCAAGTCGATAATCAAGATCTATATTGTGATAAAACAGGTCTTACATTGCAAATTGCATCAAATTACATGAGCACCTTGATTAAAAACATGAAAAGATTTGGAAAATATCTGTTGACATTGAGTTGGCGGTGCACATGCTTTGCAAATCCTGCAATTGACCAAAATCTGCATGACAGTTTAAGAACCGGTTTTCGATTTCATTGCGCGATTTTGATTGGACAATGCATAGATTCGTTAGTTCAGCCAAAATGTAACTCCATAATACCAGGCGAGTTCGGCAAGGGTGGAAACTGGACTTTTACAGTCAGTTAACTCCCTTGCCTTGGGAAGATGTCACTGGTCAAGTCTACCATGCATTCAACATCCATGCACTAGGTATCTTTTGTTTGTGAAAAGATTTTGTAGTTTTATTAAGAACTATTGTATTTTCCTTCCAGAACTATTTGAAAGAATTTCAGAATACAACAGGAGACAATGCTCGTCTGCTCAAACCAGTGTTTACATGCTGGGACAATAGAGGCCTAACAGTAAGTCATGTAATCGGTCAGAATACTGGACCTTGTGGGATGTAGTTTTTTTTATTTATGCACATATGCATGATGTGACCCCACCTGTAAACAGTTTGTTTTACCTGTAAAGATCCAGGTTATTTTACCTGTGAATATCGAGGTTAATTTACCTGTGAATATCCAGGTATTTTACCCATGAATATCCAGGTTATTTTATCCATGAATATCCAGGTTATTTTACCTGTGAATATCCAGGTTATTTTATTCATGAATATCCAGGTTATTTTACCTGTGAATATCCAGGTTATTTTATCCATGAATATCCAGGTTATTTTATCCATGAATATCCAGGTTATTTTATCCATGAATATCCAGGTTATTTTATCCATGAATATCCAGGTTATTTTATCCATGAATATCCAGGTTATTTTATCCATGAGTGTACAGGTTATTTTATCCATGAATATCCAGGTTATTTTATCCATGAATATCCAGGTTATTTTATCCATGAATATCCAGGTTATTTTACCCGTGAATATCCAGGTTATTTTATCCATGAATATCCAGGTTATTTTATCCATGAATATCCAGGTTATTTTATCCATGAATATCCAGGTTATTTTATCCATGAGTATACAGGTTATTTTATCCATGAATATCCAGGTTATTTTACCCGTGAATATCCAGGTTATTTTATCCATGAATATCCAGGTTATTTTATCCATGAATATCCAGGTTATTTTATCCGTGAGTATACAGGTTATTTTATGCATGAATATCCAGGTTATTTTACCCGTGAATATCCAGGTTATTTTATCCATGAATATACAGGTTATTTTATCCATGAATATACAGGTTATTTTACCTGTGAATATCCAGGTTATTTTATCCGTGAGTATACAGGTTATTTTATGCATGAATATCCAGGTTATTTTATGCATGAATATCCAGGTTATTTTATCCATGAATATACAGGTTATTTTACCCGTGAATATCCAGGTTATTTTATCCGTGAGTATACAGGTTATTTTATGCATGAATATCCAGGTTATTTTACCCGTGAATATCCAGGTTATTTTATCAATGAGTATACAGGTTATTTTATCCATGAATATCCAGGTTATTTTACCCGTGAATATCCAGGTTATTTTATCCATGAATAACCAGGTTATTTTATCCATGAATATCCAGGTTATTCTATCCGTGAGTATACAGGTTATTTTATGCATGAATATCCAGGTTATTTTACCCGTGAATATCCAGGTTATTTTATCCATGAATATACAGGTTATTTTATCCATGAATATACAGGTTATTTTACCTGTGAATATCCAGGTTGTTTTATCCATGAATATACAGGTTATTTTATCCATGAATATACAGGTTATTTTACCTGTGAATATCAGGTTGTTTTACCTGTGAATATCCAGGTTATTTTATCCATGAATATACAGGTTATTTTACCTGTGAATATCCAGGTTATTTTATCCATGAATATACAGGTTATTTTACCTGTGAATATCCAGGTTATTTTACCTGTGAATATCCTGGTTGTTTTACCCGGGAATATCCAGGTTAGAAAAGGTCTTCAACAACCCAAAGCTTTCCGTGAAAGGTGACTATGCTTGTTGTAAGAAGGGACTAAGAGGATCAGCTGGTCAGGCTCGCTGACTTGGGCTGATGCGCGTCATTGTATCCCAGTTGCATGGATCAATGCTCATGATGTCAATCACTGGATTGTCTGGTCCAGACTTGAATATTTACAGACCGCCATAGTAGAGCTGGAATATTTCTGAGTGTGGCATTAAACAACAAACAAAGAACAGTTTATTTTGGACCCCACACTCATTCTTTTTGAGGACACTTGTAGATAATGACCGTTGTGTGTCTGATAATTTCTCTCCTCGCATTTTGGTCATTCCCTTTTGAAAGTCTTTGCACTGTGAACGTTTTGTGAAACAGGACACGCTATGCTTTTACATGTAGGGTATTCCTAATGCCGTGTAATGAAGGATGTAGTGTTGGGTTTGATCCCTGTAAAACGTTTAATATCTTTTCCATATTTGCAGGCATCAGTAGAGGTTGACATTACGTTAACAGATGTTAACGATGAATCCCCTGAGTTTCTCAATGGCCCATATAGCACGGGTGTGAATGAGGTAAGTACCACAATCTCACAGAGAATCATTCAAATGATAAGAGAGGGGATTATGAGGAGGTAAATACAGATAGACAGACTTTATTCAGTACTTTAGGCCCTAGGCCCATAATACAAGCTAGATGGATAAAATAATTAAATGTACATGCTGAATAAATGGCTGGAGGAAAGTATGATTCATGTTACAGGAAAAGGTGATTTGCTTCTTATCTTTAGTACTTGACAAAGGAATTTAATAAAACTTTTAATAGTATGGATATTGTCGGTTGACATAAGCCTTACAAAGGTTTAAGTTGTTGGTGGATTTATGAGATGGTTAGCAGAACATTCTCTTCTCAGTTTGGAATAGCTGTCACTTATCAACAACACATGTAATTCATCCTCAAGTAATCAGAGCCCCTGGCATGGCAGGGGTGTTCGTTATGTGGGGGATTTGTATGGCGGCTGCATTCAACAGCAAGTCTGAAGTTATTACACCGAAACATGATTAATATTTTTCATTGATAAGAGAGAAGATTACAAGTTAAATAGGTTTCTACATTTAAGTCAAGATTTAAACTGAGAACAATAATTAAATTCAGATGAAGCGTAGAGGGTGTCATGATAATCTTGAAAGAAGCAGTCTTAAAATCTGTTTGAAAATTACCATAAATGATGAGGTGCAACCAATGTCCTGAGACAGCCATATAAATCCAAAATATATCTAAATAAAATATTTCTTACATGAGATGCCAAAGTATCTTTACCATTATCATCCTGGGCCTAGATTTTGTAAACAATCTTAGTTAAGATAAATCTTAACTACTTACGTTCAAAGATAAGATATCTTAAGACTAAGATAAGATAGATTTTCGAAACAATCGTAAACCTGTCGCAGATCGCTCAGAGCTACGACACCTATCTGTAGCGGGAGAATAGCTCGAAGTCGTTAAGCGCATCGAGGGGACGAGTTCTGTCTCGGAATATCCTCGGTCTTGTCATCAAATTATTGTCATCTTCATCATGAAAAATGTCCAGAGCAAAGTATGCCGCCATCTTGGATGAGGATAAAATAAACTTACAACAGGTATAGGGCTATCTTAGATTTACGACAAACTTAAGATATCTTAGGGCTACGATAGTTTCGAAAATAGGCTACGATACCCTACGATTTCCTTACGATAACTTTACGATAATTTTAGGGCTAAGATCGTTTTGAAAATCTAGGCCCAGAGTCTTAATCCTGTTATATGCTTGGTGGGAAGTCTATGCGGTTGTAACTGGAGCAGACCGCACCAGTAAATACAGCTACACAAGATTAAAACAGATTGTTAGCAGACATCTGTGAAAAAGAACATTTTGATACATAGATTGAACTAATGCCAATATCATTTGGGTTATCCTTTATTTCAATTAAGAAGTATTACCATTGCTGCCTATAACAGGCTAGGAGAAGCACCGTCCGTACTGATAGTATGTTAGTGAACTTCAAGATTATGCACTCTTTGAAAATTAAATCTGATCACTACCCAGATAAAATGTGAAAAGAAGTAAATGTGAGGTCATTGTTAATTGTCTGATGGTTGTGGTGTGAGATAGAAGCCATTCTTTTATAATTTGCTTATTGTCTCCAGAATGCTGGAGTGGGAACCACGATATTCAGCGGCGTATCAGTACGTGATGAAGATAGTGCAGACAATGCCCGTGTCAGAGTCGCATGTTCTGGAACTGATCTTGAGGTGAGTCACCTGTGACGAGGGCAGGGGAATGACGTGTTTGGCAGTCGTGGGTTGAGGGAGCTAGAGAGGAGCAGAGAGGAGGGGGGCAAGGCAATGGCATGGGGGTTGAGGGAGCTAGAGAGGAGCAGAGAGGAGGAGGGCAGGGGAATGGCGTGGGGGTTGAGGGAGCTAGAGAGGAGCAGAGAGGAGGAGGTCAGGGGAATGGCGTGGGGGTTGAGGGAGCTAGAGAGGAGGAGGGCTGGGGAATGGCATGGGGGTTGAGGGAGCTAGAGAGGAGGAGGGCAGGGGAATGGCGTTGGGGTTGAGGGAGCTAGAGAGGAGCAGAGAGGAGGAGGGCTGGGGAATGGCGTGGGGGTTGAGGGAGCTAGAGAGGAGGGCAGGGGAATGGCGTTGGGGTTGAGGGAGCTAGAGAGGAGCAGAGAGGAGGAGGGCTGGGGAATGGCATGGGGGTTGAGGGAGCTAGAGAGGAGGAGGGCAGGGGAATGGCATGGGGGTAGAGAGAGCTAGAGACAACACTCTAATGATACTATTGCAACATAGGTACAACTATATATTCTGTGGTGTAGCGTTAATTTGATGTTAACTATTGATATTTTGTCATCAACGTATACCGGTATGGCTGTAGACTTCCATTGCATCATTTATTCCATGGATCAGTACATCCCTAGTAGTGACTGATCAAGTTGCTATTTTTAGGAGTTAAGGAATGAGCATTTACAGATGAGAGTCTGAACTCATTTTAAAGTACTGATATCTCATTGTTTATTTGACACAAGTGATGTAAATTGTGTGGTTTATTATCTGATTATGGTTGAAAATCTTTTTCTAGTCGCGGACAGCGTGTGATGCATTTACTGTCCAAACAACCCAGACTGGGGCAGGGAGATATAGGTCGTTCATAGTTCTACAACGTCAACTTGACTTTGAGTCACGACGAAGTTACACCATGACTCTGAAGGCAGTGGTAAGTAGGAAGTGTGGAATCTGTTGTCTTGTGTCTGTGTGCCATGAGCTTATACATCATTCTGGTGCAAACCGATCAGCTCCCTCATGTTCATCTGGCTAAAAGTGTTCACATATTACACATACAGACACACACACACACATACAGACACACTCATAGACACAAACACACACATACATACAGACACAGACACACATACATACAGACACACTCATACACTCACAGACAGACAGACACACACTCACACATGCGCACACACACACATAGTGTTCACACACACACATACAGACACACTCATGCACACACAGACAGACACACACACACTCACACTCTCTCTCTCTCTCTCTCTCTCTCTCTCTCTCTCTCTCTCTCTCTCTCTCTCTCTCTCTTCATTTCAAAATACACAGTAATCTTTCTTCTCTTCCAGGATTTAGGAACTCCTGCTTTGACCACATCTGTGAATGTGCTGATCAACGTGGCCGACACCCAGGACACTCTACCCGAATTTGTCAATGTTCCTCTCACGATCTATGTCAAGGAAAATGTGCCACAGGTTAGTTGATATACACTAGGTATATGAATTGTGAACATCATTGCATATATCAAATATTGTACACAATTTTATCATAGTCATGGCGAAAGAAAAAAAGGAAGAATAATTTTAGTCTTCACTGGTCCTTTCACATGTTTTGGGCCTGTTTGTGAGCTCATGTGGTTGAAGTGAGTGCTTGCCATGCTGAAAACCTGGGTTTGATTCTCCACATTGGTAAAATGCGAGAAGACGTCTTGGGGTTCCGGTCTGTAGAAAAACAGCATGACACACCCACTGACACACCCACTGTGCACACACTGACGCATCCCCTGACACACCCACTGACACACACACTGACGCACTCTCTGTGCACACACTGAGGCACCCACTGACGCACCCACTGGGCACACACTGACGCACACATTGACACACCCACTGTGCACACACTTATGCACCCACTGACACTCCCACTGATACACCCACTGTGCACACACTGACGCATCCCCTGACACACCCACTGACACACCCACTGACACACACACTGACGCACCCACTGAAACACACACTGATGCACCCACTGACGCACCCACTGACACTCCCACTGACGCACCCACTGACGCTCCCACAGACACACCCATTGACACACCCACTGTGCACCCACTGACACTCCCACAGACACACCCATTGACACACCCACTGTGCACCCACTGACGCACCCACTGGCGCACCCACTGATGCACCCACTGACACACCCACTGACACACCCACTGACGCACCCACTGACACTCCCACAGACACACCCATTGACACACCCACTGTGCACCCACTGACGCACCCACTGACACTCCCACTGACACACCCACTGATGCACCCTCTGTGCACACACTGACACACCCACTGACACTCCCACTGACACCCCCACTGACACGCCAGCTGTTCACACACTGACACACCCACAGACACTCCCACTGACGCACCCTCTGTGCACCCACTGACACACCCACTGACGCACCCACTGACACACCCTCTGTGCACCCACTGACACACCCACTGACACACCCACTGACGCACCCACTGACGCACCCACTGACACACCCACTGACACGCCCACTGACACACCCACTGTGCACACACTGACCCTCCCACAGACACACCCATTGACACATCCACTGTGCACCCACTGACACACCCACTGACGCACCGACTGACACTCCCACAGACACACCCATTGACACACCCACTGTGCACCCACTGACGCACCCACTGACACTCCCACTGACACACCCACTGATGCACCCTCTGTGCACACACTGACACACCCACTGACACTCCCACTGACGCTCCCACTGACACACCCACTGTGCACACACTGACGCTCCCACTGACACTCCCACTGACACACCAGCTGTTCACACACTGACACACCCACAGACACTCCCACTGACGCACCCTCCGTCCACCCACTGACACACCCACTGACACACCCACTGACACACCCACTAAGTTTTGTAAGGTTTGACAACTGAATACAATGGGCCTTTTTTGGTGTATCTACAGAACACATCTGTGCAGCTGAAAATTGGTGCTCGTGACGGAGATCAGGGTAATCCTAGACCAGTCAAGATTAAGATGAAGAATGGTAAGTCAAGATGTTCTTTGTCTAACATATAGCTGTAATATTCCTGAGTGCAGTGTTAACACATGATTGTAAATTACCTGAACCAGGTTGTATTGAGAGTTGTGTGTTGTAGATACTCGTGGCTTGTTCCGTCTTGGGCCATCAGAGCCTGATACTGTTGATACAAGCATCTACAGAGCTTCTGTCATCGTCAACGCACCCATTGATCGAGAAACCCTTCTTGGCTCGTACAGGTTTGAAGTTGAGGTGAGCAGGTAACGCAAGCAGTTAAGGTGTTGGTAGTACTCCCATTTCTTCGAGTTCACTGTAAACTACAAAATAAGGAAGTTTTTATTCACACCTTCATCTCATTAATCTCCCTTCTGTATCTACACAATCATTAAAACACAGACAGTGCTGTATAAATGTTGAAACCAAGGCTCCCTTTTGGTTAGGTGTGCCAATCATGGTGATCTTTGTCTGTTAATATTTTCATCTCTTGAGTGATTACCACTGTTCCTATTTCTGCCCTGAATAATATCCTTTTAAGTTTGCTTTTAAACGGCAATATATTTTGTATCCAGGGAGCGACCATTTCGATTACCTTAAAACCATTTGCCACCCAGTGAGATCAAGTTAAATACAAAAACAGTTGCCATAAAAATCATATATTTGTTTTGAATTTATTCTTGTCCATTTATAAGTCAATCACAAGAGAACAAAATGCAACCTACCACTTGATGTAAGTGATAATTTGTTAATATCACCCACAAGGGTAGAATGAGCATATAATAACTATCCAATGTTTGCACATATGTATTTTAGCGATTTTCAATGCTGATTGGTCAGTTGAAGCCATATGACATCACCATGTTTCATTGTTGAGACAAATATGATATGATGTCATTCTTTTCGTCACAAACTGATTCCATTACATCGTCTGTACAATAGGCAGCCTTCAGTGAAGTTACTCAAAAGTTACAAATTATCCGTCCTTCGTGAAAGAATGAAGTCCCTCGGCTTGGGATTAACACCATTCATTCACTTGGGACAAGTAATCTGTAATTAAGGAATAAACGACAAATGGGAGTTGTTTATCATAATAATAAAACACTGCAGGGAGAATAAACCATGAGGGGCGCATAAACATACGACCAAGGGTCATTTGTTTCTTACGTGAGATATCAACATTATGTACAGCCTCTTTGAGCATAGTGATTAAATGTACAAGCTTTAAAAATATTTACTCAAATTTTTATAATGATGACTCTCTGGATAAAATCTGACCTGAGAAATGTCTGACAAGTCTATTTAACGAAAGGTTGGTTAAGTTTAGTATTTCCCGCATATTCTCACAAACCTCACGTCAATCATCGTACCTTTTTTCTTAATACCGACTGTCATATGTCTCCCACCTTTCCATGCAAACTGCCATTATCTGCATAGCCCAGCTACATCTATGGGGAACAACTCAACAGACACTTCCCTCTCAAAATAAATGTCGTCCAATATATGACGTCATTAAGTTGTGAGCGCATATTCGAATCTCCAGAAATGATGTCATGATAGAAGAATGTTTTATCGTGAAATACACCCCTCTTTGTTCTTCATTGTTCTTTGTGATTTATCACGTAGCTATCTTATATTTCCTCATGGCTTGTTGTATATTCAGTAATAATTTGACAAACTTTTATGATCTCTACAACTTAGTATTGTGGTAGTTGGCACATTCTCTCAAGAATCATTATCCTTCCAGTCAGCACTGGGGGCACGGGGGCCCAGTGGTCTAAGGCGCTGCAATTCGCTATGAAGAGCTGCATCCCTTGGGCACGCCAGAAACCTATAATTGTGGGTTCGAATCCCGGTTCGCCACGGTTATGTTTCTAGGTTTGTCAGCACCATACCCGTGCTCATGGGTTTCACCCAAATGGTAAACGTCTGAGACCTGCATCACTTCTGGCTTTCCTCCCACATAAAGCTGACACACCATGATATAACTGGAATACTGTTAAAAGCGGTGTTAAACACAACTCACTCACTCCAGTCTGCACTTATATTTGTGTGTTTCCTTCAGGCTGTGGAACTGGACAATGGCACAGAAACAAATGCTAGGCGGGACTCGTTTGTTCAAGTGGACATCTTGGATGAGAATGACAACATCCCCTCCTTCTCTCAAACCACGTACAACGTCTCTCTAGCGGAGATAGACAGCAACGCCCAGAGCAACTTCCAGATCCCAGACCTCAACATACAGGTCATAGACAGGGATGATGTGAGTTAATGTCAACATTCGAATACTTGACACGTGAAGATCCGGGTATGGAATTGGTCTTCAGCAACCCATGCTTGGCGTAAGAGGCAACTAACAGGGTCTGATGGTCAAGCTTGCTGACTTGCTGCTCATGATGTCAGCCATGGGAGTATCTGGTCCAGACTCGATTATTTACTGACCGTGTCATATAGGTGGAATATTGTTAAGTGTGGCATTAAACAACAAACAAACAAACATTGAAATACTGTCTTAGAAAGAAAGACAATCAGCTTGTTTGTTTGTTGTATAATGCTGCACTCAGCAATATTCCGACTGTATGATGGTGGTCTGTAAATAATCGAGTCTGGACTAGACAATCCAGTGATTGACATCATGAGCACCAATTCTTAAGCAATTGGGATACGGTGACATGCATGCAAGTCTGGCCACCCATTCCTATTTGTTTCCGTTTATGACATGCATGTGTTGCCGAAGATCATTTCTAATCCTCATAGGGGCAATCAGCTTGTAATATTATGGATATTAGGGCTGGGACGAGTCCAAATATACTACCTGGGTACACACCCTCCTATTACTCAACCCTACCCGGGTACCCGCTGTAGACAAAATGTATAATTGGGAAACATTTGATCATAGTCCTATCATAGTCCGAGCAAATGTATTTTAGATAGTTTTATGTTTATTCAAACATATTAAGTCAGAAGGAATGGGTGCATAGTCAGAAAGAAATGCGAACATGTGTCACTTATAGTGTCACCAAAGAGTTCTAGATCATTTTTGCCATTAAACAATATATCACATGACAAACCACAGGTCCGGGTAGTCATGTGGGTACCCGGGTCCTACTCAGTACCCACCCAACCCGAGTAACCGACCTGAATAACTTATTATCGGTGTGTTTTATTCCTTTCAGCCCAGCAATGCCATGTACACAGTGGTAATAGTTGATCAGTCACAGAACACATTTAAGATCTTCCCAGAAGATGAAGTGTCGGGAAATGTGGCTGTCAACTTGCTTGTCATCAACGCCACCCTGCTAGATTATGACAAACCAAGCCTGAGAACCCAGAGAGTGGTGGTGAGTGCCATTGGCAGAAATTCTGCTGCTTCTCTAAAGATTGAATGTTCTTAATAATCTCTATTCAGGGACCATGGGTTATCCGAGTTGCTGCAATTTGCTTTGATTTGTGTCCCTTTTAGGATTTGCTGATATTGGATTAAAAAAGTCAGAGTCTTTCCATGAAATGAACCTTGAACCGTACCACGAATATGTTTCACAAAGGCGGTAAATGTCTACAATCATTGTCATGTTGGACATTCCACACTGAACTGCCATTCATGATTTAACTAAAGGTTTTAGTTTTTAGCTTTGTAATAATGACAGTGAGTTGATGTATGATGTGTACATCCCCTGTAGGTAGTCCTGGCTGTGCTAGTGTCACATCACACCCTGTGTACATCCCCTGTAGGTAGTCCTGGCTGTGCTAGTGTCACATCACACCCTGTGTACATCCCCTGTAGGTAGTCCTGGCTGTGCTAGTGCCACATCACACCCTGTGTACATCCCCTGTAGGTAGTCCTGGCTGTGCTAGTGTCACATCACACCCTGTGTCCATCCCCTGTAGGTAGTCCTGGCTGTGCTAGTGTCACATCACACCCTGTGTACATCCCCTGTAGGTAACCCTGGCTGTGCTAGTGTCACATCACACCCTGTGTACATCTCCTGTAGGTAGTCCTGGCTGTGCTAGTGTCACATCACACCCTGTGTACATCCCCTGTAGGTAGTCCTGGCTGTGCTAGTGTCACATCACACCCTGTGTCCATCCCCTGTAGGTAGTCCTGGCTGTGCTAGTGTCACATCACACCCTGTGTACATCCCCTGTAGGTAACCCTGGCTGTGCTAGTGTCACATCACACCCTGTGTACATCTCCTGTAGGTAGTCCTGGCTGTGCTAGTGTCACATCACACCCTGTGTACATCCCCTGTAGGTAACCCTGGCTGTGCTAGTGTCACATCACACCCTGTGTACATCTCCTGTAGGTAGTCCTGGCTGTGCTAGTGTCACATCACACCCTGTGTACATCCCCTGTAGGTAGTCCTGGCTGTGCTAGTGTCACATCACACCCTGTGTCCATCCCCTGTAGGTAGTCCTGGCTGTGCTAGTGTCACATCACACCCTGTGTACATCCTCTGTAGGTAACCCTGGCTGTGCTAGTGTCACATCACACCCTGTGTCCATCTCCTGTAGGTAGTCCTGGCTGTGCTAGTGTCACATCACACCCTGTGTCCATCCCCTGTAGGTAACCCTGGCTGTGCTAGTGCCACATCACACCCTGTGTACATCCCCTGTAGGTAACCCTGGCTGTGCTAGTGTCACATCACATCCTGTGTACATCCCCTGTAGGTAGTCCTGGCTGTGCTAGTGTCACATCACACCCTGTGTACATCCCCTGTAGGTAGTCCTGGCTGTGCTAGTGTCACATCACACCCTGTGTCCATCCCCTGTAGGTAACCCTGGCTGTGCTAGTGTCACATCACACCCTGTGTACATCTCCTGTAGGTAGTCCTGGCTGTGCTAGTGTCACATCACACCCTGTGTCCATCCCCTGTAGGTAGTCCTGGCTGTGCTAGTGCCACATCACACCCTGTGTACATCTCCTGTAGGTAACCCTGGCTGTGCTAGTGTCACATCACACCCTGTGTACATCCCCTGTAGGTAGTCCTGGCTGTGCTAGTGTCACATCACACCCTGTGTACATCCCCTGTAGGTAACCCTGGCTGTGCTAGTGTCACATCACACCCTGTGTACATCTCCTGTAGGTAACCCTGGCTGTGCTAGTGTCACATCACACCCTGTGTACATCTCCTGTAGGTAACCCTGGCTGTGCTAGTGTCACATCACACCCTGTGTCCATCCCCTGTAGGTAGTCCTGGCTGTGCTAGTGTTACATCACACCCTGTGTCCATCCCCTGTAGGTAGTCCTGGCTGTGCTAGTGCCACATCACACCCTGTGTCCATCCCCTGTAGGTAGTCCTGGCTGTGCTAGTGTCACATCACACCCTGTGTACATCTCCTGTAGGTAACCCTGGCTGTGCTAGTGTCACATCACACCCTGTGTACATCTCCTGTAGGTAACCCTGGCTGTGCTAGTGTCACATCACACCCTGTGTCCATCCCCTGTAGGTAGTCCTGGCTGTGCTAGTGTCACATCACACCCTGTGTCCATCCCCTGTAGGTAGTCCTGGCTGTGCTAGTGCCACATCACACCCTGTGTCCATCCCCTGTAGGTAGTCCTGGCTGTGCTAGTGTCACATCACACCCTGTGTCCATCCCCTGTAGGTAACCCTGGCTGTGCTTGTGTCACATCACACCCTGTGTCCATCCCCTGTAGGTAGTCCTGGCTGTGCTAGTGTCACATCACACCCTGTGTCCATCCCCTGTAGGTAGTCCTGGCTGTGCTAGTGTCACATCACACCCTGTGTACATCTCCTGTAGGTAGTCCTGGCTGTGCTAGTGTCACATCACACCCTGTGTCCATCTCCTGTAGGTAGTCCTGGCTGTGCTAGTGTCACATCACACCCTGTGTCCATCCCCTGTAGGTAACCCTGGCTGTGCTAGTGTCACATCACACCCTGTGTACATCTCCTGTAGGTAGTCCTGGCTGTGCTAGTGTTACATCACACCCTGTGTACATCCCCTGTAGGTAGTCCTGGCTGTGCTAGTGTCACATCACACCCTGTGTCCATCCCCTGTAGGTAGTCCTGGCTGTGCTAGTGTCACATCACACCCTGTGTCCATCCCCTGTAGGTAGTCCTGGCTGTGCTAGTGTCACATCACACCCTGTGTCCATCCCCTGTAGGTAACCCTGGCTGTGCTAGTGTCACATCACACCCTGTGTACATCTCCTGTAGGTAGTCCTGGCTGTGCTAGTGTCACATCACACCCTGTGTCCATCCCCTGTAGGTAGTCCTGGCTGTGCTAGTGTCACATCACACCCTGTGTCCATCCCCTGTAGGTAACCCTGGCTGTGCTAGTGTCACAGCACACCCTGTGTACATCCCCTGTAGGTATCAAGTCTTACCATTCGTTATGTATGATGTCTTAGCTTTTTAAATTGCATGATATCACAGGAATATGTCCTATCCTGTTGAATTTGTTCTGTTTCAAACAGCTTGAAGCTCGCGAGTCGAATGTCAATCCGAGAACCAGCACAGCAACGGTCAACATATTCCTGCAGGACCTGAATGATAACTCCCCTCAGTTTACTGCACCGCAGTATGAATTCACACTACCTGAGAATGCACCAGTGGAGACCTCCATCGCCACCATAGAGGTAATGTACAGGAATCTCGGGCAGGATAGTTCCCTTGTACAAAAAACGCCTCTGTGGTCTAGTGGTAGAGCGTCCGCCCGGAGAGAGGAAGGTCCGGGGTTCGGTCCAGTGTGTCATACCAAAAGACGTTAAAAGATGGTACTTGTTGTTACCCTGTCTGGCGCTCGACATTAAAGGGCTAAAACAAGGACTGGTCGGCTCGGAGTCAGTATACTGTGTCTGAGTGGGATATTCATGTTAAACTGCGGCATGGTATCTCAATGTGCTAGCACTATAAATCGGCATCAGTCCGGACTCGTACAAGCAGCCACACACACATGTGCATGCACGTTGCTATATAAGTGCAATTATCTTGGGACGCGACGTTAAAACCCAATTTCACCTCAGCTCACCTTGTACAAAAAACTTACTTCATGTCAGCAGTTATGTTTTACAAAGCAATTTAAATTTGTCTAAAAAAATAATAGTCTTGCTTCTCAGGCTCCGGCCACTTCATCATAAAGTGTGCCGCATGTTTCATTTTTATTTCCATTTTAAAAATCAACAATACTTCAAAACAATGAGAACCAATACAACACAAATTTAGTTCCCTTTACATGCTGATGCTTTACTGTGCATCTTGTGTTATGGTCATGGCGGCAAGAGGGGTTTGTATGTTTGTTTATGATTTATTTAGTAACATACTATTTTGGACAAGCAAAAAGGAAAAAAAACACACTGCCTGCCCGCACTATATTTTCAAAAGTCATTCCCTGAGAACAAGTTCTTTTATTTTTTTAAGCCTCATGTTCATGTTGACACACAGCTGTCATGGATGAGCAGGTATCAAGAGTTTTATCAATCAGAACTGAAAATTAATTTGTATCTTTCAGGCTGTTGACAAAGATGAAGGCCAGAATGGAAATGTCACGTACAGCCTACGAGGAACTGGAAATGACCAGTAAGAGTGACTTAATTTATCATAATAATAGGCTATTTATATTGCGCGTATTTCCACGCCACTTAGGGGCATGCTCAAATTATTATTGTGTCATTTCTGGCATGCCCAAGGGACGCAACTCTGCACAGCGAAAAGCCGCGCCTTAGATGACAGGGCCACCCGCTGTAAAGTATTAATGATAGCTTCCTATGATACTTGAACTTCTAGCATCACTGAGAGACTCACCAGTTTATTACAGCTCCCCTGAATAACTCAAAGTCATTACTTTGTTGTTACCTCCTATTACAGATTTACAATCGATGGATACTCGGGGTACCTGAAGCTGAGCAAGCCACTGGACTATGAGACGCAGAAGGTGTATCAGATTCTAGTCAATGCCCAGGATGAAGGCAGCCCTCCCCGCGAGACCTCAAGAACCCTCACGATCAGAATCACAAACATTAACGATGAGCGTCCAGTCCCAGAGAGAGCTCTTTATCAGACATATGCACAGGAAACATCCCTCGAACTCCGACCAGCTGTAGTGGTGCAGGTAAATGTGCTGTTAGGTTTGGTTTCAAAAGTCTGACTGACCCACGATTTCAGAACCCGAAATTTTATGTGACATTGGAATTTAGTAGTCAAGAATATTCATCAAAACGTTCATGTTTGAAAAGTAAATAAATATTGTTTGTACTAGGGCTGGGACGGGTAACTCGGGTACTCGGGCCGGGTGGGTGCTGAGTACCCGGGTACCCACAGGACTACTCGGACCCGTGGTTAGTCATGTGATATATTGTTTAATGGCAAAAATTATCTTGAACTCTATGGTGACACTGTAAGTGACAAATGTTCGTATTTCTTTCTGAGAGCTACAGTGGGTACCCGGGTAGGGTCGGGTAATAGGGGTTTGATACCTGGGTAGGATCGGGTAATAGGGGGGTCGGTCCCAGGGTAGGGTCGGGTAATAGGGGGGTGGGTCCCATGGTAGTAAATTTGGACTTATCCCAGCCCTAGTTTGTACCTGCCAACCAGTTCTTCTGCATGGAAAGAAATCGAGGCAGCATTCTTGTAGAACAAGTAGGAATTAACATATTTCTTTTTATGCTAAGATACAAAATGTAAACAAAATACAGTAAACTACATTTATAACGAACATGCTTATAACAAACTAACGGATACAACAAACTGGTTTTTGGCTTCAGACATTTGCTGCATATATGCTGTATATATGCTTATAATGAACTATGGTTATAACAAATTAGTGGTCCCTTTGTAACCGTAGTTACTGTACTTCTTCACATGATAATGTTTTCAAGAAGTCAGACTGAAAGTGTTGAAGAGGCATTGTCGTTTGTTCATTTGTTTGTTGTTTAACACCGCACTCAGCAATATTCCAGCTATATGACGGTGGTCTGCAAATAATGAATTCTGGTCCAGACTATTCAGTGATTGATATCATGAGCATCGATCCACGCAATTGGGATATGATGACATGCATCAACCAAGTCAGCGAGCCTGACCACCTGATCCTGTTAGTTGCCTTTTACGGCAAGCATGGGTTGCTGAAGACCTATTCTACCCCCAGTCTTCACGGGTCGAAGAGGCCACGAGAAGTTCTACATGTTATAAGTGTTTCTTTGTTTCCAGGCTCGTGACAATGAAAACCCTTTTGGTAACATCACATACAGGATCGTAGCAGGAAACACCCGTAACAACGCATTCCGCGTGAACCAGGGTTCAGGCGAGCTCACACTTGTCAGCTATATCGACTATGATGAAACTCCCAGCAATGGACGGTGAGTGCACTTGATCTGGACTTGATCTGGACTTGATCTGGACTTGATCTGGACTTGATCTGGGTTGAATGTCTTCACATATGGCGTGTGAGTGAGTTGGGTTTACCAGGCTTTTAACAGTATTCCAGTTATATCATGGCGTGTCAGCTTAATGTGGGAGGAAAGCCTGAAGTGATGCAGGTCTCAGACGTTTACCATTTCAGTAAAACCCACGAGCACGGGTATGGTGCTGACAAACCTAGAAACATAATCGGGGCGAACTGGGATTCGAACCCACAATCATAGGTTTCTGGTGTGCCCAAGGGACGCAACTGTGCACAGCGAATTGCAGCGCTTTAGACGACTGGGCCACCTGTGCCCCCTTTTCACATATGTGATGACTGTGTTGATATGCAACTTGTTGGCCAAGAAATATCTATCTCAGTTCTTCTTAAAGGTTTCCAAGAAATCTTCATTGATATACTATGGTAGCAATCATGAAAGATTTTTAAAAAAGCAGTTTGTTTATGTATGTAAGTATACATCGGTGTTCCAGTGTCAGAAATGACCTGATTATTTTTTAATATTTTATTTCTACTTGTGGTTGAAGTGAAATTGCAAGGTAATATTATGTAACAAATGTTATATTTGGGATAAAGCTTTCTTAGTAAAGTACAGAATCTCGTACTTGTTTGGGTTGAGTCCCATCCAGGACATGGAGGTGAAGAGGACATTGCAGGTTGACATTTGCAAAATAAAAGTTACCTGAGTGTGGATGTTGAGGTGTGGCTTCGTTTTCTGCAGCTTTGAAGTGGTGATCCAGGCTTCGGACAATGGCAGCCCCCCACAGTATGTCAACATGACCGTCAGGGTGGATGTACAGGTAACGTCTGTCTCCCTTATGTCAACATGACCGTCAGGGTGGATGTACAGGTAACGTCTGTCTCCCTTATGTCAACATGACCGTCAGGGTGGATGTACAGGTAACGTCTGTCTCCTTATGTCAACATGACCGTCAGGGTGGATGTACAGGTAACGTCTGTCTCCCTTATGTCAACATGACCGTCAGGGTGGATGTACAGGTAACATCTGTCTCCCTTCTGTTCTCATTGAGAAGTCGAAATAATTGATTTGATACAGATTCAGAACAGGTGCATGAATCTTGATATGAACAATCATTGGTATGAATGATGCCTTTTGGTATTTAGAACTTTCCACTCCTATAAGAAATGGTTTAATCACAAACATTTCATTTTCAAGACAAGTATGCATTTTCACAGAAATGCCATTTAGTGAGTGAGTTAAAGCTTTACGTCACATCGACAATATTTCAGCCATATCGTGACGAGAAATGACATTTAAGTTTCGATACTAGTCAGCATGTGTTTGTATTTACTTGCTATGCCTGCAGGATTAGTTCAGTCTGTAGCACTGCAAGTATGTGTGGGTCACATACATTAATGTCAGTCTTTCTGTTTATATTTGTAAGGTTAAAAAAATAATAGTCTTGGTTCTCAGGCACTGCCCACATCTTCATAAAGTCTGCCGCCCGTTTTGTTTTTATTCCATTTTGAAAAAAAATGAAAAAATCCTATTACTTAAAATTAACGAGATCCAATAAACCACACAGTTACTTCCCTTTACATGAGCACTGCTTTACTGCACATCTCGTGTTATGGTCATGGCGGCAATAGGAGTTTGTTTATGTAGGGAGGCCCTTTCCCAGGTTTATGGTAGACAATCATTTATTTGGTTACATACTAGTAAACACCACCAACCTGCCCGCACTATGTTTTCAAAAGTCATTGCCTGAGAAATTCTTTTATTTTCTTAAACCTAAACTCATTTAATTATTTTGGGAGGTATTTAAATATTTATCTGTGTTTAATTATAATCATTATTAAGTAATTACAATAATTGTACTTGTCATCTTCCAGGATGAGAATAACAACTCACCCACCTTCAGGAGCGGATCATATTTTGCCAACATCACAGAAATGGCCCCTACAGGTAAGAATTGGGTGGTGGTCAATCAGCTCCAGACCACCTGATCCGTTAGTCGCCTCTTACGACAAGTACAGTCGCCTCTCATGGCAAGCATGGGTTGTTGAAGAATCCGGATCTTCACGGGTCTGTTTAAACTTCATGTCACTCACCTCCACATAGTGTGAGTGAGTGAGTATGGTTTTACGCCGCTTTTAGCAATATTCCAGCAATATCACGGCGGGGGACACCAGAAATGGGCTTCACACATTGTACCCATTCGAACCCGGGTCTTCGGTGTGACAAGGGTACGCTTTAACCACTAGACTACCCGACCGCCCCTTGATGTAAGGAGACATTACTGGTATAGTCAAGCTTTTCCTTCCTTTGCCTATACTGTTTGATACATTACAATGACTTTCTAATGACATAGAGACATCAAAATGTGTTTTTTAAATTGATTGTGAACTGTTAGGCCACTATTTATTAATAATTACATTTTCATTCAAATTTTAAAAAATGTGATTATTCTATTTTAAAAATTAAACATGTTCAAGGCAATGTTGGTGTTAGATGGATGTGATTGACATGAAGCTTCTTGTTTGTCTTCAAGGAAGGAAACAGGGTATCACACATAGAAATTATCTTCGTCTGTGTTTGTTTGTTTTTTGTTTTGTTTATTGTTTAATGCCACACTCAGCAATATTCCAGTATTATGACCGCGGTCTGTATTTATAATAGAGTCTGGACCAGACAATCTCTCTCCTGTTGACACATTGGGACTTTAATATGATGTGATTGATTGAGAAACTATAATATTATGGCCTCCTGTGTGAATTTATGTTATTTTATCAAAAACATGTTTCATCAAACAGGTACGTCTGTTGTGTCTGTGATTGCAACTGATGCCGACAGCCGAAAGAATGGAGAGTTCCGATACACGATTCAGTCAGGAGGACGGGAACATTTTGACATCAGCAACAGCAGTGGTTTGATCACGGTCAGCAGCAAGGCCAAGTTTGACTACAACGTGTTCCCTGTCTACAGGATGACTGTGAGTAATCTTATCGTAGAATAAGAGTTGCGTCCCTTGGGCATGCCAGAAACCTACCCGTGGGTTTCACTAAAGTGGTAAACGTCTGAGACCTGTATCACTTCGGTCTTTCCTTCCACATTAAGCTGACACGCCGTGATATAACTGGAATACTGTTAAAACAGGCGTTAAACCCAACTCACTCACTCACTCAGTTTGTTTGATAACAGTGAAAATAGTAAATTGTCTCTACTTCGTCATCCATCAACTTCTAAGTAATGCCTATCAAACAATTCAAGTGAAACTGCTTGGTTTAACTAAAAAAACAAGGATTATTGATACAGTACTGGCAGTCTTTGGTTTTCACTTGTCAGACACAGATGAATGATAAGAACATTTTGAAACAACTACAAAAGTTAGATTGTACTGAGGGCATTCTTCTCTAAAATTGGTGATCTAGAAATCCTCTTGATCTCTGATTTAGCACATTATTTAGGAACTGCAAGCCAACATTACAGTAGCCATGGTAACTGTACTATTGATAGAACAATGTGGCTACTGTATTTCCCATTGTTGTTGAAGGGCGGTCGGGTAGCCTAGTTGTTAAAGCGTTCACTCGTCACACCGAAGACCCTTGTTCGATTCCCAACATGGGTACAATGTGTGAAGCCCATTTCTGGTGTCCCCCGCCGTGATATTGCTGGAATATTGCTAAAAGCTGCGTAAAATCAAACTCACTCACTCACTCACATTGTTGTTGAAAGACTTGTTTTGTACCTCAGCCACACATGTCGCTCTGGATAAACCCTTTTTATCAAAGGGTCAGTTCATTACCAGGGTTGTAATGTGTGAAGTCCATTCTCTCCTACCTTGCCATGTTTTGAATATATTGTGACGTGCATCTCGGAACCTTATTCACTCACTCACATGTCTATTGAAGATCTGAGTTCAAGCTGATCTTCAGCAACTCATGCTTGTCATAAGAGGCAGCTAACAGGGTCGGGTGGTCAGACTCTCACTTTGTTGATGCATGTCATCATATCTCAATTGCATGGAGCAATGGCTATGATGTCAATCACTGGCTTGTCTGGTCCAGACTTGATTATTTGCAGACTGCTGTCATATGGCTGGAATATTGCTAAAGAGGCGTTAAACAAACAAACAAACATACAATCAAACAAACTAACAAACACTCTCATTACTCTTTGATGTCCAGTCTTACTAACAGCTGTACCAAGGGTGTTTATTAAGTTTTAACTGCATGGACTCATTCAGTCTCATTAAAATCAGATCTTAGTTCTCGCTATCGCTAAACAAAGATCTGAGGACATCACATTACGGGTCATGTCAGAACAACCTTTCATCCGTCCAATCAAACTGTCGCTTACCAGATCATGGAAGTGACAGTCGGAATGCATTCTGATCATGCAACCTCGAAAACGTTAACATGGTGTATTCAGAATGACAGTTACGACTTGTATGAGTGTTTCTGTCAAAATTATCATCCTTCTCTCGCTTCCATTTGAACGGAGGAGGCGTTGCACAGTACTCGGGAAGCACTGGTATACAATCACAACTATATATTAGACATTCCGGAATGTTCGTTTGTTCATTTTTCAAACTTTTAATCGAGAACTGTGTCAACATATTTTTCAAGCTGCTTTCTGATTGGCTGATGTCGACTTCTTCTTAGTAATTTCAGTGGTCAGTCAAAGTTCGTGAAAGGTCGTTCTGACGTGACCCGTAATGGAATGTCCTCAGATCTTTGTTTAGCGGCAGTGAGAACTTAGATCTGATTTTAATGAGATTGGGACCTTGAGTTCACTGCTGTGATGTTGAGTTCTGCACCAGTTTCTGTGAGTGGATGCTCTGTGTTCAGGTGTTTGCTATTGACTCCGGTAGTCCTCCGAAGACGGGTACCACCATTGTCACTGTCAACGTACAAGATGCCAACAACAAGGCTCCCAAGTTCCAGCAACAGATCTACGTCACCAGCATCTCAGAAGGTAATCAATGGTATTTTAAGGAGCCATGTATGTGTGCACATGTCGTGTCAGTGCTACAACATTGATGGGCAGATTTAGTTTGATTTCGGAGTAATTGGTCACTAGAGGTCTTAACATGACCCTCATGGTTACTTCCCTTACCTTGAGACAGCGGTGTGTGAGGTCCAGGTGGAGTCCATGAGGGCGCCGGACTGGTTGGCAGTAGGCTATGATGGTCATAAGAGGAACTTTATTATACATTATAGCTAAAATGGATAGAATTATCATTAAAACGCCCGCACGTTATCAGAAATGAGCGGGCCACTGTAACTTGATAATGCCCTCATAATGCTTGACTACGGGCCATTATCAAGCCCGTTGTGAGGTGACGTCATAAGGTAGAGAAAGTGACGTCACGTATTATAGTGACGTCATCTGGTTTGTTCTGTGACGTTTCCATGTTTGTAAAATGGGGTCAGTGACATTCGTGTTGATTGCAAAATTTTTAAAAACCGATGTTGTTGTTTCTTTTTATTTGATAACAAATTCCATCCATTTTAGCTATAATAACGATAACGCTATTTTTCAGGGCATTATCATATGCAGAAGCCCTCGGTCTTTTCAACTGCCCTCCTTCGTCGGGCAGTTAATGGAAAACCTCGGGCTTCTGCAAATGATAATGCCCTGAAAAATAGCGTTATCCTTATATTACAACAAAAAAGAACATAAAAAGTACTCCAAATTGAAGTACAGTAAACTACGGTTACAACGAACACGCTTATAACGAACTGACGGATATAATTAACTAACTTTTTAGTCCCGACTATTTGCTGTATTCATGCTGTATATATGCTTATAATGAACTACGGTTATAACAAACTAAAATTAGTAGTCCCTTTGAGTTCGTTATAACTGTAGTTTACTGTATTTCATTATTTCATGACGAGAATAATATCAGTGTGGGATATGTGGAATTTCTTGATTTGTTTTCCAACAAAACATTTTCAGCAAAACCTAGAAGGCGTGTTTTATCCTTTACTTAAAGCATTTGTCCCTGGTTACAGCTACTATTGATGTATTTGTATTGTGTTACAGCAAATATTGATGTACTTTGTCCCTGGTGACAGCAACTATTGATGTACTTTGTCCCTGGTTGCAGCAACTATTAATGTATTTGTCCTGTGTTGCAGCAACTATTGATGTACTTTGTCCCTGGTTGCAGCAACTATTGATGTACTTTGTCCCTGGTTGCAGCAACTATTGATGTATTTGTATTGTGTTACAGCAACTATTGATGTACTTTGTCCCTGGTGACAGCAACTATTGATGTACTTTGTCCCTGGTTGCAGCAACTATTAATGTATTTGTCCTGTGTTGAAGCAACTATTAATGTATTTGTCGTGGTGTTGAAGCAACTATTGATGTACTTTGTCCCTGGTTGCAGCAACTATTAATGTATTTGTCCTGTGTTGAAGCAGCTATTAATGTATTTGTCCTTTGTTGAAGCAACTATTAATGTATCTGTCCTGTGTTGAAGCAACTATTAATGTATTTGTCCTGTGTTGAAGCAACTATTAATGTATCTGTCCTGTGTTGAAGCAACTATTAATGTATCTGTCCTGTGTTGAAGCAACTATTAATGTATCTGTCCTGTGTTGAAGCAACTATCAATGTATTTGTCCTGTGTTTCAGCATCTCCAATCGGCAGCAGCGTGTTGGACACAACTGCTACAGATGAAGACAGCACAAGCGAGCTGCGCTTCTCCATCCCCACCAGCACCATTCAGGCCCGCAACAGCGGTGGAAAAATGATCCTCTCACAGGTCTCCTTTAATTTCCGGGTACGTGTTTCATGGCCACAAATGTTTTGAGGGAGAACGATCACTACTGCGCAAGACCAAGCAGCACTTTCACTTGAGACTGTTCAAGGTTCAATTATTTACATGCAAGGATTTGGTGAATTGACTAATCAGCCATCCAACCCTTTACATCTTTATAAATGTTGAGAATTTTCTTGAGTTTTGATTACAGCAAATGTTTAAAGTGTGGTTTAATCAAAAAGGAGTATGTTATTATCACCTCAAGGGATTTATCTTCGAGGATTTACCTCAGGAGAATCACCTCTGGGGATTTACCTTCTAGGATTCACATCCGGGGATATACCTTCGGCAATTTACCTTCAGGGATTTTACCTTTAGGGATTTACCTTTATCATTTACCCTCCGGGGATTTACCTTCGGCAATTTTCCTTCAGGGAAGAGTGTGATTTAAGATGAACATTGATGTTGTTGATCTCTACTTTCAGAATGCATTTGTAGTAGATCCGATCTCAGGACGAATCACCACCAACACCACACTGCGGAGAGATCTTGCTGCTGAGGTCTCCTTCAGTGTCCTTGTCAGAGATCTCAATGCTGAGGGGACATTACAACAAACAGCCACAAGTAAGGGCAGATAACTTGTCTCTTTGTTAGCTCCCTTGGCCCAAACAGCCACAAGTAAGGGCAGATAACTTGTCTCTTTGTTAGCTCACTTGGCCCAAACAGCCACAAGTAAGGGCAGATAACTTGTCTCTTTGTTAGCTCACTTGGCCCAAACAGCCACAAGTAAGGGCAGATAACTTGTCTCTTTGTTAGCTCACTTGGCCCAAACAGCCACAAGTAAGGGCAGATAACTTGTCTCTTTGTTAGCTCACTTGGCCCAAACAGCCACAAGTAAGGGCAGATAACTTGTCTCTTTGTTAGCTCCCTTGGCCCAAAGAGCCTAGGTGAGCATTTGTAATGACATGTTTGTAAATATTTTGCCATTTTGACTTCTAAATCAATTAAGCTGAAACTGGATAAGGTGTTTCTTACCAGAATAGAATTTAACTTTAAGGAAACAAACTCAGAAAAAAACCAAGTCAAAAGCCAGAGAAGGCTGAAGATACTGGTTAAATACCCAGAACATAGTTGATAATTTGTTCAGAGCTTCTTGATTGGTTAACAAATATGGCTGCTGGCAACCATCTTTTAAAACTCAGAAGTGATCTAAGGAACAGAATTGTGGATGTCATCTTCTTTATTATGAGGAACACAATGTTTCGGAGTATATATCCATAATCCTGTTCCTCATCATGCTTACCGTATTCAACATAATATGCCCCCCGCCCTAATAAGCGTTAGGCGATATTTGCTAATATATTGGCTAGTGAACAATCCCAATTAGCGTCCCTTCCGATTGGTTAATGTACACAAGACTAATTTATTTGTGTATAATACGCACTCGTGTGTTATATACACCCTTAATTATGGACAATTAAATTCTGGAAAACATATCAGTCATGTATAATATGCACAGACTTTTCTTTTGTATCATTTCAGGCTGACAGCATAAGCCACGAAATTTACGATCTTTCATCTCTGTTTTTTTTTCTCACCAAAATTATATTCTAATAAGAGCCCCCTAATTCTAAATTTGAGAGCGCCCTGGGAGCTTATTAGGTCAAATACGGTATGTGTATTACTTCTAAATGCCTTTCAAAGATCAGAAATGCTCTACATTCTTGTTCCCTTGATGATTGAATATTGTCTGAGTGTTTTGTTTTCTTGCAGCTTCTGTTCTGGTGACAATCCTGGGCACCAACATCTCCACCATCTACTTCACCCCGGCCAGGTACTACTTCTCCGTGACGGAGGGCAAGCAGGTCAACTACGTCATCACCACCGTTGCTGCACGGGACCCTGCCTGTGGAAACTGTCTCCTCCACAATTACGTGGAAGTGGATAACAGCGATCCCAACGGCTATTTAAAAGTAGATCGCTTCAGTGGTCAGTAACTATGTCACATGATTCCTTCCCAGCATACCCTACCATCTCTGTGGTGTTGTCGATAGAGTGCTGGCCCTGGGAGCACATATTTAGTTAGCAATTATCGATCTTTATGATCAACATTGATAGCCTGCCCTAATGATTGGTGGTAACAGGGGCTGTACTGGCCATCCTAGTGGATGTAAATGTGAGGCCATCTTCTTCATCATGTTCATCAATATATTTATTTTTACAATAAAGTGTAAATTATGTATTTATGACAGTGAGATTTTTATTTTAGTAAGATTTATTATTTAGAAATGAATGATTGAGTTTGTGAGAAATACATGCTTGAATGTTCAATGTTGCAGGCCAGGTTTCCCTGACAAGAGTTCTGGACTATGATGATGGAGATAGACGGCTGAATATTGATATCCAAGCTATATCTAACGACAGCCGGACAGCTCGCACTAGTGTCACTGTGGAAGTCCGAGATGACAACGACCACAGTCCACAGTTCAGACTGGTAAGTGTACGAGACTGTGTACAGTGGGTGAGTGAGTGAGTGAGTGAGTATGGTTTTACGCTGCTTTTAGCAATATTCCAGCAATATCACGGTGGGGGACACCAGAAATGGGCTTCACACATTGTACCCATGTCGGGAATCGAACCCGGGTCTTTGGAGTGATGAACAAACTCTTTAACCACTTGGCTACCCGACCACCCCAAATACAATAGGCTAAAAGTACATTCATGCTTTGACAAAGCAGTATAAATCTCATTCACTCACTCTTCTTCAAGCAAACAGTGGGTCAAGCCCATTGACCAGTGGCATACAATGTGCAGGGTTATGTCCCTTGGTTGTACTGAACTCCCACATTGAGTGAGTGTGAGTGTGAGTGAGTGAGTTTGATTTTACGCCACTCTTAGCAATATTCCAGCAATATCACAGCGGGGGACACCAGAAATGGGCTTCACACAGTGTACACATGTCGGGAATCAAACCCGGGTTTTCGGCATGACGAATGAACGCTTTAACCACTAGGCTGCCCGACCACACCTATCTCTCACATTGATCCCACTGGGGTAGGTTGTGTGTGTGTTTCACCAACAGTACCCAACCTGTGCTTGCTCAGACTTTTAACCACAAATCCTTCACTCCCAGTAAACAAACCAAGTATACATACCATAGTAAACTGACCCCAGCAAAGAGACTAGGAAACAGACCCACTAAACAGACCTGAGGAAACAGATGCACTAAACAGACCCTAGGAAACAGATGCACTAAACAAACCTTAGGCAACAGACCCTAGGCAACAGACCCTAGGCAACAGACCCTAGGAAACATACCCCAGGAAACAGACCCTAGGAAATAGACCCACTAGACAGACCCCAGGAAACAGACCCTAGGAATCAGACCCACTAGACAGACCCCAGGAAACAGACCCTAGGAAGCAGACCCACTAAATAGACCCACTAGACAGACCCCAGGAAACAGACCCTAGGAAGCAGACCCACTAAATAGACCCACTAGACAGACCCCAGGAAACAGACCCTAGGAAGCAGACCCACTAAATAGACCCACTAGACAGACCCCAGGAAGGAGACCCCAGGAAACAGACCCACTAAATAGACCCACTAGACAGACCCCAGGAAACAGACCCACTAAATAGACCCACTAGACAGACCCCAGGAAACAGACCCACCAGTGGTCAGTGATAGAATGAGATGCTGGCTCGTTCACTTGCTTATCCTCTCTATCATCTCTGTATTGCAGCCTAGCTATGACTTCACCGTGTCGGAGTCGTCTCGGTACCCGTTCCGTGTCGGGTATGTGAAAGCAACAGACAAGGACAGTGGCAGCTTCGGACGTGTCGTGTACTCTCTCTCAGGGCAGGGGGCCCAAGACTTCGAGATCTATGATACTGTGAGCATCTGCAACCTTAAACTTTAACTATTGTTTTTATCTCATTCTCATAGACTGACTCTCATAGTTCTACATGTGTGTTTTGGATTCAAAATATTTTTTAAGAAGTTATTACAGAAATCAAATATGACAACTGTTATCAGGCTGATTGACAAATTAATTAAATGAATTCTAGCCATTCTAGATTACTTTGCAGCCTGTTAAGTCAAAGGTCAAGGTCACTGTTCAGGTTTTGATTATTTTTCAGAGGCATTAAACTTTATATGCTTCATGCAGTTATTCTCATGCCTAGTTTCGCTTATTTTTTGTAAGTCTTGGCATGGCGCTAGTATCGATACAAGAATGTTGGATCCACCTATTGGGGTGCCATTTATCAGAAAAGGCACAAGAAAGCACAAGCATGGTCATTTGTTAAGCTGTATTTTGGCGACCCATATATCCATACTTATGGCACTTCTGGCTGTTAACATCAGATTTGGATACAAACTAATGTCAAAAACGAGATACCTCAAAAAAATGCATTGATATTTCAATTGGAAACTTTCTTGAAGTCTGTTCATGTAGTGACGTGTCTTTTGTGGTTCAGTATACATGTATTTGTATGTATCTTTATAAAACCACTTGAAATGTTGGTGCCATGTAATCAAAGGTCAAGGTTATCTTTGAGGTAATGAAACATGGCCAGTTATGGATGCATTTTCACTTGTACAATCCTAAAATGTGGATAATTGTTGGATCTTAGGAAGTTGTCTTCCTTAATTTCAAGGTCCCGAAGTAAGAAATGTTTTCGGGCTGGAGCTAGAATCGAAAAGCCAGGAGTATTGGTTCCATGGGAACAATATACCTAGGATAAGGACTGGATTTCCTTCCCTTGGTCAATTTATATGTATGAAGTTTTGTTCCTCTGGAATATTTATACCTGGGACTAATTCCTTGATCACACAAACACCTCTAGTTACGTGTGCTTTATAATAATGCATTTGAGTATAATTTTTTTGTCCATCTAGGGTATGATCTTAGTAAGTCGGACAGCAAACCTGGACTATGAGACAACTCGTACATACAACCTTCTGATAACTGCATCTGACAATCCTACCAATCAGTCGTCAACTGTCAGGAAGCAGACGTCAGTTACGGTGAGTCTTATCCCCTGGTATTTACTAACAATTTGACATTATGAATATTATATTTACTCCTATTATCCAAAGTTTGTCATTAATAATCGCTTTGTCATACACATGATCAACAGCTGGGTAGGCCATGGTCGTATGGCTATATTCCCTGTATGTAAGTACTATCAGCTAGTAGCTTTATCATACATGTGATCAACATGGTTGTATGGCTATATTCTCTGTATATAAGTCCTATCAGCTAGTAGCTTTATCATACATGTGATCAACATGGTTGTATGGCTATATTCTCTGTATATAAGTCCTATCAGCTGGTAGCTTTGTCATACATGTGATCAACAGCTGGGTAGGCCATGGTTGTATGGCTATATTCTCTGTATATAAGTCCTATCAGCTAGTAGCTTTATCATACATGTGATCAACATGGTTGTATGGCTATATTCTCTGTATATAAGTCCTATCAGCTGGTAGCTTTGTCATACATGTGATCAACAGCTGGGTAGGCCATGGTTGTATGGCTATATTCTCTGTATATAAGTCCTATCAGCTAGTAGCTTTATCATACATGTGATCAACAGCTGGGTAGGCCATGGTTGTATGGCTATATTCTCTGTATATAAGTCCTATCAGCTAGTAGCTTTATCATACACGTTATCAACAGCTGGGTAGGCCATGGTAGGACCTGTATTGAAGTTGAACTACATAAATCAACTCTGTATTTTTGAAGATTAACTTCTGTAAAATTTATTTCTTAAGTTTCTGATTATTTGTTATTGTGAAAATAGAAGTCATGTTTAAACTTCACCACCTATTCAAACAGAATGTAAATAAAATCAGGCCATGTCATAGCCAAACTTATTTGTTATTTTTTCTGTATTTAGTGAATGTGTGTCAACATGGTTTGCAACGCTGTATGTAACAAGCATCATATTTCTGCAGCTGACCATCACAGTGTTGGATGTGAATGACCAGGTTCCCCAGTTCAGCGCCATCTACCCCTTCTATGTTGTGGAGAATTACAAAATCGGGCAGAGTGTCGGACGTATCATAGCAACAGATGGGGATGCTGGAACCAATGGAGATATAGTTTATTCTATGACTGATTGTAAGTGGACAGAGGAACCTGGTTAATCCAGACTTTAACAGATGTACAGAGGAAGCTTGTTAATCCAGACTTTGTAAGATGTACAGAGAAACCTTGTCAATCTAGTCTTTGTAAGATGTACTGCGAAACCTGGTTAATCCAGACTTTGTAAGATGTACAGAGAAACCTGGTTAATCCAGACTTTGTAAGATGTACAGAGAAACCTGGTTAATCCAGACTTTGTAAGATGTACAGGGAAACCTGGCTAATCCACACGTTACAAGATGTATAGAGGAAGCTTGTTAGTTAAGACAGTACCATGGCTATATATGTTGTTACAGAAGTGCAGTAGTCTTGAATGTGATGTTATATCCCACCTCACCTCACCCAACCTCACCTCACCTCACCTCATTAGTTGAGTATTTCATTTCCAGCCTCAAACCTGTTCCGGATCACCAACACTGGGTACATCTTGACCCAGCGTTCCCTGCGCGACCAGTCCCCGTACAGCCCCTTCAATGTGACGGTCCGAGCGGAGGACAGAGGCATCCCATCTCTGTACAACGAGACCCAGGTGATCATCAACATCCGCAGCGGTCAGCTTGATGATGGCCGTCCCCAGTGGAGCATACCACGACTGGGAGATCCATACTATATAGATGAGGTACGTATCTGTATGTCGACTGTATGTAGTCTGTATGTAGTATGTAAGTAGCCTGTATGTAGTATGTATTTGGTCTGTATGTAGCCTGTATGTAGTATGTATTTGGTCTGTATGTAGTCTGTATGTTGTCTGTATGTAGTCTGTATGTTGTCTGTATGTAGTCTGTATGTAGTAAATATGTAGTATGTATGTAGTATGTATGTAGTCTGTATGTAGTATGTATGTAGTATGTATGTAGTCTGTATGTAGTCTGTATGTAGTATGTATGTAGTATGTATGTAGTCTGTATTAAGTATGTATGTAGTCTGTATGTAGTCTGTATGTCATCTGTATGTCATCTGTATGTAGTATGTATGTAGTCTGTATGTAGTCTTATGCAGTATGTATGTAGTATGTATGTAGTCTGTATGTAGTATGTATGTAGTATGTATGTAAACTGTATGTAGTATGTATGTAGTATGTATTTAGTATGTATGTAGTATGTCTGTAGTATGTATGTAGTATGTATGTAGTATGTCTGTAGTCTGTATGTCGTATGTATGTCATCTGTATGTCGTCTGTATGTAGTCTTATGCAGTATGTATGTAGTCTGTATGTAGTATGTATGTGTATGTAGTCTGTATGTAGTATGTATGTAGTATGTCTGTAGTCTGTATGTAGTATGTATGTAGTCTGTATGTAGTCTATGTGGTATGTATGTAGTATGTATGTAGTATGTATGTAGCCTGTATGTAGTATGTATTTGGTCTGTATGTAGTCTGTATGTTGTCTATACGGAGTCTGTATGTTGTCTTTAAGTAGTATGTAAAGAGTCACTTTGTAGTCTGTATGTTGCATGTATGTAGTCTGTATGTAGTCTGTATGTAGTCTGTATGTTGTCTTTATGTAGTATGTCTGTAGTCTGTATGTTGCCTGTATGTAGTATGTAAAGATTCTGTTTGTAGTCTGTATGTTGCCTGTATGTAGTCTGTATGTAGTCTGCATGTAGTCTGTATGTTGTCTGTACATTGTGTGTATGGAATCTGTATGTAGTCTGTATGTTGCCTGTATGTAGTATGTAAAGAGTCTGTTTGTAGTCTTTATGTTGTCTTTATGTTGTCTGTATGTTGCCTATATGGAGTCTGTATGTTGTATGTAAGGAGCATGTATGTAGTCTGTATGTTGTATGTAAGGAGCATGTATGTAGTCTGTATGTTGCCTGTATGTAGTATGTAAAGAGTCTGTTTGCAGTCTGTATGTTGTCTGTATGTTGCCTATATGGAGTCTGTATGTAGTATGTAAGGAGCATGTATGTAGTCTGTATGTAGTCTGTATGTTGTATGTAAGGAGCATGTATGTAGTTTTGCGTTAGTTATAAAATCTGACCGTGAGAATGAGTCTCACTTTGTAGGTGTGAGTGTTTGTGACATAGTTCTGTGACTGCTATGTGTCTCAGGGTACATCAGAGGAGCAGTTAGTCCTGGTCGCACAAGCAGTAGCACGCTCCGTTGGGCCGGAGGTCATCTTCAGCCTGAATTCTGCGAGTCCACAGTATGAAAAGTTCAAGATTAACAGCACCACAGGGAGACTCACAACTAATGCGGTGTTCGACAGGGAGGAAACCGCTATCATACAGGTGGGTGAGGAATAGAGATGGTTATTGGAGGTTTAAAGTCTATCACAATATTTTGCGATGCACAAGGCCGTATTGCGATACTTATCACTATATATTACATAATTCTAAATTTTGAAGTCTGAAGGTATGAATTGAAGTTCATGAATGAAACAAAACAAGATGCTGGTACAACATAATCTTTACTCATTCAATAAATACACAGCCATCTTGGGGCCCTGGATGAGTGATCCGGGTCAGCGAAGGTATTTAGCAAGAAATACGTAATACGTAAACTGGGAAATTGAAAAGTTTTGCCTAAAAGAATAATAGTTTTGTCTAAAATAATAATAGTCTTGGTTTTCAGGCACCGCCCACATCATTAAGTCCACCCTTTTCAAATAAATAGAAAAATCCTAACCTTAAAAACAATGCGATCCAATATAGCACACAGTTACTTCCCTTCACATGCGCACTGCTTTACTGCACCTCTCGTGTTATGGTCATGGCGGCAATAGGAGTCTGTATGCATGTTTATGTATCCTTCTCATTTTTCATAATGTTGAATAAAGATATAACTTAATTAAACTTCAGTGTATGAATGACGAGAATGTTTAATACATGTATCTAAATACGTTTTGCCAGGGCTATGCTAAAAATGTTCCCTATCCGACATTTTGAGACATCTCCTGGGACCTACAGTGGGTAAATTTGGACTCGTCCCAGCCCTAGTAGGGAGGCCCTTTCCCAGGTTGATGGTACATAACTGTTTATTTGAATACATACTAGTTTCAACAAATGAAAAAAACAAAATAACACCGCCCGCCCACACTATATTTTCAAAAGTCATTGCCTGAGAACCCATTCTTCTATTTTTTAAGCCTTAGCTCCAAATGAGCACATTGTGTATAACCCCCCTCATCATCCTGCCTTCAGCTCATCCTGGTTGCGACAGACAGGGCCAACACAACGCTACAGAGTTTCCGGGCACTGACGATCTATGTCCGAGATAAAAATGACAATGTGCCAGAATTCGGGGCATGCCCAGGCCTCTCGGTGAGTAATACATATCTTATTTATTATATACTTTTTGTGTAGTTGTCTACCAGAAAATTCAATTATTTCATTACAAATGTAAAACCTTGAAACATAAATTCTCCCTACCTAACACACAGGGACGGTTTACCACCCCTTGTATTTGCGACTTGAAAAGTACATTCGTGTTTTCAAAATCTTAAAAAATATAAACAAAAGTATCAAAAAATATTTAGGGACATGGAAATTCTTTATAATACATTTTGATATGATTATATACAAAATTAAGTTAACAAAAATTATTCTTGAAAGCTAGGAGAACGCTGTTGGAAGTGAAAGAATACACCCTGGTCAAATAACAAAAATGGCGCTTTGCGAAACAAACAGTTTCGATTGACGAGTTAAATGAGAAATTTACAGTTTATATACTGTTGCCGTCTTTTTTCTGTAAAAATGTTCATTTGAGAGACTAGATGTTAGTCTGAGAATACCCCAGCTGGTAACTTATCATTCATGGAATCTTTGATTTGGCTATTTGAAGCTTTTCTTGACCACAACAGTAAACACTATTTTGCAAGACTGTTGCGTGTTTGACCATCATTCTGCTTCCATTGAGAAGGGGTGGAGTAGCATAGCGGTGGAAGTACCCACTCGTCTCACTTAACACCCGGGTCAGACCCGCTACATGGATACAATTTGTGAAGCTTGATGGTGTCACTGACACGGTGATACAAAATCTTTATGTTTCATTTAGTTTGGACATAAACTGAATATCAGCCATAAATAAACATGAATTTCCAGTGACTTACATGTTGATTTCCTCTTCCAGCTTGAGGTACCCCTTAGGGTTACGATATCTGAGGACACGCCAGTAATGACCTCCGTGTACAAGGTCAGAGCGTGTGATCTGGATGCGATCATCAATGGCGTGACGTATGAATTAGAGACAAATATTCCATTGTGTAAGTAAAATTTATATACACAGTAAATAATATAGCACCCTGATGTCTAACTATTCGGGGCGGTCGGGTAGCCTAGTGGTTAAAGCGTTCGCTCGTCACGCCGAAGACCCGGGTTCGATTCCCGACATGGGTACAATGTGTGAAGCTCATTTCTGGTATCCCCCGCCGTGATATTGCTGGAATATTGCTAAAAGCGGCGTAAAACCATACTCACTCACTCACTCAAACTATTCATCGTCCAGGGCCATGAGACATCCCCACAAGTCCTGAAGACAGTTCATGTCTCAGGAATTATGGACATAATTGAGAAAATTGACACCTCCGGTCATTGTACTGACACACCACAGTGAGCCAGGTCTCGTCTGTGGCCGCCCTCCATCTTCCCGAGGCAAGGGAGTTAACTGACTATAAAAGTCCAGTTTCCACCCTTGCTGAACTTGGCTGGAACTCCGGAATCATATGTTGGCTGGACTAACGAGTCTATGCATAGTCCAATCAAAATCTTGTAACAAACTGACATCCAGTTCATAAACAACGTGGATTTCAGTCAACTACTCGCTTTACCGTCAACTCCAAATCTTTTCATGTTTTGGGGTGCTCTGGTGGGTTGATGCACTTCACGGTGTAAGAGCCGTTTTATTTCAATATAGATCTTGATTATCGATGATATTGTATTACCTTGGCCGCCATTTTGTTTGACAAATACAAGTGATTTCAGAGGTGTAATCTGATTGGTCAATAGGAGGGATATAACTCGTAATAGCCACTGGTGGCGCTATGATCAAGTCTGGAAATTCTGGCCTAGTTCGGCAAGGGTGGAAACTGAAATTTTATAGTCAGTTAACTCCCTTGCCTGGGGAAGATGCACCCATTCATATCCCTCAGCTATCAAGTACTGTACCTGACATATATAGCAGGCTGGGGTTTAAGCAAATCGATCTTCAAAGGGGAGACTTAGGGTGTTGTACTACAGACTACTCATACTGAACACGTGAGATTCTAAAGAAATGACTTATTTGTTGTTGCCCTTAAACTCTGAACTCTTTTGCAGGTCAAAGACAAAGTACTGGAAGCTTCACCGTTGACAGCCAGGGTGTCATATATACTGACAAGTCTCTTGACAGGGAGGCCAATGCCACCCACCTTGTGTGTGTTAGAGCCAAGGTGGCACAGCGGAGGAAGCGGCAAGCATCCGTCTACCCTGTTGATCAGATGACGGATACGTCTCATGTTGCATATGTGATTGTCACACTCAGCGATGTCAATGATAACAGTCCCAAGTTTCTGAAGAAGGTGTTACATGAAGGTAACAGTCTGTGTTTTTTCTTATCACATTTATGGGGGCGGTCGGGTAGCCTGGTGGTAAAGCGTTCGCTCGTCGCGCCGAAGACCCGGGTTCGATTCCCGACATGAGTACAATACGTGAAGCCCATTTCTGGTGTCCCCTGCCGTGATATTGCTGGAATATTGCTAAAAGTGGCGTAAAACCATACTCACTCACTCACTCACTATCTCATTCATGGCACAGAAATGTGAAGAACTGCTCAATATTTTATACATGAGATAATACTGACACTAGTTTTGCCATTTGTGGGTTGGGAAATTTTGTAAGAAGTGAGTCTTGAATTAGAACTGGTATATAATTAGCTACTTTTTGATCTAAAATATGGGGTTATATTTCTGGTTGAACTTGAATGAAAGATGTGTATGACCATATATATGACTTTGTTCCAGTTGTGCCATCGGTGCCCACTGAGAGGACAGTGGTTCGAGTGGAGGCCATAGACTCGGACAGCGATCGGTTCAATCGAGTCCGCTACAGCATAACAGGGATTGTGTTCAGCGAAACCGGCTACCCCAGCTATCCCCTGCTTGGCTCCTTCATCGTCAGCCCCGACACTGGCACTGTCAGCACCAACTACCCCTCCTACAGCGAATACAGCCTCCCCGGCAGCTTCTTCGAGGTCACACTACAGGCGGAGGATGTGGACAAACCTGTGTTGAAGGATACCATGAAACTATATGTGAGTCTCATCAATCAGACACTGGTTCAAGAAGAGACGTAACTCCCAAACATGGATTTACAGTAATCAAACAGCTAATTAAATAGCTTCATGGTATGGGCCCCTCGGACTCAAATATTCAGTAAAATAACAAAATATGGTACCTCTCAGAAAATGAAAAAAATATATTAACTAGACACTGTTTAACTAGAATACGGATTACTAATTTTGGGTCCCTGGCAATTCCTTCATTAGGAATCATCATGTTGACCCTGAATTATTGAATCCTAAAGATTGAATTTCAGGGGAAATTCTTGATAATTATATCAATTTTCTTGGTACACTTTGATGATTTTAAAATATGTTGCATAAAGAATACAGGGAGAGTTGCTCAAATATTATAATGTTGGTCAAGTTTATTAGCATGTGCTATTGACCCGTGAAGATCCGGGTTAGAATAGGTCTTCAGCAACCCATGTTTGTCATAAAAGGTGGTTATGCTTGTCGTTAGAGGCGACTAATGGGATCGGGTGGTCAGGCTCGCTGACTTGGGTTATGCATGTTATCGTATTCCAAATGCGTGGATCGATGCATATGATGTTTATCACTGGATTGTCTGGCCCAGTCTCAATTATGTACAGACCGCCGTCATATAGCTGGAATATTGCTGAGTGAAGTGTTAAACAAACAAACAAACAAGTTATTGAGCTTTACTCCTCACTAGCTGTGTCCCTTGTATTGCCACTTAAGGAGGGCCATGTATATATATACAAATGTATATACACAATGGCACAAACTTAAGCTGTCAAGCTTTGTTTCATATTTGGTGAGGGGGCACGGGTGGCCCAGTCGTCTAAGGCACCGCGATTAGCTGTGCAGAGTTGCGTCCCTTGGGCATGCCAGAAACCTATGATTATGGGTTCGAATCCCGGTTCGCCCCGATTATGTTTCTAGGTTTGTCAGCACCATACCCGTGCTCGTGGGTTTCACCGAAGTGGTAAACGTCTGAGATCTGAATCACTTCAGGCTTTCCTCCCACATTAAGCTGACACGCCGTGATATAACTGGAATAATGTTAAAAGCCGCGTTAAACCCAACTCACTTACTCACTCACTCACTCATATTTGGTGAAACTGTTTCAGGTCTACGTCTTCGAGCCAGCCCAGACAATGCGGGTTGTAATCGATGAAACACCAAACCAAGCCCGCAACAAGATGGACAGTCTACTCACGTACGTTTGCTCCTCTCAGAATGACTAGGACATGCAGTCTTCATGGTCTAAGATCATTCTGTATCTGGCTGCTCATGTAGTTGTTGTTGAGTTGTAGACAAAACACAAGGAAGACTTAAGTATTTCCGTCAGTTCGACATGGTCTGGAGAGTGTGTAGTCTGTTGCCCCCTTTCAGTCCAGGCCTAAACATGGTGAAGAGTTCTGTTTGTGTAACCGAGATTTTGTTTCCATTCACTTCAGTGATCATTAGCTGCTACACCAGTTTACTTAGACCTTTTCAGAGGCCGTAATTCGGCCCCAAGTCTGCAACATATGATAGTGAAAATTCCCAATTTGAATTAAAAATTTACCAATTCCTCAAAATTTACGAAAATAAAAACATTAAAATACTCAAATTTTGAACTATTTTGTCCAAGTTTGCTTGCCAAAGCCACTTACTTTGAACTCCTGGATAAATCCCTAGCACCATAACTTGGAGTCTGCAAAAAGTTTTGTCGGAAAATCTTGAATCCAACTTGCTTCTATAAAGGATTGGAGAGAGTGTAGTCTGTCTCACAGTCCCTGAACCATATTATTTTCCTTCCGCCTAGCCCTAACTGTAATGTAAAAGTCGTAAATGAAGCAAGTCTAGATTTTCCACCTTATCAGGAAATTTATACAATGACCCTAGCATGTCTAGCCCCAAAGCAGATGCTGCAGCTAGATGCATCTCTAAAGTTCCAAGATCCAATCATATCAGTCCTGTCCTCAAAGCACTACATTGGCTTCCAGTCTCCTTTCGTATAAACTATAAGATATGTATCATCACTCACGACTGCCTCAACAATAGCGACTATCCAGACTATTTCAAAGATCTTATATCCCTGTACTCTCAAGAGCGTGCTCTCCGATCCTCTGGTGGAACTCTACTGTATCAGCCTCTGTCTACTTCTGCTATGTCTGACCGTGCCTTCTCCTTTTGCAGTCCACAGTTATGGAACTCTTTGCCTTTGAATCTGAGAAACTCTGCTTCTAAGGAAACGTTTAAGTCTCTCCTCAAAACCCACTTCTTCACTTCAGCTTTTCAATAGATCTCCTGATTGTTGGCATATGTACATAGACATTACATTTTAACTTTGTCACAGCGCCAGTGAGCAAATGTCGATGGATATTAGGCGCTTTACAAATCAATTATCATTATTATTATTATTATTAGGCTCTGAATCTTCTTTTTCACTGGGGCTGCTTTTCTGTTTCGATAGACTTTTTTGTTTCTATCAAAATTATATATCTTTTCAGACACTTAGCGTCAGTCTGGAGAGAGTATTGTATTATTTTGTTTGTGTTTTTCAGAGAGCTGAATGGTGTGAGTAGTAACTCCTATTTCAAGGTTCAGCAGATTTCCTACCACAGAGGCGTCACAGATAACGACTCCACCAAGTAAGATTTGCACAATAACTGTCTTGGAGGAGTAAGTAAGTAGGGTTATACACTGGTTCAGTTTGATGACAGTGTCTTTAGATTGGAGAAGATCCAGGTCATAGATGTTTACAAACCAAGGTCCATAAAAGGATCGTGATTTGAACCTATGATCAGCAGATCCTGCCATGGATAGGGGAGGCAACTCTGAACAGCAACTAGCGGTGCCATTAGCCATTGGGCTACCCATGTCCCACTTTCAGGGAGGAATCCTAGAGGCTTACAACTTCAAGTAATGATAGAAAGATGATGTTATGCTTTTTATTAAATTAATATTTCTTTGTGTTTTCTAGGACAGATTTGTGTTTTGTGGTGGTATCCCAGGACAAGGTTCAGAGTGTGAGGGATGGGTCCACCACCCTGGACAGCGCCAGCTATGTTAAAGTCCTGCAGAAGTATGGTGCTCGAAGCCCGGGGGTGAGTCTGTGTGTGAAGACATGATTCAACTTAGTGAAAGGAGTCCATGCTTGTGTGATTCAACCTGGTATTGTGGAAAGATTATTCTACAACAAAACATTATTGATTAATAATGATCAAGACGAAGGCTAAATTAAGCTGTTACAGACCATCTAGTGGGAATAGAATCTCAATTTTGGAAGATTCAACTCTTTGTAGCTGTTTTTATGGAAACAGTAGAATAAATGAGTAAGAGAGAGTTTGGCTTTACCCACATGGGGAACCAGGGCCTTTGGCAGGACGAGCGAACACCTACCCCACCGTGCTGCAGTAGAATAAGAATATTTGTAATTACATGTATGTCGCCATTCATCCTCGGATATATAACTCAACTATGCTAGGGATGATGGGATAGGTAGTGATCAATTTGGGATCGATTGCTATGAGGTGTTGTCAAACAAGTAGTATTCTATACTGCCTTGAAACTGATGTATGGGTACATGAGGTGTTGTCAAACAAGTAGTATTCTATACTGCCATGGAAATGTTGCGTGGGTACACATTCCATAATTTGAATTGTTTGATTGGTATAACTTAGACGTTGAGGGATGACAAAGTAGACACAATTTATGGATACCAACTTCTTTATTTACTGTAAAGGCGATGTTGTCATTCCATAAGTTGTGATGTATGGCCTCAATTGTGGATGTTGATCGGTTTTGTGTTTTTGACAGTCCTGCTATAAGGCGCGGTCATCCCTGGACAAGATCAGCTGGGCACCATTGTGGTGGACGCTAGTCGCCTTGGCCATCTTCATCTTCATCTGCTGCTGCATCCTCATCGGCGCCATCTGCATTCTGTATAAAAAGTAGGTGTAAATGGACCTCTGTGACCCCGAACCCCATAAGCTCTTCTGCCTTCTGTACAGTGAACGTGTATATATTAAATGCATGGGTGAGGGACACCAGAAATAGACTTCACGCTAGCACTAGGACAGATACCTTGAGTACTCGGAGCGGATAGGTACTGAGTAGGACCCGGGTACCCACAGAACTACCCAGACCTGTGGTTAGTCACGTGATATATTGTTTAAGGCAGTCACTAATGTTCGCATTTCTTTCTGACTTTGCACCCATTCCTTCTGACCTCTATGGGTTTGAATAAAGATAAAACTTCAGTCAACTTCAGCGTATGCATGACCAGATTGTTTTATACATGTATCTAAATACATTTTGCCAGGGCTACGGTCAAACTATTCCCAATCGGACATTTTGTACCAAACTCTTGAGACTTACACCGGGTACCCGGGTAGGGTTGGGTAATAGTGGGGTGGGTACCCGGGTAGTACATTTGGACTCGTCCCAACCCTATTTAATGCATTGTTCTCATGTGGAGAAGCAAACCCTCTTCTTCGGTGTGACACGTAAATTCTTGAACCACTCTGCTACCCCACCCTTACTGAATGCTTGTCGAGCAAGACCCGCTGACTGCCGCTGACCACACACATGCCCTCTATACTCTGTTTAATTACCGTATTCGATGTAATAAGCGCCCAGGGCACTCTCAAAATTAGAAATAGGGGGCTCTTATTAGAATATTATTTTAGTGAAAAAAACAGAGTTGAAAGATAAATTTTGTGGTTTATGCTGACAGCCTGAAGTGTTTATGTACGACAGATATATTTTTCCAGAATATAATTGCCCATAATTAAGGGTGCATATAACACACATGTGCGTATTATACGCGAATAAATAAGTATTGTGTACATTGATCAATCGGAAGGGGTGCTAATTGGGATTGTTCACTGGCCAATATATTAGCAAATGTCGCCGTGGGCGCTTATTAAAGCGGGGCGCTTATTACGTTGAATACGGTACTCTAATAGACTTTTAACTAAATGTCATACAGTTACTAAATTTTTAGATTCGTAATAAGTGAATAAATTGCATCATGAATGTTGACGAATCATTGCTCCATGCTTTGTTGTATCAAGCAGAGATGTTGTATAAACATTCGTTCATAATTTTGTATCTTTCAGTCATAAAGATTTCATGGATTCACAACAGACACGTAAGTGATGGCATACTTAATCTCTGTCAGTATGTATTCATATGCCAGGAATGTTTATCAATCTTGTTATCTTCGTCTGCTCTGATTTGCATTGTTGTTTTTTATTAATCTGTTGAACCCGTGAAGATCTGGATTAGAATAGGTCTTAAGCAAAGGGACTAACGGGATCAGGTTGTCAGGCTCGCTGACTTGGTTGATGCAAGTCATCGTATCCCAATTGCGTGGATAGATGCTCATGATATCAATCACTGGATTGTCTGGTCCAGATCCAAAAGATTTGTGCAGTGTTAAACAACAACAAAAATTAAAAATTAATCTGTTGTAGATAAAACATGTTGAAGTTAATTATAAGGATTGTCTGTGTACTTTTTTATGGTTAATTGAGGTATAAATAAAAAAAACCAATATGAAAACAGTTTGCCCATGGTTTTTCCTTTCATACCTCAATGAACCGAATAAAATACACAGTCAATCCTTAAGTGTACAAAAGAACTAGCCAATGAGAAACCTGGAATGAGTGACCCAACATTGTCTTTTGTTTCCAGGAATGGACCCGATGTAATACCGTCTCAGGGAATGCGACAGACCAACATTGCGAAAAACAAATATCAGCCTGATGCTCAGTGATTCAGGAAGAAAACTACTCTGGATTAGTGTTTACGTACATGCCTCACTCATACAGACCAGGGTGATATATATAAATAACCTGACACATGTATTGGGGATTACTGGAGTTATCACATGCGACTCAGGTGCTTCGAGTTTTCAGATTCAGTGGCCACATTGTCACGAGAAAAAACATGAACATTCTTTCAGAGTAATGCAAAAATTGTCAAAACAGTCTTTGTCTGGCACGCCATAAACAGTACTGCCAGCATGTGTCAAGGATATAATAGCTTTTATATGTGATATAACAGAAAAAGCAAAACATTGTCTTTTAGACATTTACCGTATTCGACGTAATAAGCACCCAGGGAGCTCTCAAAATTAGAAATAGGGGGCTCTTATTAGAATATTATTTTGGTGAAAAAACAGAGTTGAAAGATAAATTTTGTGGTTTATGCTGACAGCCTGAAATGTTTATGTACGACAGATATATTTTTCCAGAATTTAATTGCCCATAATTAAGGGTGCATATAACACACATGTGCGTATTATACGCAAATAAATAAGTATTGTGTACATTGATCAATCGGAAGGGGTGATAATTGGGATTGTTCACTAGCCAATATATTAGCAAATATCTCCGTGAACTGGGTGCTTATTATGTTGAATATGGTACCTTCGTTTTGCCCCAGTTGGAACTTGAATACCTCGTCAGCTCTAGAGTAACGCCATAATTGAATCCTTTCTCCCTACCTGAAATGATTTTTAGACATTGTCAGCAAGTATCTATAGTCCCTTTATATGAAAGTAAACAAAAGTTTTGTTCTGTATGTGCACTGAGACAGATGATATATTGTGTGTCATGGAAATATGTGTAATTATCCAGTACTCTGTGTAATTAGTGCTGCATTTAGGCCTGGATGTACAGAAGTGTACTGGGTAAGCTGGAGCATGATCTGATATCGGTGTAGACATATGTACATTAACCAACGTAACTTGTATATACTATATTTACATATTGTACATAGAATGTAATGATGCCATCTATATCTGGAACTGGTTCCATTATTGACAGTTGTTTCGTTTTTTGGTTAAAATATTTATTGAACAAAGTTGGAAAATGCCTTTCATGCAAAGTACATGGAAACAGTTTTGTTGAAAGTATCATCGTATTCAGTAGAAAAATCAAATTGTCACATTTCCAACTGAATAATGGGCATGTTTAGAGAATGTGTATTGTAAACATTTTGCACAGGATTTTTATATGAATGTGATATTTTTGTAAAAAAAATCAAATAAATTAATACAACATAAGTACTGACTTTTCTTATCATTTAGGGCGGTCGGGTAGCCTAGTGGTTAAAGCGTTCGCTCGTCACGCCGAAGACCCGGGTTCGATTCCCGACATGGGTACATTGTGTGAAGCCCATTTCTGGTGTCCCCTGCCATGATATTGCTGGAATATTGCTAAAAGCGGCGTAAAACCATACTCACTCACTCACTCACTCACTCAAATATTCAAGCAATATAACAGCAGGGGACACCACAAATGGGCTTCACACATTGTACCCTTGTCCTGCACCTTGACTGTGGAATATATTTATGTAATGAAAATAACACTAAGCAAGTCTAGCCAGCTCTTGCGAGCTCGAAATCAGCATAAGGAAAATTATTTTTTTAATTTTGAGAGTCAAGAAGGGTATTGTGTAAAATAAGATTTCATAGACTAAGTGTAAGTCTAATTGTACCCATTTTGGGAATTGAACCGGGTCTTTGGCATGACGAGCGAACGCTTTAACCATTAGCCTACCTGACCGCCCCCTTTCATTTATGACTTTACAATGCTGATAAATGTCATGCTGTGAGAGGGTCTGGAGTGAGTCAGCGGAGGCCAGGATTTATGACACACTGGGACAGTGTGTTTGTATGGAATAGCAAACAAGGACCAGGACTTCACACAGGCAGTCAGTGAGTAAGAAGACAGTATGTTGCCCCCTCCTGTGATACTGACCCACCACTAATGTCAGGAGTTTTCTGTAGAAACAAAAGCGTGTAACATTAACGAACCACTGTGTCTTCATTACAGGTGGTGTCGTTACCAGGTTGCACTTGGTACAGCCAAAGACTTATATATATATGTAGGATGGTTGTTGGTTGGTTGGTTTGTTGTTTAACTCCGCACTCAGCAATATTCCAGCTATATGACGGTGGTCTGTAAATAATCGAGTCTGGACCAGACAATCCAGTGATTAACATCATGAGCTTCGATCCACGCAATTGGGATCGATATATAGGATGGGAAGCCTGCAGCAATAGCCTATTGTATATAAGTCTTTGGTACAGCCTTAATGAAAAGGAGGGGTTTATTGTGTATTTGGCAATTTGCATTCAGTAATCAAGTAAATTTGATGAAAATATGTTGCCAAATGAGTTAGGCATACGGTTGTTATACATTTACTGCCAAAAGAAACACGAAACATGTAGAAGCAGGTAGTTAAGAAGAGATGTTTCCAATGTGTACGTCCTGACATGTCAAATAGTGGTCTCGAGTCATTCATCTATGACGTCACATGTGATGCGTTCATGAGCATCAGTTCAGACAATATACCAGCATGTTCGTTTGTGCATCGAACCGATCTAATATCTCTTGAAATGTTTAAATGTTAAGAACTCCTCTGGATCTCTGTATGCTGTTTAACTCGGACGTGTAGGAGGTAGTTACGGGTGGTTATTTCAATGTTATTTCACTCATGAATGGGTGTAGGTGGCTGCTTGTACTTGTCGGGGTGGTCTGGCTAAGTAGTTCTAGCCAACTGAGATACATGTACCATGCTGTAGTTTAACTGGATACCCCACACAGACACAGTATAACGTTTGGTACACACAGCCAGGGGATCAGAACACCAACCGTCCGCTCTCCGGACAAACCCTCCATCCACCACACAGGAACTCGATGATAGCGTGTATAGCATAATATACTAGTATTCGTATAGAATTTTTTTTTAAACCCCTCTATAAATATAGACTATATGTATATAGAGGGGTGTGAATTTTTTCTATACGAATATATTATGCTATACACGCTATCATCGAGTTCCTGTGATCCACCAGTACAAAGAGGCGGTACCAGATGTATAGGAGTGAAAGAGGATTGGGTGGATAACATGGGTCGGGAGGACAGTCTCGTCAGTTGAATGAGTGAATGAGTTGCTTCCCCTTAGGGCAGTTTGGAGAGTGTATCCCAGCAATGTCCAGACACACACACCGGGGCAGTAAATCTTTGATTCAAATACTTGGGGGAGGCTCCTACCCCATCCCCAATGGCTGTTCTGTTGTAGCAGCTCTCGAATCCCTATCTTGGGCTCTGTGAATTATTTCTGTCTCAGATGTGAAAGGAGACTATTAAAACAACAACACAGTGACACATCTTATGAAACGTCATATGCAAAAAATATTAATAAAGATTTCTTATGAATATTGAAAGGGTTTTGTCGCTTTATTTACTATTTTATTTACTGTTAAAACACGTATACAACTTGCAGCACACACATTCCTATTTCTTATGAATATTAAAAGGGTTTTGTCGCTTTATTTACTATTTTATTTTACTGTTAAAACACGTATACAACTTGCAGCACACACATTCCTATGATTATATTGTAACTTAGAAGAATGGGTTATTAAACCAATATATATATATATATATATATATATATATATATATATATATATATATATATATCCAACCAAACAGCGTTGCGTCACTGATCCACGATAACGTCGAGAAACTTGGCGTACGCTACTGAACAATCTGTTCATCCAAAATAAATGATTCCTTTAAAGAACATTCAAACTATGGATTATCAGATATAGTAATACCTTTCTAAGATGTCGGTTCATAAGAAAATGTGACCTTCGCACACATTAATAACATGAAACAAAGGCACGGAATGTTTTAGCTAAGACATCTGATGTTATACTAAAACGCACGACACTTCAAAGTCCTATTCCGTGACAAAAAAAAAGTACAACCTACACAGGCTAATAGCGCTGGTCACTATACACCAGGTCAGATGTGTGATACCAGTAGGTTACTAATCTAAAAATAAGGCCAGGTGAAAAGGGGTTTAACGTCGCGTCCAAGATGATTGCGCTTATATAGCGACGTGCATGCACGTGTGTGTGTATGTGTGTGAGTGTGTGTCTGCTTGTACTAGTCCGCACTAATGCCGATTTTATGGTGCTGGAGATACCATGCCGCAGTTTAACATGAATACCCCACTCAGACACAGTATACTCACTCCGGGCCGACCAGTCCTTGTTTTAGCCCCTTATGCTGAGCGCCAGACAGGGTAACAACAAGTAGCATTTTTTTTTGGCATGACGCAACCGGGGATCGAACCCCGGACTTTCCGCTCTCCGGGCGGACGCTCTAAATATTTCGCCCATGGTATATAAGCTTGTTCGCACAGCCTCTGAGGTTCAACTTCTATGGACTGTGATAAGTGGTGGGGCGGAAATGGTGGTATTTACGTAATAATCAATAACACAACTTAACTGTGGGTTAATGCTGGTATCCGAGTGATTGACGTGTACTTTTCTGTCTTATCAATGGCAGCTTTTGCTAATCTTTTATGTGTTAAGTTTTTGTTTAACGCCAATATCCCAACCCTGTGACGTCGGACGGTGAATGAGCGAGTCTTGAAAACACAACTCAGTGAACGATATCGTTAGCAACGAACCACGCCGCAATCAACCATGTCATTGTGACTGACAACCTGATCCATTTTGTTGTCTTCTTTGTCCAGCATAGGAGACCTGTTTCTAATCTTCTAATTGGTGTGTGTGTGTGAGTGTGCGTGCGCGCGCGCGGGCGTGTGTGTGTGTACGAAACCTGGACCCGAATATGGTGCTGGCTAACCAAGGACCATATTCATAGTCTAGGTTTCGAGGCCACAGTCATCGGATCCTGGCACGCCTGAGGGAAGCAATTCTGCACAGCGAGGTCTGACGTGGGCAGCTGAGGCACCTGTGTCCCTGATTGAAGGGGGGTAGTACTTGGATGGCTCACTTCCCCGCAACTGCCAGCCTTGACCATGACTGATTAAATGTGTCAGTGCACCTAAAACCGGTTCGACTCTGGTGATTTGCATACTCCAGGCCTGAGTACACTGTACCTGGACTGTCCTGCCAACAGCCTAAACCTTACTCACTCACTCACTCACTCACTCACTCACTCGCAGGTTGACCCAGCACGGACGACTGTAAACTAAAGAATTCGCAAATACGGACCAGTAAGGTCAAACAAGTTTCGTTTTTTTTAAATATTTAAACTTATTAAATCCTTGTGAATTCATTTTTAACTGTCCCTCGCAAATATCAAAGTATATATATCCTATAATTGACAGTGTCGTTTTATCTTCGAATCATTTCGCGACAAACAGTTCTGATAGGAATTCTCCGGCACGGTGAAAGAAAAGGCCACCTTTGAACCACCAAGGAAAAGATTAAACGAGACTCATTATTTCTGACAAGAGTATACACAGATATTTATGATCGAACCGCGGGTAAACATGGCGGGCGTTATTGTTGCAGAGGGCGTGACACGAGAAACATACACTGCCGCTTTTGGTCAGTGTTCATGACTCTGCGAACATCCGTTAAAAAAACCGGAAAGGTTATACGCTGGGACATATGGGGATATTATGTACGTACCCTGCAGTCAATCCTTAAGGCGAGATAGGGACGTGTGAGAAGTTAACAAGGGGTATGGATGTGTGTTAAGGGAGAGGGGTAGAGAGAGAGAGAGTGCGGAGTAAAGGAGAGATAGGGGTGGGTCTGAGGGGAGAGGGGTAGAGAGTGCGGAGTAAAGGAGAGAAAGGGGTGGGTGTGGGGGGGGGTAGAGAGTACGACCGGACAGGAGAGATAGGGGTGGGTGTGAGGGGAGAGGGGTAGAGAGTGCGGAGTAAAGGAGAGAAAGGGGTGGGTGTGGGGGGTAGAGCGTACGACCGGACAGGAGAGATAGGGGTGGGTGTGAGGGGAGAGGGGTAGAGAGTGCGGAGTAAAGGAGAAAAAGGGGTGGGTGTGAGGGGAGAGGGGTAGAGAGTGCGGAGTAAAGGAGAGAAAGGGGTGGGTGAGAGGGGAGATGGGTAGAGAGTGCGGAGTAAAGGAGAGATGGGGGTGGGTGTGAGGGGAGAGGGGTAGAGAGTGCGGAGTAAAGGAGAGAAAGGGGTGGGTGAGAGGGGAGAGGGGTAGAGAGTGCGGAGTAAAGGAGAGAAAGGGGTTGGTGTGGGGGGTAGAGAGTACGACCGGACAGGAGAGAAAGGGGTGGGTGTGGGGGGTAGAGAGTACGACCGGACAGGAGAGATAGGGGTGGGTGAGAGGGGAGAGGGGTAGAGAGTGCGGAGTAAAGGAGAGAAAGGGGTGGGTGTGAGGGGAGAGGGGTAGAGAGTGCGGAGTAAAGGAGAGAAAGGGATGGGTGAGAGGGGAGAGGGGTAGAGAGTGCGGAGTAAAGGAGAGATAGGGGTGGGTGTGAGGGGAGAGGGGTAGAGAGTACGGAGTAAAGGAGAGAAAGGGGTGGGTGAGAGGTGAGAGGGGTAGAGAGTGCGGAGTAAAGGAGAGATAGGGGTGGGTGTGAGGGGAGAGGGGTAGAGAGTGCGGAGTAAAGGAGAGAAAGGGGTGGGGGAGAGGGGAGAGGGGTAGAGAGTGCGGAGTAAAGGAGAGATAGGGGTGGGTGTGAGGGGAGAGGGGTAGAGAGTGCGGAGTAAAGGAGAGAAAGGGGTGGGTGAGAGGTGAGAGGGGTAGAGAGTGCGGAGTAAAGGAGAGATAGGGGTGGTTGTGAGGGGAGAGGGGTAGAGAGTGCGGAGTAAAGGAGAGAAAGGGGTGGGTGTGAGGGGAGAGGGGTAGAGAGTGCGGAGTAAAGGAGAGAAAGGGGTGGGTGAGAGGGGAGAGGGGTAGAGAGTGCGGAGTTAAGGAGAGAAAGGGGTGGGTGTGGGGGAAGAGAGTGCGATCGGACAGGAGAGATAGGGGTTGGTGTGAGGGGAGATGGGTAGAGAGTGCGATCGGACAGGAGAGATAGGGGTGGGTGTGGGGGGTAGAGAGTGCGGAGTAAAGGAGAGATAGGGGTGGGTGTGAGGGGAGAGGGGTAGAGAGTGCGATCGGACAGGAGAGATAGGGGTGGGTGTGGCGGGAGATAGATAGAGAGATTGCGGAGTACAGGCGAGATAGGGGCGGGTGTGAAGGGAGATAGATAGAGAGATTACGGAGTACAGGAGAGATAGGGGTGGGTGAAGTGGGAGATAGATAGAGAGATTACGGAGTACAGGCGAGATAGGGGTGGGTGTGATGGGAGATAGATAGAGAGATTACGGAGTACAGGCGAGATAGGGGTGGGTGTGAGGGGAGAGGGGTAGAGAGTGCGATCGGACAGGAGAGATAGGGGTGGGTGTGGCGGGAGATAGATAGAGAGATTGCGGAGTACAGGAGAGATAGGGGTGGGTGTGACGGGAGATAGATAGAGAGATTACGGAGTACAGGCGAGATAGGGGTGGGTGAAGTGGGAGATAGATAGAGAGATTACGGCGTACAGGCGAGATAGGGGTGGGTGTGATGGGAGATAGATAGAGAGATTGCGGAGTACAGGTGAGATAGGGGCAGGTGTGTCGGGAGATAGATAGAGAAATAGGGTAGGGTTTTGAGGGGAGAGGGGATACAAGGATAGAGAGTACGATGACAGGAGCTATAAGAGTGGGTGTGAGGGGAGAGGGGTAGAGAGTACAATGAAAGGAGAGAAAGGGGGTTGAGTGAGTGAGAGAGTGATCGAGTATAGGAAGCTTTCATAGTGGGAGCCACAACTCCCAAATATGTATTTTGGTTCCTGTTTTATTGTTTTATTGCCCACCTCCAAGCTGATCGCGAGACCTGGCTTGCCACCAGTAAGATGCGAGGAGGCACTCCAGACAACGCCTGCCCGTATTGAGATGACCCCGCACTGTCTTAATGGCTAAAAGTCATGTTGGGACAGCATAACTTGGTCGAACACTACCCAACTCACTTAAGGAGAGGGTCGCACTAGGAGATAAGAACCTACATAGACTGGATACATTCGTGCCTCGCACTTTTAATTGATTCGTATTTTATACACGAGAAGATATACTAACCGGTCAGATTAATTAATAGAGGTGGTGTGTTTACCTTTCATGGGCTATTGGCACGTTGAGGAAAATACTGGACGTATAATGGATGACATTTCTCCGAGTTGTCAAGGAATGGGAGTGTCTGGCTGAACATTTATCAAAACAGGATATTTCCCGAGCTTGCCTGCTATCAAATCTCACTACAGACAAGCTGTGTCTAGATGTGATAAACAGTCGAAGGGATATTATACAGATTTCTCTGACCAAGGGAAAAAAGATTTCCTGAATCGTCAAATTTAGTTCAGTGCGTGGCGACACATACGTATCGTATGCTCTGCGATGGAGGCTTCAGAGCTCGGATTACTTGTCACAGCCCTTTGTTTTATACCACTCGGTAAGTACGTGACGGAATATATACAGTTTTATTTTCAGTACCGTTTTGCTCAAACTGACGCATGTTTCGTACACATCTATACATAGTGAGGGGTACTTGTATGCGGGTTATGGCGAGATGGTTTGTTAATCAGCATAGTCATTTGCCTATAAGACTACGGGTGGATGTGTCAATACATCACACAGGATTCTTCGGGTGTACTCTTCTGCTGAACACGATCATCACTGCTACCATACCATACAAGGCAGACTTTACATTGATATTTAAATAGCTTTACCGTTTAATCTTCTGTCTGTATGAATTATATAAGTTATGTGTAAATGGAACTTTACTTAACACATGAAGTGAGAGACTAAATGTTTCACGCGCCGAGAGAGAGAGAGAGAGAGAGAGAGAGAGAGAGAGAGAGAGAGAGAGAGAGAGAGAGAGAGACAGAGGGAGAAAGGGGGAGAGAGAGAGACAGAGGGGGAGAGAGAGACAGAGGGAGAGAGGGGGAGAGAGAGAAAGAGAGGGAGGGAGAGAGACAGAGGGAGAGAGGGGGAGAGAGAGAAAGAGAGGGAGGGAGAGAGACAGAGGGAGAGAGGGGGAGAGAGAGAAAGAGAGGGAGGGAGAGAGACAGGGGAGAGAGGGGGAGAGAGAGAAAGAGAGGGAGGGAGAGAGACAGAGGGAGAGAGGGGGAGAGAGAAAGAGAGGGAGGGAGAGAGACAGGGGAGAGAGGGGAGAGAGAGAAAGAGAGGGAGGGAGAGAGACAGAGGGAGAGAGGGGGAGAGAGACAAAGAGAGGGAGGGAGAGAGAGAGAGAGAGCGAGATAGAGAGAGAGAGCGCATTATGGGGCGATAGGCTATTCCTGTCAACAGTTGAGTAGTGTATTGCTCTAATCACCCTGTGTTTTCTTGAAAAACAACCAAACCATGTTATTATATTTATATGGTAAGTAGGTGAGCTGAAAGTGCATGGGCAATATGTCAGCCATATCGACACATATAGCTACCGTAGCGCTAAACTGTATATCATAGATATTACTTGTCATTGTGAATGTAGATAGTCAGACATTAATCAATCAGACAATCGCTGCATGTTGTTTGGGGAATATGATTTTATGTGTCTCATTTATCATTCTCAGTGTTTCATAAACCGTCCGGTGCGTTCCTTTCCACCTACACGGCGTCAGCGCATGTTGACGCCCGCCCGTCGGTTATAGCGTTATAGGTACTGTGTTTCAAAAGTAGGTAGTTAGCTCACCCGGATCACTGTCAATGTCCGTCCTCGCAGCAGTGTGTTACTCCTAATGGAGGTTCGAGAATGTTCACTGCCGGTGTAATGGCACTTAGTTAAGACAACTTATATTTACACGTATATCTAATACGTCAATAGATATTTCATATTCACACATTTATACAATGCGTCAAGATATATATTCATATTTACACGTATATCCAATGCGTCAAGATTTATTTTATATATACACGTATATCCAATGCTTCAAGGGATATTTTATATGTACACGTATATCCAGTGCTTCAAGAGATATTTCATATTTACACGTATATCCAATGCTTCAAGGGATATTTTATATGTACACGTATATCCAATGTTTCAATAGATATTTCATATTAACACGTATATCCAGTGATTCAAGAGATAGTTCATATGTACATACATAATATATCATGACCATCAATCATTATGAATATAGTAATATTTACTTCCACATCAATGTCAATGTACTGTCAGACATTCAAGCCAGGGTTGGAATGTAACCTACTGCATACAGGAATTGCATTGGGGTCTTCACTCCCTGAGGACCCCGTCTCTCAGACCCTAGGGGAGGTGGTAAAAAATGAACCCAGCTCAAGTCTAGAATATATTGGCAAGTCTAGACTGTCTCCGTTCTGAAATGAAGTATTGTTATGGACTTCATTTGAATTTTACTTATTATTTTGTAGATTTATATATTTTGATTAGTTGTCTATATTTCTGAACTATATGTTAATATATGCCGCTTTATACCCTATGTACTGCATGACAAGTAACCTGGCACAACTTTCCTGTTATATGATGATCGGAATATTAATAGACACACTTTATAACATATGCTATGATTTATACAAGTTCTGTGAATCTAGTATAGACATTGTGTTTTTATAATGCAAAATATGGAATTGCCCTCTCTAAAAGCCAAACTGAAATTATTCAAGTTTAAACTCAAGTGTATCCCAGACGCATTTTCAATTCCCCGCGACTGATCAACATAGATCACACATAGTATGTACTTGCGACGTGCCGAGGCGATATATGGTGGCAGATTTAAGGACTTTACAGGTTCATTGGTGGAATGGTATTGACGCGAGACACTTACCCACATTTATCAGATAAAATCAATAACTCTGAGATATAGGTACACACAGGAGCCGTAATGCACTGAGCCAAACCCAGAGATAGGGGTGCACATTTTTGTGTGGTTGAAACTTACGTCTGGTGAATGTTTAAAAATACATAATATTTTGTAAAACAGAGTTGCTTTGCCGAAACAGATCAGGATGCTGTCAACACGTTATCTACATTATCACATATTTCCTACTATGTTGTTTTAGCCTGCATATTGGAGCATCCGATCGGTACAAATTGTGAAACTGAGCCACAGTTAAGGCAAATGTGTTTCCCTGGGTACACACACACACACACAAACATGATCGGAGACGTGGTGTGAGGGTGTAGGTGGGTGTGAGGGTGTAGGTGGTGTGAGGGTGTAGGTGGTGTGAGGGTGTAGGTGGTGTGAGGGTGTAGGTGGTGTGAGAGTGTAGGTGGTGTGAGGGTGTAGGTGGTGTGAGAGTGTAGGCGGTGTGAGAGTGTAGATGGTGTGAGGGTGTAGGTGGGTGTGAGGGTGTAGGTGGTGTGAGGGTGTAGGTGGTGTGAGGGTGTAGGTGGTGTGAGGGTGTAGGTGGTGTGAGAGTGTAGGTGGTGTGAGGGTGTAGGTGGTGTGAGAGTGTAGGCGGTGTGAGAGTGTAGATGGTGTGAGGGTGTAGGTGGGTGTGAGGGTGTAGGTGGTGTGAGGGTGTAGGTGGTGTGAGGGTGTAGGTGGTGTGAGAGTGTAGGTGGTGTGAGGGTGTAGGTGGTGTGAGAGTGTAGGCGGTGTGAGAGTGTAGATGGTGTGAGGGTGTAGGTGGGTGTGAGGGTGTAGGTGGTGTGAGGGTGTAGGTGGTGTGAGGGTGTAGGTGGCGTGAGGGTGTAGGTGGTGTGAGAGTGTAGGTGGTGTGAGGGTGTAGGTGGGTGTGAGGGTGTAGGTGGTGTGAGGGTGTAGGTGGTGTGAGGGTGTAGGTGGTGTGAGAGTGTAGGTGGTGTGAGGGTGTAGGTGGTGTGAGAGTGTAGGCGGTGTGAGAGTGTAGATGGTGTGAGGGTGTAGGTGGGTGTGAGGGTGTAGGTGGTGTGAGGGTGTAGGTGGTGTGAGGGTGTAGGTGGCGTGAGGGTGTAGGTGGTGTGAGAGTGTAGGTGGTGTGAGAGTGTAGATGGTGTGAGGGTGTAGGCGGTGTGAGAGTGTAGATGGTGTGAGGGTGTAGGCGGTGTGAGAGTGTAGATGGTGTGAGGGTGTAGGTGGTGTGAGAGTGTAGATGGTGTGAGGGTGTAGGCGGTGTGAGGGTGTAGGCGGTGTGACGGTGTAGTATGTTGTAAGTGATTGTTGGTGTTGCTTGTGTTGATGTATGTGTGTGTTCCTGGTGGTAGTGTATGTTGGTTTTCCTAGCGGTGATGTGTGTTGGTGTTCCTAGTTGTGATGTGTGTTGGTGTTCCTGGTGGTGATGTGTGTTAGTGTTCCTAGTGGTGATGTATGTTAGTGTTCCTGGTGGTGGTGTATGTTAGTGTTCCTGGTGGTGATGTGTGTTGGTGTTCCTCGTTGTGGTGTATGTTGGTGTTCCTGGTGGGGATGTATGTTAGTGTTCCCAGTGGTGGTGTATGTTGGTGTTCCTAGTTGTGATGTGTGTTGGTGTTCCTGGTGGTGATGTGTGTTAGTGTTCCTGGTGGTGATGTGTGTTAGTGTTCCTAGTGGTGGTGTATGTTAGTGTTCCTGGTGGTGATGTGTGTTGGTGTTCCTAGTTGTGGTGTATGTTAGTGTTCCTGGTGGGGATGTATGTTAGTGTTCCTGGTGGTGGTGTATGTTAGTGTTCCTAGTGGTGGTGTATGTTAGTGTTCCTAGTTGTGGTGTTTGTTAGTGTTCCTGGTGGTGATGTGTGTTGGTGTTCCTAGTGGTGGTGTATGTAAGTGTTCCTAGTGGTGATGTGTGTTAGTGTTCCTAGTGGTGGTGTATGTTAGTGTTCCTAGTTGTGGTGTATGTTAGTGTTCCTGGTGGGGATGTATGTTAGTGTTCCTAGTGGTGGTGTATGTTAGTGTTCCTAGTGGTGGTGTATGTTAGTGTTCCTGGTGGTGGTGATGTGTGTTGGTGTTCCTAGTTGTGGTGTATGTTAGTGTTCCTAGTGGTGGTGATGTGTGTTAGTGTTCCTAGTGGTGGTGTATGTTAGTGTTCCTGGTGGTGGTGATGTGTGTTGGTGTTCCTAGTTGTGGTGTATGTTAGTGTTCCTGGTGGGGATGTATGTTAGTGTTCCTAGTGGTGGTGTATGTTAGTGTTCCTAGTGGTGGTGTATGTTAGTGTTCCTGGTGGTGGCGTATGTTAGTGTTCCTGGTGGTGATGTATGTTGGTGTTCCTGGTGGTGGTGCATGTTAGTGTTCCTGGTGGTGATGTATGTTAGTGTTCCTAGTGGTGGTGTATGTTAGTGTTCCTAGTAGTGGTGTATGTTAGTGTTCCTAGTGGTGGTGTATGTTAGTGTTCCTAGTAGTGGTGTATGTTAGTGTTCCTAGTGGTGGTGTATGTTAGTGTTCCTAGTGGTGGTGTATGTTGGTGTTCCTGGTGGTGGTGTATGTAAGTGTTCCTAGTGGTGGTGTATGTTAGTGTTCCTGGTGGTGGTGTATGTTAGTGTTCCTAGTGGTGATGTATGTTGGTATTCCTGGTGGTGATGTATGTTGGTATTCCTGGTGGTGGTGTATGTTAGTGTTCCTAGTGGTGGTGTATGTTGGTATTCCTGGTGGTAATGTATGTTGGTGTTCCTAGTGGTGATGTATGTTGGTGTTCCTAGTGGTGGTGTATGTTAGTGTTCCTAGTGGTGGTGTATGTTGGTGTTCCTAGTGGTGATGTATGTTGGTATTCCTGGTGGTGATGTATGTTGGTATTCCTGGTGGTGATGTGTGTTGGTGTTCCTAGTGGTGATGTATGTTAGTGTTCCTAGTGTTGATGTACGTTTGTATTCCAAGTCGTGATGTATTGTTTTTTTCCGGGCCAGCATGAGGCCGATGTGACACTTTCTGATTATACTTTTGACCGCGTATCAATCACCCCGGAATTCCAAGAGGGGTCACGAACGCTATATTGCGTGCTCGATGTCGATAACAACGATGTAGGTTACAACCCGGTAAGGATCATGTGTGTGCAGACATCGGTGATTTATGACCATATTGGCCCGCTAGGTGCTTGCAGCAAACGGACTGGGGCACGCATGAAGCAAAATACAATAACCAGAAATTCTCATGTTTCACAAAACCATAAACAAGGGTTGTCTTTCTGTTTCTTCCTGTGGATTTAGATGAAAACGCCTTCGGCAACTATGTCTAAGATCTTTATATGATGTATTTGTAGTCAGAAGTGTCGGATAAATGAAGCGGGCGTCCTTCGGAAGGCTCTTCAAAAATGTTAACAAATATTTCACTAAAGAGACATTCCGTCCACATTCCACATATACAGTAAATATGTTTTAAAACAAACACATCTATCACATTAGATCTATTAATCCCAACTACCAATCGTTTTTTGAATGGTGGTTCGTTTCGCCCCGATGTTTCTATGTTTGTAAGCACCTTTTCCGTGCCCGTGGGGTATATCAAAGTGTAAACGTCTGAGACCTGCATCACTCCCACATTAAGCTGACACCCATGATATAGCTGGATGTTGTTTAAAGCGGCGTTAAACCCAACTGACTCACTCTTTTAACGGCTTGTTAAACGCTGTCTTGCTTTTACCCTTTAGGACTTTCCCTTATGTTGTGTATATCAAATCCTATGGGATCAGTCTGTTTGCACTTTACATATACAAAGAATTCCCCTTTTGGGTACTGAAGTAGTGTCACTGTCCTCGTCATCATTGTCATATACCTTACTATTCGGAGCGATACATTTGACATCGAGGAATGCTGCGTCGGCAGCATGCAATAAAGTACGATTTATGTTCGCAGATTTTGAAAAATGTGTTGTCGTATCATTCTGGCTTTATATTTAGGTACAGTAAGCTTGGGTTGTATACTCCCAAGGGAGCTGATAATGATTCTTGAGTGTACCCTGAGCCAGTGACCGGAGTAATAATAGCGCTTTTATTATTATCTGTACTATTAACTCATTATTGCTACTCGTATTTCTCCTGTTACACTGTAGTTTGTGATTGCTAGGTACTGTAATCTTCCCAACTTTGTGATGACTGGGTGGTTCAGTATCCAGTTTTCTATACTTGGATGGATGTGTGCGGCGAACTCACTCAAAGGAAAATCGAAATTGCTTTAAGAAGCAAGCCTGACGTTCTTCTACATACGACAGCCTCCATGGTATATTGGTAGAGCGTCCGCCCGGAGAGCGGGAGGTTCGATCCCCGGCCGCGTCATACCAAAAGACGTTAAAAGATGGTACTTGTTGTTACCCTGTCTGGCGCTCGACATTTAAGGGGCTACAACAAGGACTGGTCGACTCGGAGTCAGTATACTGTGTCTGAGGGGGGTGTTCATGTTAAACTGTGGCATGGTATATCAGTGGGCTTGCACTATAAATCGGCATCAGTCTGGACTAATACAAGCAGACACACACAAACACACGTGCATGCACATCGCTATATAACCTTCGACGCGACGTTAAAACCCCTTCAGTTCGAACATATTAATCTGGGACCCAGAAACCAGGACGACTGCAGTCGAGAACATTTATCTCTGTAAAAAGAACATCCCTAAGTATTCAGTATTCGTTGATCCGGAAATGTGTTATTCGGACGATTTCGCTCTGAATTTACGGATTAATAGGTTTTTACTGTATATATTCTTTAATCAATTAAATTCAAACCTAAGATCATTAAAAATACTTTTGAAAACGGTGAAGCTTTAGGTGGATTCTTTTTCGTAAAGTCCTTACAAGATGGAAGCCACATATTCAAGACGTTACTCACCGATTGCTATATGTACCGTTATGATACTAGGTAATCGGGTAAAACGGGTAACGTGACCTGTGACCGCGAGGAAAGGTGAAGTTGACCCCAAAACTCCAAGTAATCTGAGGATGAGCAGAAATCACAATTTAATTTAATATATGGACATATGTATGTTTAGGTAGTCGGTGTTAACAATAGTTAGGCTGTCTAACTACCGTTGTCGTGTTTTTTTAATCCAACATGTTTGGTATTTCTTATTCCAGGGCATGCAGCGATACCAGTGTGGGGAACTGTACAGCCAATAATTTTGTTAAGTGAAGACACATCAATTGGTACGTGATTTACACTCTGATATTATATTTAGAGCTACCAGCAACTGTATATAGAATGCAGTGTTAAGTGAACTTACCTAGATTACACCACAACAAACGTTATCCTTTAAAAACATATGCAACACCCTGCAGTATATGTTATTTGAAATGTTTACCATATTATTTGGAATGTTTACCCGTGAAGATCCGGGGTGGAATAGGTCTTCAGCAACCTATGCTTGTCGTAAAAGGCGACTAACGGGATCGGGTGGTCGGGCTCGCTGACTTGGTTGATGCATGTCATCGTGTCCTAATTGCGTGGATCGATGTTCATGACATCAATCACTGGACTCGATTATTTGCAGACCGCTGTCATATAACTGAAATAATCCTGAGTGCGGCGTTAAACAAAAAACAAACAAAACAAACGAGATGAGACGAGACTCCACTCAGTTACTCTGAATACAGCGCGAGAAGTGCACTTTCAGGTACGCTACTGCTGAATCTGACAGCCGAGGGTGCCGACATCACCATACTCACTGCTACCGACGACACTGCGATGCTGGTGAACGTCTCGGAAACCGTTACAAGTGACAACATCACGTACCACGCTAGCGCCACCCTCGCCACACAACTGGACAGAGATTTTGTGAGTATTCGTGATGAAAGTTTTCTGTAATGAACAAAGTATAAGCAGAGATGATCTGCGATGAAAAACACTCACTTTTAATAGATTGAACTTATCATTTAACACGGCCAATACAGTGACCCTCTTTATAGACACGGAGAAGTAGTTAAAGGGAAAGTTGGCTTCAATATTTGGCAGTCCCAGCGAGTTTGTTTCTTGTACCCAAACGTCACATAGCAGTTACTGGTTCCCTCATATTACACCATGTCTAAGCGCTTAGAGCATGATTATGTTTGGAGTACAGCGCCATATAAATTAGATTAAATTAAAAAATGCAGCAAAGAGGGTGATCCTGACACAGTCAGTCTGGTTAGGCTCATCATCAGCTCAGGGCCCTTGCCCCTTCTACACGCAGCCCAGACAGCGAAGGGGACTTCTCCCAGGAAGCGCTGTCTAGTCAAACCCACCCAGGACCTTTCGGTGAATATGAAGACTCCCAAACACTGCAGCCTTCTGCATTACCCAGATTGTCAGAAGGGCTGTATTCCTGGTAGCAAACCCGGGCACTCTCCCAATGTCAGTCAACAGATTGGGATGTACCAAACCTGAGGCACCAAGAACAATGGAGAGTCGGACAACTTGGTACTTGGGATGCAAGCGTGACATTTCGAAAGCGAGGTCTGCAGATTTGCCATGTTTTTCCTGAATCTTGTCAGTCACATAAGTGTCAAAAGATCAGGTTTGTTGGCCTGGATACGTCTGAGGCTGCATACGGGCCTATTCCAAATAATTTTGTATTTATCATTTTCCATGACGCACTCTACATATTGTGGGTCGTACCATGGATGGACCTCTGTGTTATTATTATTATTATTATTATTATTATTATTATCATTATTATTACACACAGACAGTGTCATAGTTATTCATATGACGCAAGTAATGTTCACAACATGTACTGACCCAGAGATAATATGGAATTGACAAACGATTGTTGGTCATTTTCTTCAATGATATATATATTTTTTAATCAAATACATAACTGGAATCGCTGCCTAACGCCTTACTCTGAGGGAAGTCTTCATGTTTTAGAAAGGCCTATAACATTACGTTGTGAAAAATCGAAACATAACAGAATGATGTGTGTATTTTCAGAATTGAATGTCATTTAAATTACAGAGCGACTTCCCTTGTCATTGATCCTACGACATTGTGTTGGACATACAACAGAACTATCGGTCATGTAGTTGTACAATGTTTCTGTCTATGTTTTCAGGAACCAGAATCTCGAAGGATATTCTTCAACGCATACAGCCCAGGCTTCAATGAGGTACTCATTCTAGTAAACCTGACATTGTGTATACGACATGTCTACAGATTGGCAGGACATATACATATTTGATAATCTTTTCATCATATTAACTGTGTATTATTTCATCTAAAAATGTATTGGTATTGTCGCAAATGTTAACATTTTCCAAACAAAGCGCTTTTCTTAAAGTTATTCACCGTACCGTCCAGAATGGTATGGCAGTTGACGGATGCGTTGCTAGTAAACTACGGTTATTACGAACTAGGAGGGACCACTAGTTTTAGTTCGTTATAACCGTAGTTCGTCATAAGCATATATACCCCATGGTAGTTTTTTTGTCCTGGCCATTTGCCGTTATAACCGTTGTTCTTTATAAGCATATATACAATACTATGGTGTATATAATAGGCTTATAACGAACTACGGTTATAACGGCAAATGGCCAGGACAAAAAAACTACCATGGGGTATATATGCTTATGACGAACTACGGTTATAACGAACTAAAACTAGTGGTCCTTCCTAGTTCGTAATAAACGTAGTTTACTGTACTTACTATTTTGATGTTCTTTTAGGTAACCATATCTACTCTGTTGCGCATCAATGATGTCAATGACAACCCGCCAAGTTTCGTCAACAAGCCGTACAGATGTCAGCCCCTGGAGGTCAGTGCTTTACCACATTCAGCAATTATACAGAGGCGGAAGTAACTGTGATCACATTCATATATGTAGATAATCTCACCCGAGTGTCTTTTGATATCAATTACGGTTCGCCCCGATTATGTTTCTAGGTTTGTCAGCACCATGCCCGTGCTCGTGGGTTTCACCGACGTGGTAAACGTCCGAGACCTGCATCACTTCGGGCTTTCCTCCCACATTAAGCTGACACGCCGTGATATAACTGGAATACTGTTAAAAGCGACGTTAAACCCAACTCACTCACTCACCGATATTAAATTGTCACGTGTTTTTAAATTTTGCCGTAAAGAGAATAGTGAGTGAGTATGTTTTTACACCGCTTTTAGCAATATTCCAGCAATATCACGGCGGGGGGACACCGGAAAATGGGCTTCACACATTGTACCCATGTCGGGAATCGAACCCGGGTCTTCGGTGTGACCACTAGGCTTCCCCACCTCCCCCGTAAAGAACATCATTATTTCAAGTAAAATGCTGCTTTCTTTACAACACTGATATTTGTAGAATTTGACAGGCTTACTAACATATAACTGTTGCAATATACATTTGATAATCTCTCAGTTAATCCCTGTACATGTTAAAACTATTTTTTATGCTTGCATCGAGTCTGACAAACCAGCATCCCGTGAAGAGCCGGGTCGGAATAGGTCTACAACAACCCGTGCTTGCCGTACAAAAGGACAAAGCTTGTCGTAAGAGGCGACTAATGGGATCGGGTGGTCAGGCTCGCTGACTTGGTTGAAGCATGTCATCGTATCCCAAATGCGTGGATCGATGCTCATGATATCGATCACTGGATTGTCTAGTCCAAAATCGATTATTTACAGACCGTCGTCATATAGCTTGAATAATGCTGAGTGCGGCGTTAAACAACAAACAAACAAACAAACCAGCTGGGTATGTCTCCCAGTACTGTAGCGCCCTCATACGTTCTAGTTTCTCTTTGACCTCTCTTCTTCCAGAACGTGGATGTTGGCGAGGTGATATTCTCCGGTGTCAGCGCCCCCGACCCCGACAATGGCCCTATTGTGGAATTCGCACTGGTACCAGCATATTGCAACTTCCGTTTGATGGAGATTTCACCTCTGTTCACATGTACCCTGGGACGTTGGTTCAAACAGTAGGGGCCCGTTTGGGACAGTGCTTCCTTCACTGTTCTGTGCTTTATCCAGGCCGGGAGGGCCAGATGTTTGAGATTCATGATTCGCGCCTTTAATGATCATTGGTTTATCAGTGTCATACCTACCCGGGAAAATCTGGGTTAGAATAGGTCTGAGCATCCCATGCTTGTCGTGACAGGCGACTATGCTTGTCGTAAGAGGCAACTATGCTTGTCGTAAGAGGCAACTAACGAGATCGGGTGGTCAGGCTCGCGGACTTGCGTGGACCGATGCTCATGATATCAAGCACTGGATAATCTGGTCCAATCACTCGATTATTTACAGGCCGCTGTCCTACAGATGGAATACTGCGGCGTTAAACAACAGTGCCATACCTGTTCACCAGATGTACCAAACTGGCAAAACTGGCATCTGCTCAGTAATGAGAGCTCTTCCATCTGGTGCACCTTTACTTCAATATTGTTCACGGCAGCGTTAACAAGATTTGAAACGCTTGGACACCAATTTACCACGTGTATGACTATAACAGAGGTGATGACGTCACTTCCCAAACGCAGCTATGGTAACTGATGTATCCAGGGTATTTATCCTAATAGAATGGATATAAAATACCCTGCATCATAGAGGATGAGAGTTCACATAAAACACACGTGTAGGGAAGGGGGTTTGCTGTCGGTATGCTCGAATAAATTTAAGTTGCTTCTTCCAAGAGTTTCCGCAGTTTTTCCAACCTTTTCAGGCCCCGGATGGTGGAACTGATGACTTATTTGGCGTCAACCAGACGGGCGAGTTTACTGCCGACATCTTCCTGCTACAGAGCCTGGACTATGAGAAGAGGAACGCCTACACCGTCACCATAGTCGCCTCGGTAGGTTGTACCTGTAATATTCTGTCCACATACACTAAATACTCGTGGTGTTGTGGGACACTCGCTAATACTTCAATATTTCAAGAGAGGCGTGTGAAATTAGAGCACATTGAACAAAAACGATTTTCCAGGGACTATAAACACACATAGTCTTAAACCATGTGTTGTGTTATTCGTAGTCGAGACAAGTCAAGAGTTGGTATTAGTCGATGGCATTATGCCTGGACCACATACTTATCACGTCTCAACCACCTGCCATTAAAATAGGGTAATTTTTGTTACCCTGCCTGGTGCACTACATTGAGGGGATGAAACAAGGATTGGTCGGCTAAGTATGATGTGCCCGAGTTGGCTATCCAGGTTAAAAAGCGGCTAGGTACCTCAGTGGGCTAGCACTAAAAAATCGGGAAAAGTTCGGACTAGTACAAACAAACACACACACACACACACACACACACACACGCACGTCCGCTAGCACTCACGCACATGCACAAGCACACGCACACGCGTACACACGTGCATGCATGTCGCTATATAAGTAAAATAATCTTGACATCGAATTCCATTTCATCCCACCTCAATTCACCCCACACCACCTCGCCCCTATTGCCCCAAACGATATACATGTGTCCCGTTATTCGTAGTCATGCATGGTGTATATAATTAAATCATATTAGAAATACAGGTTCCGGGTCATTGGGTTAGTGTAGGTAACGAGGTGAAACTATAAACCTATTCATTGGGATCGCTATTAAGTAAGAGACTTCTTTCTATAGGCATTAAAACCTATTGTGAGGTTTTACTTTCCAGTCGGGTTAAATCTCATAAACCAGGACGTTATTATGTCCCTGGGATTTTATATAATATCCCAGGGATTTTATTAATAGAACTTCCGTTCAGATTGTAACATTTAATGAAATGTAAAATCAAATGACAAATGTTTTCTTTATATTCCCGAGGATCTAACTCGCAACCTTCATATCTGTAGCCCAGTGAGTGTACCACGAGGCTACAGAGGTGTTGATAAGCCTCACTGGTTTTTAGAATGTCCTTTTCAAGATCCGTACGCCAGCAACAGATATTTTACGCGCGTTTCCTAAGGTTCATGGAAAGTATGTTCGAAACATAAAAATGTTGATAAATGTTGTTTTAAGTTGGGTTTTTTCGGTTTATAAGTATGGAAAAACACTTTCCCTCGGTTTTGGTAGACAGACCCTTGGTTTTTCCCTCTCCCCAGGGCATGCTCTGTCTACCAAAACCTCGCGAGCGTGTTTTCTCCAATACGTAACAACACAAGTAGCTACTGTTCCCGCTGACATCCCTCGTGTATCTGTAGGACCAGGACGGGCTGAACGAGACGACCACGCTGGAGGTCCTCGTGCAGGATGTGCAGGACACGCCCCCCTTCTTCCTGTTTGATGTCTACAGGGCAGCCGTGGTTGAGAACAACCCCGCAGTATGTAGCTGTACACGTGGTAGAGAACACCCCTGTAGTTGTACACGTGGCAGAGAACACCCCTGTAGCTGTACACGTGGCAGAGAACCCCACTGTAGCTGTACACGTGGCAGAGAACCCCCCTGGAGCTGTACACGTGGCAGAGAACCCCCCTGTAGCTGTACACGTGACAGAGAACCCCCTGTAGCTGTACACGTGGCAGAGAACCCCACTGTAGCTGTACACGTGGCAAAGAACCCCCCTGTAGCTGTACACGTGGCAGAGAACCCCCCTGTAGCTGTACACGTGGCAGAGAACCCCCTGTAGCTGTACACGTGGCAGAGAACCCCCCTGTAGCTGTACACGTGGTAAAGAACACCCCTGTAGCTGTATACGTGATAGAGAACACCCCTGTAGCTGAACACGTGGCAGAGAACCCCCCTGTAGCTGTACACGTGGTAAAGAACACCCCTGTAGCTGTACACGTGGCAGAGAACCCCCCTGTAACTGTACACGTGGCAGAGAACCCCACTGTAGCTGTACACGTGGCAGAGAACCCCCTGTAGCTGTACACGTGGTAAAGAACACCCCTGTAGCTGTACACGTGGTAAAGAACACCCCTGTAGCTGTACACGTGGCAGAGAACCCCCTGTAGCTGTACACGTGGCAGAGAACCCCCCTGTAGCTGTACACGTGGTAAAGAACACCCCTGTAGCTGTATACGTGATAGAGAACACCCCTGTAGCTGAACACGTGGCAGAGAACCCCACTGTAGCTGTACACGTGGCAGAGAACCCCCCTGTAGCTGTACACGTGGTAGAGAACCCCCCTGTAGCTGTACACGTGGTAGAGAACACCCCTGTAGCCGTACCCCGCTAGGGTATACAGGCATTTAACATTCCAGAATCTGTGTATGTTAATATACGTATATATTCTAACTGAACTTTATCACTGATAATGTCAGCCTTCGTCAAATTAATTTGATCGATAAATATTTTTCTTCGTTATCAGAATACATCCGTGATACAGGTCCAGGCTGAAGACGGCGACAGGGGCGTCAGTAACTCCGTCGAATACGCCATCATAAAAGGTAAACATAGGTCATTGCAATAGGTAATTACAGTGGGTAAATAAGGATACTCATGCGTCAAAGGGTGTCAGTGTTACCGTCTAACATGTTCTGTAGGGTTTCTATGCAATGTTACATGTTTCACCATTCTAATTACACAGGCAATACAGAACTTTTCTCCATCGACGAGACGAGTGGCGTCATTACAACGAAGCAGTCGCTGGACAGAGAAGCACCCAACGTCATCGATGTCAACGGCGTGTTTGATCTCCTGGTGCAGGTAGGGTCATCATTCACTTCCGGCTTGGCCGCCATTGGAAGTCGTCCCTGTCCCCGCCGCCCCGATCTATGTACATGTACCTATGTTGAACGTCTACACCACGAGTCTTTCATCACATGTGCTGACGCTGAAACCATTTTCTTAGAGGTACTGAACCCAAGGTTCTCGGTCGTTCACTGCAGCACACAAACATTAAGACGTCCGTAGCCATCTTCTCGACGCAAGGGAGTTAACTGAGAGTTAAAGTCCAGTTTCGACCCTTGGCTGGGATCCAAGAGTTATATTTTGGCCCGACTACTGAGGCAAGCATAGTCCAATCAAAATCGCGTAACGAACTAGACATCCGGGTCGTAAACAACATGGATTTCAACGCGCAGATTTCCGTCGATTGAAGGATTTGCAAACCATGTGTACCGCCAACTGGGCGTTGAGAGATATTTTGCCAAAACCTTCATGTTTTTTTATCAAGGTGCTCAAGTGATTTTATGCACTTCGCGAGGTTAGGCCAGTTTTGTTACAATATAGATCTTGATTATCGTTCAGATCGTCTTGACAGGGCGCCACCATTTTATTTGAAGCAAATACAAGTGACATGAGAGGTGGAATCTGATTGGTCAATAGAAGGGACATAGAGGAACAAAACTCCTAATTGCCACTGGTGGCGCTACGATCGATCCTGGAAATTCCAGCCTCGTTCGGCAAGGGTGGAAACTGGACTTTTATAGTTAGTTATATATAATTGATGCCTTTGCCTCGGGGAGATGTTCGTAGCGCAAAGGCTACTTTGTAAACGATGTGCTAAATCGACGTACAACGTTAGACCTAGCTCCACTGGGAACTCTGGAACTAGCTGCCATTCCCATTACAAAAGCCATGATTTACTCTGTGTAGTACAGTATTTACGTCCACCATTTTGTCAGGCCACTGAACTAAACGAGACGTGGCCCCAGTACGGCAACATCACGAAGACTGTCAACGTCTACGCCACAGTGGAAGACGTCAACGACAACGCTCCGACCTTCAACACATCCACCCCCTACACGGCTTTCGTCAGGAACGACATCCCCGACAACTCGCTCATCTACTTTGAAGGCGATGGGTACATGCAAGTCTTTGACAACGACCAGGTACTGTACAAGGAGATACGGGAAAGAATGGCGTGAAATGTATAATGATCTTACAGTCACGTCTCCTATTTTGATAATACGGGATGGTAATTGTAAGCACAAACACGTGGTTTTTATGAACACTATTTCATGGACTATTCACGTGTTCTATGACAGACATTACCCACAATGCTCGGGAATTGAAGCACAATTACGTCAGAGTACCAGTTTCGATTTGTACTGATTCTTTCTTATTATGATAGTGAATATGTCATGCCATGACAGTTTAACTATAGCAATGCGAAAGAATCGAGTGTTCTTTAACTTCCTTTAGTGGTAAATTATCTCAAAGCACAAATGATCAACATAACCAGTTAAGTTATAACTCTAATGCTTGAGAAGGGGTATAATTATTCCCACTTGTTAACTCTGTGCTGCTTGATGACTTCAAGACAAGAACTATTCGTTACTTAAGTGCTTGAGTTGAGGAACTTGCCTTGAGTGCGTGCGACACACTGTATACATGTATCTACTGCAACCAGTGCTAAACACAGTAGGGAGTTATATAACGTGGACCCGCTCAGCGATGCTGTCTACATACCCTGGCATGTGATATGAATTTGGCATAGTTGATAGCTTCTGTTTTCCAGCCGTAGCTCTGACGGCTATTTTGTTGAATTTCAGACCGGGAAAAGTGCAACGTTTGTACTGAGTATAGAACAAGGGGGACAACCCGTGACCATCTTTGAACCCAGTCCGAGAGAAGTGTTCTCCGAGGCTAACGTCCTCATCAGGGTGGTCGACGCCTCGGCGCTCCGAGCTCTGGGACAGACGCACGTCACGTTTGAAGTAAGTTGGTGATCATATTGATGACGATAATAATGTATTCATTTAAACAATTGTATTCACAACAACACACATATATACATACATATGAATACACATGTATACATAAAACACACATATACATATATAAACACACCTATCTACAACATCAGACCCGTGAAGATCCGGGGTAGAACAGGTCTTCAGCAACCCATGCTTGCTATAGAGGAGGCTATACTTATCGTCAGAGGCGATTAACGGGATCGGGTGGTCAGGCTCCCTGACTTGTTAATGCATTTCATCCTATCACAATTGCGGTATTGATGCTCATGATGTCAATCATTGGATTGTCTTGTTCAGACTCGATTATTTAAAGACCGCCGTCATATACCTGTAATATCTCTGAGTGCGGTGTTAAAAAACAAACAAACAACATCATATAAACACATCACATGTATACTTATATATTGTTTAGAAAGGTTGGGGAAATAACTTAAATGTCCAAAATTGTAACATAAATGAGTTTCTGGAAATGGTTGTATGATAATACAGGCTAGGGAATGCATTTGCCCAATAACTGTTCACGGGTAATTCAGACACCTTTTCACAGATCACAGCTAACTGTGCCATCCATTTCGCAATCAGTATAATGTATATTTAGTTCATATTTCATAGAGATAAGAAATAATTCATCCTTACTTATCGATCCATAAACGTATATAGATTTCTGGTCCGTGATCAGTCTGATAGTGGCCAGATCATTATCAAGTTGATGTTTTTGCATGTATAAACTAGGCCTGCGTCTCATATTACTGTAACATTTAAACTTGTTGACAACTTGTCAGACGGACCATCTTGGGCGTTTTTATATATTTTTTGGCAACTGTCCCCCACATTTACTACATGGTACTCCCGGTTTCGACATAAAAAAGATAATGAATATAATAACAATTAACAAGAGCGAAAAAAGACATTTCATAGAAAACGTTTTATGTATTTGCAAATTCACGATAAAAAGACTGTTGAGAAATAACGTATCACAGCTAATTCGTAGCGTGAAATATCGAAAATGGCAAACTACAAGAGCCAATAGCGTGTAACGAAATAAGGAACGAATTGGGAACACATTACAACCGGTTGTGACGTATGGCGAACATGAAGGACGATAGGTGAGGTGAGGTGAAATGGGCTTTAACGTCGCGTCCAAGATTATTGCACTTGTATAGCGACATGCATGCACGTGTATGTGTGCGTGTGTGGCTGCTTGTACTAGTCCGGACTGATGCCGATTTATAGTGCTAGCACACTGAGATACCATGCCGCAGTTTAACATGAATACCCCACTCAGACACAGTATACTGACTCCGAGCCGACCAGTCCTTGTTTTAGCCCCTTAATGCCGAGCGCCAGACAGGGTAACAACAAGTACCATCTTTTAACGTCTTTTGGTATGACGCGGCTGGGGATCGAACCCCGAACCTTCCGCTCTCCGGGCGGACGCTCTACCATCAGACCACGGAGGCGGTCGAAGGACGATAGGGGCAGGATGGGAAATTTTAAAGTTGACGTTGGATTCGTGCACGATGAGCACAGGCGTTGTTGTCCTGAAAGACAAAACGTCAACCCATACGCCTTGCAAACAGGACAACAGAGGGTGTCAGTATGCTGTCCCGATTGTACTGTCCAGTGACCCTTTCTTGGACAATATGGAGTGGGGTTCATAGTGAAGCCACCCTACACCATAACCGATCCACCGCCAAATCTGTCATGAGATCTCAGGTTGACATTGGCTTGACGTTCATGTCGACGTCGCCAGGCATGACCACGCCTACCAAGGAAGTGCAAAGAACCGGGACTCATCTGACACCATGACACGTGACCAGCGACGATTACCCCAGTTTCGACGTTGTGTACACCATTGACGTCTGTTGGCAACATGGCGGTTTGCTAGGGGCGGCACAACACGTGGCCGTCGAGCATGGAGATGAGATGCATGTAGACGATTTCTAACCGTTTGACCCGTAACTCGTACTTCAGCAGTCTGATGAAAGTTTGCAGCAACTTGGTTAGGCGTTTGAGTCTGGCTTCTGATCAATCGATTCTGAACACACTGACCGGTGTCGATCGTCAACATTTTGGCAACGCATTGGCAACTGCACGCTTACTTCTGCCAGTCTCCAGCAAGCCAAACGCCCGTAGACGCACTGCGTGTTGTAGACGCCGCATCGCTGGTTCATGCACAAACAATGTATGAAATCAAGTAAATTTAAATGTATCATAAGCAGAACGATAAAATTGACAGAAATTATGGTTCGCACAGATAAATCGATCTTCCTTGAAAGTGTCAAAATCAGGAATAACACACTACCCTACACGGAGAGATTAATCGACCTTCCTTGAAAGTGTCAAAATCAGGAATAACACCCTACACGCAGAGATTAATCGACCTTCCTTGAAAGTGTCAAAATCAGGAATAACACCCTACACGCAGAGATTAATCGACCTTCCTTGAAAGTGTCAAAAGCAGGAATGACACCCGACGCACGTGCGTGGCGCTACTGCATGAGGCACGTGCAAACTATGTTTTTTGGATACACTTTTTATGGACATAAACGTTCTTGCATAGGATGTTTGTCGTCAACACGTATCTTTGTTCCAGTACGTGGTATTGCCATTTATATTTCATAATCCTCTATTTTTTTAGATTATGTATACAGGTTCTTGAGGACCGACCCTTTGGTATTCTAGGGTTGGTGGTGGGTTGGAATTTGGAATTAGATATGTTTCAGCTGCAGCTACAAAACCAGATATATTTTGTTTGTTTTTAAAACTATGAGTCTGAATTTCTTATAAAGAAAAACACCTTGCAACAATGTAATGTTTGTGGCAGGCAATTTTGTTCCAACAGTCAGAGGTATATATTTTTATTAAGAATTTTCGGAGACATATACATACCGTATTCGACGTAATAAACGCCCCGCTCTAATAAGCGCCCACTGCGATATTTGCTAATATATTGGCTATTGAACAATCCCAATGAGCACCCCTTCCGATTGATCAATGTACACAAGACTTATTTATTCGTGAAAAATACGCACTTGTGTGTTATATGCACTCTTAATTATGGACAATTCAATTCTGGAAACTATATCTGTCGTGTATAATACGCACTTTTCTTTTGTATCATTTCAGCCTGAAATTTACGATCTTTCAACTCTGTTTTCTCACCAAAATTATATTAAAAAAGAGCCCCCGTCAAATACGGTACGTTTTTTTGGGATAACCCCCGAATATTAAATGGTCAGTCTCTGACAGTGCAGGTCAATGTTTCAGGTTATCGCCCGTGAAATCAACACCGTGGAGAACTATTACGGCAAGGCCAGCGTAGTGTTGACGATAGAGCAGGTGGGGGAGGCGTCGACGACCCCCGCACCCCTGGAGGAGAACATCCTCACAACGTCAGACATCGTGGTCTTCGTCGTGGGTTTCCTGGTCCTCCTCAATATCCTCACCTCCATCATCATCTGCCACCTGATGCGGGCCCGGAGTCGGAAGGAAGGACTCAACAGAACCGGCTCCAAGTACTACATCAAGAAACGCCCCACCAACGACTTCACCAACCACGGCCTCCACAACCCCAGCACTACCGAGATGGTGGAGGTCGACCCCGAGATCTCGGTCTGTCCTAGACTAGGGAATGGGGAGTTTGCTGAGTAGAGACGGGGTTAGAGAGTAGAAAATATACCGACTGGGGCGGGGTTAGAGAGTATGGAGTATGCCGAGTAGGGGCGGGGTTAGAGAGTATAAAATATACCGACTAGGGCGGGGTTAGAGAGTATTGAGTATGCCGAGTAGGGGCGGGTTAGAGAGTACAAAGTATACCGACTTTAAGGAGGCTAGTATGCCAAAAGGGTCGGGGTAAGGGAGTAGGCCATCTTCCCGAGGCAAGGGAGTTACTTGACTGGAATTTCTGTTCTCGATCGTAGCGCCACCAGTGGTATTTACGAGTTATGTCCCTCCTATTGACCAATCATGATTCCATCTCTCGTATCACTTGCATTTGGTTCAAACAAAATGGCGGCGTTCAGTGAGGACCTCCTGATTGATAATCAAAATCTATGTTGTAATAAAACGGGTCTTTCTTCGCGAAGTGCATCAGATAACGTGAGCATTTTGATTAAAAACATAAAAAGGTTTGGAAATGTCTGTTGACGCCGAGTTGGCGGTACACATGCTTTGCAAATCTTGCAATCGGCCGAAATCTGCACGGCAGTTTACGAACCGGATTTCGATTTCGTTAGGTATTTTCGATTGGACTTTGCATAGACTCGTTAGTCCAACCAAAATATAACTCTATATTTCCAGCTTAGTTCGGCAAGGGTGGAAACTGGACTTTTATAGTCCCTTTCCTCGGGAATATGGGTGTAGACCGAATATGGGCGGGGTTAGGGAGTAGGAAGTATTCCGAAAAGGGGCGGGGCTAAGGAGCTGCCGAGTTGGGCTGGGTTGTTAGGCTATTAGGTATATAATTGTGTTATGTTTTGATTATGCATTAATATCTGTAAGAAAATCAAAGTGAGCCTGTGATATGTCGGGACGGGTAGTTATTATATAATACTGCTAAAAAGTGAAAAAGAACAATAAAATATTGATTAGGATCTTTCACTAACTTACGATTGCGTTCCTGGGTGATCAAATACATCAAACAATGTGTGGCCTGCACGATCAGATGTGGATGACACACTGAGTCCGTTATGTGACAGTGATCTCATAGACACCGATTCGTCGGATAAGGACGCATTGATTGGTTTTCAAATTCCATTTTACTTTGTTGTTATTTTAACCCTCTGAATGTATGACATGTTAGATCAGTGTGGAGTGGTGTTTGATGTTTATGTCCATGATGTTATGGGTGTTGTAAAATATATTCTATAGCTGACATGCATATCCGTCCATTTGAAGTTCCTTGGCTAGTTTTGACAGGGAACCTATGTTTAATGTTATGTAACATCTTAGTCACGATGCATTTTATTCGATAACATAAGTGTTATCATTTTTTTACCAAAACATTTTCGCAATAAGTAAAACAAATAATAAGAAAGCAATCATTCTGATTAACAGTTTGCAATATAGCCATGTTTGTACCTAGTAATTTAAAACCTTTTTGTTACCGCTTTTTGAAAATGCATGTATAACCTTATTATTTTTCATATTTATGTACACCTTTATGCATTTGTTCTATATTATCAATATCCCGTCCACAAAACACATATGCCACCTGATGAATGGTATTCTCAGTAAAATGACATGTAGACACTGTAATTATTAGGGGTGACTATTGAGGCATTTTTTACTATTGCGATACTATTGCGATAGTTAAAACAACTATTGCGATACTATTGCGATAGTGGCCCTACTATTGCGATACTATTGCGATAGTTTTCACTTGCAATTATAGCAGGCTTTAGCAGCATATATTTCAGCATTTTGACTGACACCATCAAAATAATTATAACTTTCTGATACTATTTGTAAAGGAAACATGAAATGAGAAGAAAACAAGTTCAAATTGACCTCTCAAAAGCATTTTAATACAAAAGTTCACTTCATGTAACTTGTAAAGTCTCAGGTTACTGCAGTGTTTTAGCACCAATGTGAATGAATGTGATTGAATGACTAGTATTTGACTTTACAAACTGTCAAACTAATTGTCACATTGGCATTCACTGAATGACTAAATGCGATTCAACATATCAATTAGGAAACAAAGTTGACAAAAACTGACATGTGGCGTCCGCCATCTTGTCAATGTTGCCTAGCGACGAGTAGCTAAGGGACGTAATTCTAAATCAAGCAAAGTAGTGCAATCCAAACGAAAGCACGACAGAGGTTAGATGATCATAGGAGTTGTTTCTATGTTTTTTAAGAAACTAAATGTACCAAACAAATTAACTATCGAAACTATCGATAGTAAGACAAACTATCGCCAATAGTATCGATTGTTTCAAGTTGCAATCGATAGTGAATCGCAATCAATCGATAGTTCGATGTATCGTTACACCACTAGTAATTATATTATTTTTCAGTATGTTCATAAGAAAACAATCACTTCCTCTTATTTATAAGAGTATGTAATGCACTGCTACCTTTAAAGCTATGTCGGAGGGGTGGAATAACCTCGCTGTGGTCAGCTGCCATGTATCTTTTCGTCTGTCATTAAGCAGTGGTCTTATTCCTGAGACAACAGGGTGCCGTTGTACAAAACAACCTTATCGCTACGACTGTCGTAAGTCTATGTTAAGGTATGGGAGATACGATCACCTTAGCGCTTCGATCGCTTTGTACAGCGGCAGCCAGAACAATATTCACGCGATTACTTAGACGTGAGTGAGTGAGTTGTGTTTAACGCCGCTTTTAACAGTATTCCAGTTATATCACGGCGTGTTAGCTTAATGTGGGAGGAAAGCCCAAAGACATGCAGGTCTTAGACGTTTACCACTTAGGTGAAACCCACGAACACGGGTATGGTGCTGACAAACCTAGAAACATAATCGGGGCGAACCGGGGTTCCAACCCACAAATATAGGTTTCTGGCGTACCCAAGGGACGCAACTCTGCACAGCGAATTGCGGCGCCTTAGACGACGGGGTCACCCGTGCCCCCACTTAGACGTGGGCAGAGAAACCGTGCCTTCTGGGCGATGTTATGAAATATAGCATTGAAATCGGTATTGTTACGATCAACACAATGTCAAGGTGTCTGAAACTAATAGCATTCCACAGAACACTTGTTTTATTTTTATATAAATATACGTGTAGTAGGTAACTGTATTTGAAACAAGTGTTTCAAAGTTTGAATTTAAAATGTATGCATAAAATATATTTGGCAATATATATTTGATATGTACATATGAACAATAAGATAACATATTCTAATTACAAATGTCCTTTTTAATCAGGTTTTCCATGATACGGTTTATTATGATATTTTCGCGTCAAAATATTCACCTTGTTAGGCAGGAAATTAATTAATAACAATATCGCATAGGGTCCTAGATTTGTTGACGATGACAGGCCTAGTCGCAATACATGTTCATCTGCGTGTCTATGCAGATAAAGAAAACCTGTTGCATTTCACCTGTTTAATAAAACTATATATTCTGGCACGCGACAGGTGGCGACCTTGTGTGCAGATAGCGACTATTGAATCCTTTCTGTAAAAAGTCGTATCTGAGTCATCTGTGTTCGTCTGTTCGCCTTCCGTCCACCGTCCGTTTTCATTGCTATCATCTCTGCAACCACACGCTATATGCGTCTGTAAACGTTTCCCAGGATGATTATAATTTCTCACAGAATTAAGACCCATTACTCGATCGCCCATTCTGTATCATTATGGATCAATGTAATATTTCATATTCAGTAAGGGCTAAGTGAAGTAACATATTGTTTTTTAAGTTTTGAACTTTTGACCCTGCTATAACCTTTCACTGTCACAATCCCACTAAAAAATAATGATTTTTTCCCACACGACTGGGTATTTAAACTAAAATGTTATTTTTTCGTATTGATGAGTCATTATATGTTTTCATGTGGTATCAAATATACAGTACTTATGTTTTGGCGTGGAAAGATAATTTGAACATGGTACATTTTAAAGATTGTACACATTTTTCCGTAAATTCATATTTATTATTATTTTAGACCAATGTGGAACCGTTGTGATCTTAATTAAATAATTTGAGTCTTTCAAAGTTAATTCGCGAATATTCCAGAAAATAACAGTGAGCGGCAGAGCTCGATGTTGGATTCTGACGGTTACTGTCTGGTTTGTTTGTTTGTTTGTTGTTTAACGCCGCACTCAGCAATATTCCAGCTATATGACAGCGGTCTGTAAACAATTGAGTCTGGACCAGACAATCCATGATTGACACCATGAGCATCAATCCGCGCAATTGGGATATGATGACACGAATCAACCAAGTAAGCGAGCCTGACCACCCGAGCCCGTTAGTCGCCTGTTACGACAAGCATGGGTTGCTGAAGACCTGTTCTAACCCAGATCTTCACGGTTCGTTACTGTCTGGTGAGAAACACAAAGACATGTTGTATGTATGTGCATGTGCTGTTGTCACGCCTGTCCCTGGATGACTGACTGGGATTTGCAGATACTGTCGATCGCTCCATCTTGCGTTTTACACACGATGATCACCATGCGTACTTTATTACCTAACCATCTCACGGACTGATTAATATGATCAGAAGCAATTTCGATATTATTTTGTTTAAACATGCAACAGGGACAATTGTGTCGAGTATATAATGTGTTCAGTGCGTGAGGTTAGATAATGACATATATCAACAGAGGAATATTAATTATTATAAAACGGACCCCATCTTGCGTATGCCAATTACACTGCTCTCCGCATACTGTGATACTGCAATTGTGTATAGTTTTACAATGTATATAACAGTTTTAGTATTTAATAAACATATCATTATTCATACACTTTTAACTTCTGTGTGTAAAGTTTGATGTGTAAAATATAATGTTTATCATGTTACTATAGTACATTTTGAACATGTACCTCTTGAAGTCACATGGAGACTATATATATATATATATATATATATATATATATATATATATATAGTTCATGGGTTTCAGCTTTTAATTGACGCAGGGACAAGAGAAATTATACATAGTTTATGGGTTTCAGCTTTTTCTGGACGCAGGGACCAGGTCTATACAAGAGAAACTATACATAATTCAGGGGTTTCATCTTATGCTCGTGACGAGATCTTATGCTTGATACGAATGAGCCAGATCTTATGCTTGATACGAATGATCCAGATCTTATGCTTGATACGAATGAGCCAGATCTTATGCTTGATACGAAGGAGCCAGATCTTATGCTTGATACGGAGGAGCAAGATATTATGCTTGTTACGAACAAGCCAGATATTATGCTTGATACGAACGAGCCAGACATTATGCTTGATACGAATGAGCCAGATCTTATGCTTGATACGAAGGAGCAAGATATTAT